TTTACTACTAAATTATCATTGAATTACTACTAAGTTATTTATGATATACTATTAATTTTATCAATTAATTACAATATATGAGATAATTTTCTTTTTATATAATATAACATTATTGTTTCGTTCAAATTTATAATTTTTCTACTAAATTTTTGAAAAAGTTCATTGTAGGTTTATCCTAATCCTTTTCTCTTTCTAGTAACCAAGGTTCAATCATTAGTAACTTTAAGTATAAAAAAAATGTTATCACTAATTAACAAATAAATTACTACTCACTTACTATTACCTTATCACTTATTTACTACTAAATTATCATGATTTATCACTAAGTTATAAATGATTTACTACTAAGTTATAAATGATTTATTACTAAGTTATTAATAATTTACTATTAAGTTATTAATAATTTATTGTAATGTTATTATTGATTTACTATAAAGTTATTAATAATTAACTAATTTATAACTAAATTATTATTAATTTATAAATAAATTATCAATGATTTATAATTAAATTATCAATATTTTACTATTACATTATTAGTGATTTACTACTAAGTTATCGATAATTTACTACTAAATTATTAATGATTTACTACTATAGTGTTATGCATTTGTTACTTTGTTATTATTGATTTACTTCTGAGTTTTAGTGATTAGTTATTAAATTATAATTGATTTATCGCTAAGTTATTTATGATTACTACTAAATTTATAATTGAATTACTATTAAACTAAAATAAATTTACTATTATGCTATCACTAATTTACTACTAAATTTTCATTGATTAACTACTAAATTATCAATGATTAACTATTAAGTTATCTTTTTTTATGAAGTTATTATTAATTTACAACTATGTTATTATGCATTTACAATTACATTATAATTGATTTATTATTAAGTTATTATGCTTTGACTATTATATTATTACTAATTTACTACTAAATTATAATTGATATACTATCAAGTTATATCTCTAATTTACTATACTAAATTATTATTGATTAACTATTATTTTACTTATAATTACTATTAAGTTATATTAATTTACTTTTAATTTTCAATTATTAATTATTACTTAGTTATAAATTATTTACTATTAAATTATCATTTATTTATTACTAAGCTATTTATGATTTATTACTAAATTTGTCAATTAATTACTACGCCCTTTATTTGTCCAATTAAATTGTCACAGTTAAATTTTTTTTGTTAAATTTTTCTAACTTTGACATCTATTATTTTAAATATTTTAATAAATTAAATTTTACAAAACATATATTTATAAACCACTTCATTTAAAGTTTTTAAAATATTTTTGTTCATATTTTTATCAATAATAAATAAAAAATAATAGGTGATAAAAATTGAAAAAATTTAACCAACAAAAATCAAAATGTGACAATTTTATTGGGATGAAAGGAGTGTTAAACTGAATCTTATTTATTATTAAGTTATCATTAATTTACTATTAAGTTATCATTGATTTATTACTAAGTTATCAATAATTAACTACTAAGTTATCACTTATTTTTTATTAAGTTATTCTTAATTTACTAATATGTGTTATACATTTACAATTATGTATAAATGATTTACTGTTAAGTTATTTGTTATTTCCTACTATGTTATTATGTATTTATTATTATGTTATCATACACTATTTTATCAATTATTTATTATTAAATTATTATTTATTTACTATTAAGTTATTATTATTTTACTATTAAGTTATTTATAATTACTATATAGTTATCATTAATTTAGTATAAAGTTATTATTGATTTTGTCTAAATTATCACTAATTTATAATAAAATTATCAATAATTTGCTACTATATTATTATACATTTACTACTAAGCTATAATTGATTTACCATTAAATCTTCTATAATTAATTTAACTGTGTAAATCATATTAATAGGTGTAATATATTATAAACACTAAATTATTTATTTGTAGAAAAACTATTTTAAGCCTTCTAGTTGTATTGCTCACATTAACTGGGGCATGAATGACTTAACCAAAGAAAAACTATTTTAATAAGAAAATAAATAAAAAGTAGATAATATTTTAATTTAGTAAAAAATATTAAATAAAAATAAATAGAGAGAATTTAATAAATTACCACATTTTATATATAATATAGATATATATTAAACATTTTCTTAATTATAGAATATCTTATTCAAAGTAGGCTGTAAAATTTAAAATATGTATATGTTTGTGAGTATTCTAAATATTTAACTAAAATTTAAATAAATTTTTTTATAGTAAAGTTGGCTAAATTCCAAGTGGAGCACTTTTTATACATTAAGAGAAAAAAAAATTAAAGGTCATGTTATCATTTATCATCCAACACCTTTATTTTTTTAATCATTTTCATATATATTATGATACATTAACCCATTGCGTAATAAAAAGACTAATTTAATAATTTTACGATCTATATGAAATATTAATTGATTCATTTGTTTTATTTTTGTATATATATAATTCAACATTATCAATTGAATTAATTTCTGATCTTAATTGTAAGATTATATAAATAAACATATTTATTTCACATCCTCGTACTTGAAATTTTTTATTATGTAACTACTGAGTTTAATTGTAAATCTTTCTTTATGAATTAAAGAACTAGTTGGACAAACATGATTGGCATGTAATGTATTATTAATAGGAGTGTATTAAATAAAAAATCACTTTTAATATTATTTACAGTTCACACTTTTATATGTATATATCATAGATGATACATGTATTTATCTATAATAAACACACTTATAAAGTATAAATAATTATTTAAATAGATGCTTTCATGATAAGAATACAAATTAATAATCATATACTTAAAGAATATAAACAAATAATAGAAAATAAATTATAATATTATTGATTCAAAGAATATAATAATTGGTTACAAAACTAACAAAGCTTTGATTATTCAACAAAATTCGCACAATTAATCATGTTATTAAAATATTTTTCACTATCAAAATACAAAAATATTCTAAAGCATTCTTAATTGAAAAAAAATAAATTTATATTATTCAAGGAAAAATTATAAAATATATTTATAGTAGAGTTTTTAAATTTCACAATTGAAATTAGTAGCGTAACACACATACCCTTTAAACTTCAGAGTATATTAAAAAAGGCTAATTGAAAAAATAACTGAGTGATATTAAAAAAACAAACCTAATTGAAAATATAAGTGAGTGATGTGTTAATTTTTTAACCCACTTGTGAAATTAAAAAAAAAAAAACTCAACCAACATTATATCAAATAATTTCTTTTCTTCAAGATTAATGTTTCTTAACAATATTGACTATGGTTTTATAAAAATATCTTAAGTATAAAATATTTTAAATTAAAAATAAAAAAATAAGGATTGAATGAAATTAACTTGGATGTAATATAGAATAAATATATAGAAGATAAAATAAAATCTAAGTTTAGTAACAATTCACATATACGGGAGATTATGTTCATAAATCAAATATTCATTTAGGCATTGTAACGTTAAAACATAATTGCATAAAGTGATTAGAAATATTATAATAAAATAAATCAACAATTGCAATCATTAAACATATAAATGTATATTTATCATAAAAAATAAAAAAAATCAAACTTACAAATTTACCACAATACATGTATTACTCTTTCTCAATAATTTTTTGATAATTTAATTAATAATTTTGTATGAACTTTAATTTTAATTGATCTAAATTAAATAAATAAATAATATGAATATATTTAAGGACTCATGATATGTACTATTAATGAAGATAAAGAGCAAATTAGATTGTATCTTAAAAAAAAAAATTATATGTTTTACTTAAGATAAAATTAAAAGTTTTTTGGACATAAACATTATGATATAATAATTTAGACTAAAATAATGACTAATTGAGCAACAGAGGAAAGATTTTGTCTATGCTTTGTTCAATATCACGGACTCATAGTATGCAATAACCCATATGATGAAAAATGTATTTTATATTAATTTAATTGAATTATTACTTATGAAATTGAACAAAAAAGAATCCTACAAAAAAAAAGAGTAAATTTGAGTTAATTTTCAACAATACATCCACCATATCCCACAAATAAATTTTTAATGTAGTTTAATTTGATATAAATTCTATTCATAAATTTTAATTGATTTAGATTTAAATAACTAACAAATAAAAAGCTATATATTTAATGGCAAATAATCTTTATTAAATATATAAATAAATAAATGCTAGAAATTTAAAGGTAAATTTGTTATTTTTTAAATTTCATAAGGGTATTTATGCTATTAACTTTTAACACTTTTGGATTAATTTAAATAATTAAATAATAAATGCTATATTTAATGGAAAATAATTTTTAATACATAAATAAAAAATGCTAGATACATAAATAAAAAATACTAAAAATTTAAAGGTCAATTTGTTTTTTCTTAAAATTTGTAAGGATATTTATGTTATTTACTTTTAATAGTTTTAGAGTTCACACTTTTATATATAGATGATATATATATATACACACACGTAGCTACCTTTGATTCACCTGCCAACAGTGACCGGAGAAATATGCTAAGAAGCAGGGTCACTGGTTCACCTAGGTTATTAGGTGGAAATTTTACCAGATAGCTATGAGTTCCTAATAGTCCAAGCACTGGATTTCAAGCCCTTCTTCTGTACTTAAAATATTAGTGTTCTTTCTTTTTAATCTTCTTCTGATATTTTCTGCTTCCAAGATCCATAAATTTGTTCTTTATGGCAAGCCTGTCTGTTGCATTTCGAAGAATATGTTAAGGTAAGTACACAAACCAGAATCAATTGGACGTTTTATTTGGTGCTTTCTGGACTAAATTACAAAACCAGGGAAGTTATTATTCATTCTCACTCTATAAATACTACAGCTTCAGCTTCACATTCACGCCTCAAAAATCTCAATCAATTCTATTTTCACTCATCTGATCATTTCCAAAATCACTAGTAATCATGGGTGTTTTCACATACGAATCTGAGGTTGTTACTGCAATCTCACCAGCCAAGATGTTGAAGGCATGTATCCTTGATGGTGACAAGCTCATTCCCAAGATTGTTCCTCAGGCTTTTAAGAGTGTTGAGTACATTGAAGGCAATGGTGAGCCTGGAAGCATCAAGAAGATTACCTTTGGAGAAGGTTAGTTAATTAATATAACTTAATACTTTGAATCTTATATCTACTAAGTTGGAAGGGTTGTTATTTGGTGGGATAATATCATGAATAACCCCTGAACTATAATGAAATATAACTACCTCTATATTTGCTTTTCCAAATGCAGGAAGTCAATTCAATTACGTGATGCAGAAAGTAGAAGCACTAGACAAAGAAAATTTTGTGTATAGTTACAGTGTGATCGAAGGTGATGCTTTGATGAACACACTTGAGAAAATCACTTATGAAACCAAGTTGGAGCCCTCTTCAGCAGGAGGATCCATATGTAAGACCACTAGTAACTATTACACCATTGGTGACTTTGAGATCACAGAAGAGGGAATCAAGGCCGGTAAAGAAAAGGCCTCGGGAATATTCAAGGCTGTTGAAGCCTACCTCCTGGCAAATCCTGATGCCTACTGAAAATCCCAATGCTGAGATAGCATCCACTTCATTGATCAAAAATTAAATGTGGAATGCATTTGTGCTTGTGTGAGGCAGTTGCTCTCTCTTTTTCTTGTTTTTTCACCTTTCACTTTTGCAATTGTTGGTCCCGGTGACCTTCAGTTAGCTAATAGGGGGTAAAAAAATGTCATGACCACTGGGAAGCTTGTACTATCAATGCTAGCAGTAATAAATAAAAGAACCTCTATTATACTTACTAGAATCTGTCATGTAATGAACTCAATTGGTTCAGTGATCTCAACAGATTTAGAGTTCAAATCATAACACCTGTAATCTCTTTCTTTGTCTTTAAGTTGCGACTTTGTTTTTTTTTTTTCTAATTGTTATGCAATGCAAGCTATCTATTGCAAATGAGTTTGGTGCATTAGCCATTTATTTTCATCTTTCCAGATTTACCAAATTATTGAACGCAATGTGGTCAATGTTTTGAGAAGAGATGCCAAATCAGACAAACTATTAGGCATCCAACCTGCTTGCAATAACCTAGTTTTGGGAGTTTTAAATCCATTGCCAAAAAAACAACCATGGTCTCTCCATCAATTACACCTTTTCATTTAGTTTTATAAATATACAGTTAATTCTGTTCTTGGATGAGTGTTTGTGAGAGAGATTTGTTTTTTCCTTCCCTTTTGTTCAGAGTCTGTGATCAGTAAGCAACTTGTTCGTTTTGAACCATTGAAACTCAAAGTTAATTGTCTTCTGCTAAACAAAGGAGTCATTCATTTTTGGAAATTTATAATCAAATTGTTTGGAACAGGGCCATCAACTTGAATAAAGAAGAAATGGTTAATTACGCAAGTGATTAAGATTTAAGATTTGATATCAAATATTCAAATTTAAACTCTCACGATTTTCTTAGTAAATGATATATAAACTTGAAAAGTCTCATAAAATTCATAAACTTTATTTGTGGGTTAATAATTTATTTTCGTCTTAAAAATGAAATAACTTCTCTTACTCTTAAATTATTTTGGACAAAAAAAAATGATTAAAGTATTTTTTGCTTGAAATCTTTTAACCTAATTAGACAAGTAGTCGGTGATTCTTAAATCAAAATGTGAGAGCCCCACCTATGATCAATGTGGTAAATCAAATTAAGCAAAACATTTTAATCTTAGACTTGATTGGAGGGAATTGGCCCCAGAAGCATCAAGAAGATGACCTTGGCTGAAGGCACCAATTGTTACAAAATCACCATATATATATATATATATATATTACTTTAGCATACTTCAATTTGCCCTATTTTACTTGGATTAATTTCTCCCATTTTGTGCAGAATTTCAGTTCAAGATCACAAATAAGGCCATTGCCTTCCCATCCTTGATGACCTCTTTCTTGATTTCATCTTATGCTTGTTAATTTTAAAAATTTTGTATCATAAGATTAAGTTCGAAAACTTGATCACGACATGTTACAAAGGCGGCGACAAACTTAATTTCATGTGAGATTGACTCAACCTTGTTCATTAAGTCATCATCCAACCTTGTTCGTTAAGTCATCATCCTCAGAGTCAACTAACAAGAAAAATAAAATAAGTAAGACTAAAGAATCTAGAGTTAGGGTATTTGGGTAAAATTACGTTAATATCGGAATTTCTTTTACAATTTTTTTTTTTTAAAAGTAACTTTTAAAAATTTATAAAAACCCTACATATTCATAATTCTTAAGTAGGTGCTTTGGCGTCTGAACTAGCCGATTGACATCAACCCCCACAACTATAATTATTTCAAGAAAAGTAAGTAATTTCTTCATGGGTTTCTTGTTAAAACTCATTTTTTAATCTAAAGGATTAATTTTTATTTTTTTTTGTGGTATTCAGGATTGTTCTTCGATTCGATTGAATTTCGATAAGTGAAGAGTAGATGGAGGACTGGGGTATTTATTTTATTGGCCAAATTTGATTACTTGTTTGTTCTTTCAGTAGGGCTTTGATTGAACATTACTTATCCGTTTTCTTTCGTCTGTTTTGTTATGTATGAACTTGCATGTGGAAGCTTTCTTTTGATAAGAGCTTAAAATTAATTGGGTGGATTCAAAGTTGGAATTTTTATTTGTTTTTGCTTTCGTTTTTCTGGTTGGGATGTTTGAAAGCTTCTGCTTTGGGTAAAGGTTTGTTGGGAAATCAGCTATGGTATTGCCAGGTGGAATGGAGTAGATTATGGAGATATTTAGTGGGTTTTCTTTTTTATTTAGCATGCTTGTGCTCAAATTGAGCTCGAGCCATGGCCTGACGATGGCCCCGTAATCTTGTCTAGGAGGTTTAAAGAGTAAAGATGCCTACATTACCTTAAAGTGGCTTCAATTCTATTTATCTTTCATCTGCTTTTAAGTTGTTAAGAAGTACTAATACCATGGTCTGTTTTAGAAATTTCAAATCGTAATTGAAGAACCTATCACATTATGTCCTTTTTTTCTCACGATGTCGTTTGCTAATGTTGCAGAGGATGAGATTCCATCTCTCCTTTCAAAGGAGCAACCCAAAAGCAAATGGGATGATGAAGATGCTGATGATAATGATGTTAAGGAATCATGGGAGGATGAAGATGAACCTCCTCAGGTATGATGATTTAATTATAATTTGGTATTAGTTCAGTGTACTAATATTTTACTGTCAGGGCTCTTTAGTGATTATCAATATTTATGCTACCTTTAAAAATATTTTCAGTAAATTCTGTGCAAAATGGCAATCTTAGTAGCAAATTACTGCTACCTGAACATAGGCTAGAAGATCTGGTTACAAGTGTTGAGTGTTGGTGCATGGGTCTTCTAGTCTAATTTTGAAAGTTATTAGCACTTTTGGATTACAAGAAGTAATATCCTGATTTGGTTTTGATACATATATCCCAGAGGATTGTTAGCTGGATAATTAGTAGCATCTAATATTGAATTACTAACCAAATTTGTAACTTGGATTTGGTGTTGCAAACTTTATTAAGATGAACATCATTCTTGATGTCATAAGAATTTCTTGTCCTGGCTTATGACTATCCTGCTGCATCAGTTAAGTAATCTGATTGATGATTTAGAGTGATGGGACTCATAGGACAGAAACCTGCCGTCAATTCTTACCATTTGGCACTTGAATCAAGTAGATAGAGTGTTTCCTAGGTTATATTGTCTTCTAAACCTGTATCTCTTTTGACTACTGGCATAACAATTGCTGTCACCAGTAACATGGTTAATTACCTTTCCCGTATTACCATGAACATTGACAGTATGATAGTGTTTTCCTTGAAGATCTGTTGTTTTGAATTCATTAGCAAAAATTACTTATTGCATATCTAAGTTGTTACTTAGCTGTTTACTATGGACATTCTATGCAAAGAATGTTATTGTAGACAAGTTTTCTTGTTGAATAACTGACAATAGAGTAAAACTATTTTGCTTGCGTTGATGCGATGTTTCAGCAACCTGTAGCAAAAGCTCCTGAAGAGAAGCCCCCTAAGAAACCTGCATCAAAAGCTACTGAAAAGAAAGGGAAAACCATTGAAGTAGCCAAAGAAGAGCCCCTTGATCCTGTGGCCGAGAAGCTTCGCCAACAAAGGTAGAGATTTAGTATTTTTAGCTTCTCCAGTGTTGACACTGAGAAACTTCCTCAGTCATTTATAGTGGTTATTACTGCATAATAAATTACTAGAACTTAACTTAGCTCACCTTAGTTTCGAACTAATTCTTTGTAGTTCATTTCTAAATTAACTGAAGCCATATTATTTTTCTCTGCCATCTGCATGCATGGATCTCAGAATTGTTATGGCACCACGTTTTACTTGTATCTGTCTCCAAAATTAATATTTTTCTGGCGTTTGCTTTCTTCATAGGCTTGTGGAAGAAGCTGATTACAGGTCTACTACTGAACTTTTTGCCAAGAAAGGTGATGACAAGACTCTTGATAATTTTATTCCCAAATCTGAAAGTGACTTTGCAGAATATGCTGAGCTTATTTCTTATAAGCTTCACCCATATGAGGTGAGTTTAATCATCCTTCTTTTCTAGTCTTGGCTCTACATTGAGAAAGTTCTTATGTTGCCCAAATACATCCTCTGATGCAGAAAAGTTACCATTATATTGAACTGCTCAAGGCAGTGATGAGACATTCAATAGTTTCTTTGAAAGCAGCTGATGCCAAAGATATTGCATCGTCAATCACAGCAATTGCAAATGAAAAGCTAAAAGCAGAGAAGGAAGCCACAAGTAAAAAGAAGACAGGTAAATTGTCTGCAATTCCTTTTTTCGTTCTTGAGTCCCATGTTATATGCCTTAGTCAAAAAAAAAAAGAAATGCGTGGTGGTTCAAATTTTAACTTAATTGAGAATTTTGTCAATCGTGGGAAGAAAATTACGTCCACTCTATTTTTAAAGGAAGAGAATATTGACTATAATTAAGCAGAATTACTTAGATATGTGATTGAGCATTATGCTTATAGCAAGAGTGGTTTAATGCCACTCTCTTACATAATTTCAAAGTAGGGCAATTTAATAAATTTTTAAAGTTCCTTCACATGATGGCAATCACCCCCTTCAGCTGACAAAGATCTTCTAGAAAGTTATAGGTGTAAAAGCCTATAAATCTTTATTCCTTGAAATCCTTAGGTTTAGGCAGTTAGGCTTGCTTTATACAATAAGACAGGTTGGGGTTGACATATGATGGTTCCTCTTATAACCTTGGTTTGCTGTGGGTTTTAGATCTGAAACAGTTCTGGACATTAAATAAGAAGAAGATTAAGAGGCATATAGATCTTTATCTTCTCTTTTATTTCCACTGCTGTTTCAGATATACAACTTGCTGGTCAGCCAATCTTTCACACTCTAAATGTAAATGGTCATATATCACACTTTCGCCAAACCCACACTGAAGTAACCCTTAAATTTAATCCTAAGCCTAAAGTTCATGTGGCCCTTTCCGATGTCCTATGATACCTGCTTTTGCAAAGTTTAGAGACAATTCCTCCAGACACAATTCCTCCAGACATCTGTAGCCCCGATTACTTTTCCTATATAGACAAGCTATGTGTTTGATTGACTCAACTTTTTAACTACTGTTCTGATTAAAAATGCTTCTTAATTTCATGTTATACTCCTAATCACCTTTAAATACTGCAATTCTCTAACTGCTTTTTGACTTTTTTCTTTCAGGTGGCAAGAAAAAACAGCTCCATGTTGATAAACCGGACGATGATTTGGTTGTTAATGCTTATGATGACATTGATGAGTATGACTTCATGTGATTCATTTTGGGCAAATGCCACCTTGTTCTTGTGTTTGCAATAGGGATCCCGTGTTTACTGCAGCAGCAATGTGGAGGTAGATCCTGCGGCTCTTCTAATTTTTTTTTTCCAATTCTTGGAGAAATAGTTGTCTGGTGAACAGCCATAAGATGGAGGATAGTGTTACATGAACCATTAGATTAAACCTCAGAAACCAAGTCTTCTAGATGGTTTTGGGTGGTTTTGGTTTGTTACCTTTAAAATTCACATGATGTTAGAGTAAGGTTGAGAATTGTTTCTATTGTAATAATATACAAATTATACTATTTGTTTGTGCATTATGAGAACTAGTTTGCCATGATTTAATAAAATTTTCTTGTAAAACATTATTTTGGGACAAGTTGAGTTACAAGCCTGAAAGAAAGCATACTATGCTGAAAGCAATAGAAAAGAGAATGGGTTTCTTTCATTACCAAATGAAAAAGGACAATAGAATGATATTCAACAAGGCGCTGGCTTAAAAATATTAGTTGAATGCTACACAGATGCCATGAAAAGATCAGGGAATAATGAATATGCAATTGGCCAGGTGGTTGATTGATGCATACAAAGTGTTGCCCAAATATAATGGCAAAATAATCAGATTCTAAGAATAGGATTGGCATATACTCTAGTGTTAACTGTACCAGACAATTTCAACCGGGAATGTTCCACTAAATTGGATTAAAAAAATGGGTTTTTTGTTTGTCACTGTTAATCTTGCATGAAATTAAACAGAAACAAATAGATAAAATAATCTCCATCGAAATTTTCAAGTGTTTTTAGCCCCTTTTGACCATGATTTTTCCAATAATTTACCCTTTTTCTCTTATTGCTGGATTCAAATTTTTTTTACTTCAAAGCCATTTTCTACAATGAGTGATTAAATATCCAATAAAAAATTATAAAAAACAATAAATTACAAGTACAAAAATTTAAATTTTAAATTTGTTGAATGTTATTTTTTAAAAATAATCATATGAACTAGAGTTAAACCCCGTTAATAATTTTGTGATAAAGATTCTTGCATTTGTCATTAGTACAAATGTTTTGGATCATTGATTCTACAATCTAGTAATTGGCATTTGTAGCAAATGAATGTATTTAGTTATTAATAAATAGATGGAGCTACCTCCTTACTCTCTAGAGTTTGATTTGGGTCAACAAGAGAGATCCATAATTTGTTCTTTGCATTTGTACTAACATAAATTTTCTGGTGCTTTAGTTGCAGGCACAATCTCATGTCCTTGGAAACTCAGCCTTGAAACTGACTTTACAATGAAACAATTTCAGGGATAAGCATCCTTGAATTTGAACCTATAAATACACCCTGCTTGAACCACTGTCAATCACATCATCAAGTTTCAAAAAATAAAAACTTGTTAGCCCAAATAGAGCTTAGCCATCTCCTTTTTTGCTGATATATATCCAATGGGTGTGACCACTTGCAGTGATGAGTTCACTTCTCCAATTCCTCCAGCCAGGCTATTCAAAGCCTTGATTGTTGACTCTCACAATCTCATCCCAAAACTCATGCCATTGGCTGTTCAGAGCATTGAAATTATTGAAGGTGATGGAGGAGCTGGAAGCATCAGGCAGGTCAACTTTGCTGAAGGTGAAATAACCTACAATATCCACACTATCTACATTTGAACAAAGAATTCCTACTGCTAAAACACTTCTATATAAAAATCCGTTATTGGATTAAAAGAATGAGTTTGTTTTCTATAACGGCCTGTTAAGTTTATAAATTCTACAAGCGGGATTTTCAGATTAATCACATAAAAAACTATAGACTTGTTGGCCTAGTAACATATGTATTATACAGGTAGCCAAGTGAAGTGCATCAAGAACCGGATCGATGAGCTGGATGAAAAGAACTTTTCATACAAATACAGTTTGATTGAAGGCGATGGATTGATGGATAAGCTGGAGAAAATTACGTATGAGGCTAAGTTTGAGCCAACAGCAGATGGTGGTAGCAAAAACAAGATGATAAGCACTTACTACACCAAGGGTGATTTTGTGCTTACTGAAGAGGAAGTTAAGGCTGGCAAGGAAAAGGCCTTGGCTATGTACAAAGTTGTGGAAGGCTATCTCATTCAGAACCCTGATGCTTATGCTTGACCAAAATCTGATGTTTATGTCTTTGCATATGATGCTCAAGGGGTTTTCAGTGTCTGCTGTGTTACACTACTCTAGCTTTTAGCTTGGAACTGGCAATAACTGCCTTATTAATAAGGATTGAAACCCACCCAAATCTTTGGTGTGGGTTTAGTCAATGTTTGAATGTGATAAGATTAAGAATATTATGCAAGAAAAAAATATTAATACCCAATTCAGGTATCTTAAACTCTTAATAAATTAATAATAATAAAAACTTAAAATTTAGTTAAATTAATTCATTTGTCATTAGAAGACATGTATCAAGTTTAAAATTTATATCTTAGCACCTGCAACCCCTTTTCTCATCTCGGGTTGTGGCTTACTTTGTAAATAATAATAATAATAATAATAATTGAGTAATTCTGGGTACGTTGAACATTTCAAAGCCAAGGTGAAGACTTTCCTAATCCTGCAGCTGAAGTATTGACTTCAGAAGCAGCTACCAACTTTTTTTTGACAAACAAGTTTTAATAAGCCTTCATTTTCCCATCTTCGGAAGAAATTTTCCCATTAAAACTTGGTTCATTCTCCCATCTTCACAATTTTATCATAGCACATCTCTGAATTGTAAGCACAAAAAGAAAACATGGGTGTTATTAAGATCACTCAAACATTTCGAACCCGAGTGACTCCTTCGAGGATGTTCAAGGCCTTGATCCTGGACTCTCACAACCTTGGCCCCGAGCTCATGTTTTCATCTATCAAAAGTATTGAATTCATTGAAGGGGAAGGTGATGCTGGTAGCATCAAACAGATCAACTTCACTGAAGGTTAGTGCAACCAATGGTTCAACGTTTTATCTTGTTTTAGGTTAGTTTTCCTTCATAACGATGATTGTCATACTTGAAAAATTGTTGGTTTTGATTATATTTGCAGCTAGCCCTTTTAAGTATGTGAAACATCGAATTGATGAACTTGACAAGGAGAAATTCATGTGCAAATATACTTTGATCGAAGGAGATGCGTTGATGGACAAACTTGAATTCATCACCTATGAGGTCAAATTTGAGGCGTATGGTTATGGAGGTTGCGTCTGTAAGGTAACAAGTGAATACAAACCGAAAGAAGGTATAGAGATAAAAGAAGAAGACATTGAGCTTGGGAAGGATAGAGCTATTGGCATGTATGAAGTTATAGAAGCATACCTTATGGCACATCCTCATGCCTATACTTAAAAAATGATTTGAAATTCCCTTTCCCCATATTTTACTAGGTCCGGTCTCTTATGTATATTAAAAAAAATGCAATATATACCTTTAATTTCATTGTTTCACGATCCAAATTAGCTCATAACCTTGCAAATTGATAGTTTATCTTTGAGAAAACAATATCAGAACATTATTGTTGTAGACTGCTTGCTTCCTTTCTTTTCTTTTGATACGAAACTATTTAGGAGCCGGGGAGGTTATATCTGTTGTAGACTGCAGGTCAGGGCAAATCACCAACCCACAAGGGGATTTACGAATCCTTTGAGACTTTTCAGACTTACAGATCATCTACCAAGAGGAGATCGTGAAGGTTCGAACTTTAGTGCTTTGCATCTAAATTCTAAATCTTAACTACTTGTGCTAACCCCTATTGGCACTGCTTGCTTCCTTTCATTTTCACACATTTGGCCCCCTCGATCTAGATGCTCCCTGAGTAGCATACCCAAACTAGGAAAGCAATGCTGGCATTTCCTAGCCAGCCTGTATATTCCCACAAATGATGTGCCACACAGGAAACAAAGAGCTGCATGTCAACTTCACTCTTTTGAAATATGCACTTCCTCTTCAATAAAAAAAGAAAGAAAGCATCCTTGACCCTCTCTCTTTAACTTTCCAAGCTACAGCTTCAATGATCATAAGAGAATTTCCCATCCCAATTCACAAAAAGTACTATAAAATCACTCTCTAGAAAGCAAATATAAGGGTGTTTTGAGAAACCCAAAAATTGTCTGATCAATTTGATTCTTCTCCTAGCTTTGTTTAATGTTATAGAGTCCCTTGTTGGCCATGACAGATGACACTTGTTGGCCTGTGAGAATTAAAAAAAAGAAGGGTTTCCAAGGCATGAATTGTCCAAAAATAGCTATATTCCTTGTTGCCTCACCTAACTGTCATTTTTTTTTAGAATAAGAAGTTTATAGGTACAAAATTTGGCAACTCTTAAGAATAAGAATCTGTATAAATTAGGAGTTCAAACAATTCAAAAGGTGATCACATCAATTAAAGTTGATTAGAGGGGCAAAATAATGGTGTTTTGTTATTCTATCATCTTTTCTCATTCATTCTTTCTCTTATTCTTATGCTGTGAATGAAACAGGCAAACAGGCAAATGAGAGATTAAACTCTTCCAGCAAAGTGGAGTAAATGGAAATATCAATTATGGCATTACCCCTTCATAGAGACAATTTTGTTTGAAATAAAACCGTAACACTTTAAATTCAAGACGGACAATACCTCATTGAATGCAAATCTATCCTACTATAACAAATTCTACTTTTCTCAGCTAAATCAGAAGTCAATAGAGAAATAAGAGATGGTTAGTTCATGAATGAGCTGCAAAATCTAAAGCAGACATTTGGCAGGTACTGGCTGGTCAAGAGTTAGTGAAAAATATTGTCCATCTCCATCCTTTACAGCACATAAATTAAAGCCTTCCAATATGTTTAAAAGTCCTTAAATGCAGGCTGGGATCAATATCCCACAGCATCAAGCAACTCTATGCTTGATTCTCCTGTTGAGAGACAAGTTATGATTACCAACTAGAAAATGATTTCTGACGTCTTAAAATATCTCGGAGAACTGCAAAATCACATTGCCTGTAATAACCTAACCCAGTCCATAATCTTACATCTGATCTCAAGTTAATTTTTTGCTCAATATTAAGGTTTTTGAATTAATCTTTTGATACTTACAAGCTGAACTGGCAAGTGTGAATTTATTGTTTGTCATCCAATAAACTTTATCAGCTCTAGGGCACGTTTAGGCCCTGGAGAGGAATCTGGCTTTCAATCTCCATCAACCTTTATGACAAAAATGAAAGGCAGGGCTTCTACTCAAGAACAATTTCTTGTCATTTTATCTGCTATATACAGTGATATTTTACTTGTGACAAAAGGATTCCTTGAGAGTGGATATCCATGCCTTCATACACCTATAAAGCTACTTTGATCGTTGTTGACTAATGAAACCATGCATAGGCAAATGATTTAGCTCTATCATCTGTTCTCACACTTTAATTCTCTTCTGTGGTCGGTTTTGGATATCCTAAACCGCACATAAATAATTCAATTATGGATGGATGGATGCTGGCTTGATCACGGCCATCCAAGCTAAAGCAAATTCCCTCTGGCTCAACATTTCAAGGTCCATAAAGAAACACCGACTCTTTTCTGAATCCACATCCCCCCTTCTCTTTCCCTTTAAGATTTGATAATGACCCTTGAAGCCTAACCAAGCTATAGCTAGCAGCAAACGCTCCCTCCCTCTAACCCAGAAGAAAAGGAGATTCCTTGCATGCCCCACATCTTTTGCCTTTGAAATATTCCTTATTAGGCGTGTACAAATAAAAGCCACCTATTGATTCTTCCTTCATACTCTCCACTATCTCGAATATCTCATACAAAGCTTAATCTCCTCCAGGTTTCTCCATTCCTAGGCCTCATGGTGCCGGAGTTTGAGGTAAGCTTTTATTGCTAGTGTACTTCTACATCTACATGCATCAATAGAACAACAACTACATTTCAACAATCTCAATAACCGGTCTTTTATCTCATCAAATGTTGCAGAAACCTCAAGTCACCGAGATACAAGTCCGAATGGACTGCAACGGCTGTGTACAGAAGATCAAGAAAGCGCTGCATGGCATTCACGGTAATAAGCAATTAATGGTTTGGTTACATTCTGCCTCATCCTGTTTCTAAACATTGCTCAAATCCTGATTTTTGAGTTAGTTCATGTTTTCCACAGGCATACATGAGGTTTATCCTGATATTGCTCAACAGAAACTAACAGTGATAGGCTGGGCAGATCCAGAAAGAATAGTTAAGGCAATTAGGAAAACTAGGAAGATTGCAACAATCTGTTCCCATTCAGAACCAACACAAGCCGCTGCAGAGCCAACAGAACAACCACCTCAAGGTGGTGCAGCAGCTTCAGAGGCAGCAAATCCACCCCCATCAGAAGCTCCACCAGCTAAAGCTGCTCCGCAACCTCAATCACAACCTGAAGAAGCTCCACCTGCAGAGCTACCAAAAGATGAACAGCCACCGGATAATCCACAACCAGAGCCAGCACCTGCACCTGCAGCTACTGATGCCAATGCCGGCCAGCAACCACCACAACCTTCTGGATCAAAAGATGTTGGAGAAGTTCATCCAATATGCCCCCACCCACCTGATTATGGACATAGATATGGCTATGTTCACAGCTATGGAAGGCCCTGGAGCAGACAATACCCCAATAGCCAAGGCAATTTCTATCCTGAGCCAGTAAGCACACACCCTAATAGCCAAATTTTCCACCATGAACCACCTCAACATGCCTTTGTAACTCACAGCTACAACACATACAAGCCATCACCATATGTAACAGAACATGAATATGTTCATTCACCACCACAATACACGCATTACAGTAGGATTGATCACTACAATGAAGACTATCACAATAATTACAGTAGTGGCAGCAGCAGCAATGGCAATGGAAATATTACATCCATATTTAGTGATGAAAATCCCAACGCTTGTAGAATAATGTAGATAAATTTAGCAAGGAAGATATGAACAGAAGGGGCTCTTTCTTTAGCCTCTGCTAGGAAGACAGCTAATAAAGAATAAATCATGGAGAACTATAGAATCTTGAGGCGGCAATGTAAAAAAACTGCACATGTTGAGGGAGGTATAGATTCTATGCTTGTAAGTGCTGGAAGAACCAATTCTGCAATCCACTTTTGAGCTCTGAGAGAGGTTTTATTTGCTAAAGACATTTTTATATTCTAGTTCTACAATCAATCTTCTCAGCCAGCCAACCATCCGATTTTGAAAAATATCAACATCCCTTTATATTTTATCATTATTGATATTGTTTCACTTTTATAAATTACAACAGTAAACTCCCGTTCCCATACATCTGTAATTCAGTGACAAAAATAACCAGCAAAAAACAAGGATATTCAAATTTTAACATAAACAAATTAACTTGTACCTAGAAAAAATCAGAGGCCATAATAATACTAACAATAATAACCTATATTTCTAAGGATCAAAGAACAGGATGAATATAAACAAGGGAAAATGGGTGACACAAAATTGTAGACAACTATGGCTGGTCTGATACTTGCACGGCTGGACTATGGAAACGTCACTCTCAGAGGAACCATATTGGCAGCTCCAGAAAATAACCGAAACAAAGTCATAGAAAGTTGAACTAGGAAGGCCAGCACTCCAACACGCATTACAACTAATCCCCCATTGTTTTCAATCCACTTGAAAATTAACACTATTCTGCAACTTTGGATATGTGACATGCAACAACCAACAATAAGCCCCTAACAGGTATGCATTTATGTCACGAAACAATTAAATCAGGTAGTAACACATAATGTCATCTACAATAAGAATACATAGTATCAACGACCCGAATTACGAGAGTTTTCCCATTACGCACGACAAATTTTCAACTACAAATTATGTTGGTTTCTTATCAACGGCTTTGTGCCATCTTAACAACATAAAGTAAATCTACTCAAGATAAGATAATTCATATTAAAATCTTCAACAATCAATTCAGTGAACAAACTAATTGCCCCACAATTAGCAAGAAAACATAGTATTACTAATTACTATCTTGAACCAAAGGCAGTTAATCACCATCATCTTTACTTATTTGGGATTCATCTTCTTCCCTGTAAAGAATATCATCTACATTGTCATCATCTTCATTTTCATCTTCATCCATTTGGTGATCACTTGCGGAGAGTCGACTTTGTTCTGAGCCACCTTTTCAATCTGTTTTGAGAACATAAGAATTACAATCAAATACAGACAGCAAATATTTAATTAGAGTAATGACATTAAGTTACCAACCACAGCTGTTATTAGCCATAATCGCCCAGATAATTGTAGCAAAGACTGAATAGCCAACCCTCTAGATCTGGTATTCTGGAAAAAAGAGACATTATGGATCATCATAATACAATTATTATAATGATCTCATTTCTTTAAGATAACAACAAAAGGATAATTTCCCACAGAAAGAGTAGAATCTGGGCAACAACGACACAAGAGCATGATTCTAAAATTCACTCAATAACATTTGCAGAACCACCTATAAAGGTACCCAACCAACAAGCATAAGAAAGTTCCTTTGGCATTTTAAGCAACTAATAAAATCACACCCTCAACAAAAGCTTAAGCTAAAAGAAGATAAAAGAATGCATGTGCATATCCAGGATGGCAATCACTAACTCTCCACTTCAACTGACCAGCTGAACATAAAGTGCTAAGACGTCACCACTTCCCATTCCCAATACTAGCAAAGAACTTCCAAGTTTCCTTTTCTTCTGCAGTAATTAATAGTTTTGGTCCAAAAGTTACTCCATGATAGAAGAAAAATCCACTTATTTTAAATCCTTCAAAAAAAGTTTATCAATATATGAAAAGGCAAACCTCTTTGTCCAAATCCAACCACTTCGAACATTCCTAATCAATCAAAAGATGCCCTGTTTCCGCCTTAGCATATATGTTTGTTGCCTCACTTGAGACAATGTCTGCAAATTCAGTTTGAATTTGTCCCTTCAAAGTGTCCCAAATCTAACAAGACATAAAAGTATTTAAAAGAAAAAGAAAGCAGCATAGTTACACATTGAATCATAAAATGCAACCACTTGTTCTCAAAATTCCCATTATGCAATCACAAACTTGGAATGGTTTTACCTACCTTAATACGACCACATCCAGAACTGATAGCAAAGTAGTCCAAAAAAAGACTAAACGCTGTCAAGATATCTCTAAACGATCCCATAACCTTGAAATAGCATAAGGTGAACTACATTAGCATAAAATTCAATAGTCTTGCAAGCAAAAATACAAACTTCTGAATTCCATGCACAAATGAGAGAAAACCTGGAATTACAAAGCTTTAGCTCAAGACAAAACCAAAGATAAAGATAAGGAAAAACCCAAATACAAAAAGTGGTGCTTTTTCAAGCTATAAGTTTCCAACAAGAGTTTCTTATAGTTGAAGCAAATGATAAGCTTAAAAAAGGGTAGACAAAAGAACTAGTATCAGCCCAGAAGAAACATAGAAACTTGGGTTGTTTAAATGCTTACAGCAAAGAGCTCGGTTTGTTATGTTAAGTTTAAAGTATCATTTTTTTTCAAAGAAGGAAAACAAAAAATAAGACTTACCCAACAAGAGATGGTAGGTGAGGCACCTGAAACCGCAAAGGGCAAAGAGAGAGGGAGCCATTGCAGAAGGAATCGGAGCTAAGGGCGATTTGATTTTGAGTTTTGTTGTAAGGATGGGCATTTGGTTCACTTACAAATATGATTTAGAACCTTTTTGAATTGGGTCAATAGCCCACTCTCAAAGAAATTTTGGGCTTAGCCCATTTAATTGCGACCCAATATTTCTCGTATCTCTTTTTTTTTTTTTTTTGGTATTTTCTTTGATTAGGTTAAGTTTATGGAAGATAATGGTTGAATTAAATTAAATTAAATTTCATTTGATCCAGTTTTTTTAGATAATATATAGTATTATAAATATTTAAAATTTGATCTAAATTCGAACCGATTTTTTTTAAAACTAATTTGATCCGAACCAAAATTTATTAGTTTGATTTGATTCAACGACTTTTAAATTTTAAATTTTTTATATATTATTTTAATAAAATTTCTAACATATTTAAATAAATTTTTATGTAAAATAATTATTTTTATTTTATAAAAATTTAAAATATATATGTAAAAACTAATAAAAATATATAATTTGATTTAATTTTTTTTATTTTTTACATTCTAATCTGAAATTTGATTCGAATTTAATATATATATTTAATATCCGAATAATTCAAATCGAATGAAAAAAATCAATTCGAACTAAATCAAACATTAGGATTTTGAATTGATTTTCAATTTTTTTAATTTTTTTCTCACCTTCAATTAAATTATAATGGATCATAAATAAAATTGATTTTTATTTAGAATGAGATAAAAAAAAAGTTGATTTTTAATATACTGATAATAAAATTTTTTAATTCAACAAATAAGATTAAAACATTGACTTATATCTTACTTTTTTAATTAATATTTTATTATATTATAAAAAGTATGTATCTCTTTATTAATTTTACTTGTAAAATTTAAAATTTTCGTTGCCAATGATGAGATAATTTCTCCGAAAAAAATAAAGATAGCCCTTTTATTTATGATGCAAAAAGGCAGTCACTTTGAGATTGTAAATTATGAGTGCATTTAAAAAAAAAAAAAACTTTTTATAATGAATAAGTTTGTTTTTTTATGAGTGACTTGAAATTCCAATTTCTAATATTAAATATTTAGGTTTACAAGTCAGATTATTTTTTTTAAATTAGTTGATTTGTTATTTGAGTTAATATTTAAAAATTACGAGAGTTTGAGAAAAATTATGTACGTAATATCTTTTTCAATCAAATAAGTAATAGAGTAAAGAATTTAAAAGTATATTAAAAATTATTTAAAAAAATTTAAGCCTACAACTCTAGATGAGACAGGAATTTGTATCAACAACATTTCATTTTTGTCTTTGTCTGCTCCATGTAAAGGCATCCAATGCAATTGGAAACTGTTTTTCTTTTTCATTTTTCAGGAAAATTGGAAATTGCATAGTTCCTTCTCTTTACTAGGAAAATTAATGCAGATGGATTTTCCAATTCATCCTTCTTTGTTTTATGGTATCTTGTAATTTAGCTTGTTAACCATGTGTTGCCAACAAATCACTGTTATTGGAACCATTACATGCAATAATTTGAATGTAACTGAATTGAAAATCGAAAACACCTGAACCCAAAGTTTAGCGGAGACGTCAGATCATATCTCTGTACATGCAATCTTTTTTTTTTATCCTCGGATCATGACTTTTCGATGATAGTGAAAATGGAAGCAAAGCCATCTCCAATTGATTGACTAACAACAGTTTATTCAATCAAAGGACCCCTTTGGATATCTCTTTATCTACCATTATCACTCAGCAAATTCAATCCAAATGATGTAATGATTTTACAATGAGACTGGATCAAAACTATGAACACAAGGAAAGAAGAAAAGAATTCAATAGACAGCAATACTAAAAATACCCCCAACATCCTTTTGTGCTTTTGTACCACCACTACCAAAAATTTCCGTACACAAGAATTAAGAAATGAAGCTATACAAGCAATCTGCAGGTTTCAACATGCCAGAATCCGAACGGAAGGGATGAAGAAACAGGTATTCTAGACATGTGTTTTATTGGAAAGAATCTGACCTACTCTTGAATTGGTAAAGGGTAGAAATTTCCGAATTTATATATTTTCTAGTGGGAAGGAATGGTATCATAAGATCGCGACTCTACCTTTAGGCTTCAGGATGGAAAAGCATGATGAAGAAGTATTTGATTTCTCAAGGTCGGGGCATGGTTCGGGGAAGACCGACTCTGAAAAACCAGAAACATATGAACATATCCAAGAAGTGGAAGAGGCAGCATTGATTGACAAGGAGATATTGGATAGACATATAGATGTGAAGGGAGAGTCTTGGATTCCTGTGAAGTTTCCGGCAACAGTGATGTTTGTACCAATAATATTCTGCAAGGTGATGTTCTGCAGCACTGGTAAAGCACCGGGATCAAATTTGTCATCTGGATGGGATCCATAATTACCAATGGCACCAAAAGCCGTGTTAACATTTAGCAACTCAACATCTGATATGATGATCTCTTTAATATAACCACCCCTACCCCTGGTTGTTCTAAACTCAATACCACTGAACGAGTTGTAGAGGTGGACCTGCTCCACTTGGACATCAGAAATGCCACCAGACATTTCACTACCAAAGGCAAGAGAAGAGCCTGAGGATGACTGAAGGTGGGCCCTTCTGATGTGGACATTTGCGGTAGGTCTCCCATAAGCAATGCCATACTCATCCCAGCCACTCTTGAGGGCAATCGCATCATGACCCATACTAATGTTGCAGTCCTCAATGCAAACATTATCAGATGAATCTGAAAGCAGAATGCTAAGAATGATTCAGAAATTTTTGCTGCAGAACCATCTTTATACACAATGAAGGATGATTGCACAAAACACTAGATGACACTTGAAAAATGGGAGAGATAATCTAGCTCCACCTAGAAAGTTGGATGAAAATACTGAAATGAATGCTTTAATATCAAAAGAAAAAAAAAATATGAAAAATACTTCTTATAGAAAATTAGCAAATTTACCAGATCCAAGTCTCTGTTGTATGAACACAGCCACTCACTAGCTGCTACTAAGTACTAATTTTCGAGGCAGCTAGTAACAGTTAACATACAATTTGTTCCTTAGAAACTCTTTATGATACATTTGACAGAAAAACGAAACTAAACAACTCCTATAGTTACCGTTGTTTTCAAGACAGATGATGTTTTCAAGAGAGATAATGTTATAAAGCAAGATTTAACCACTTGCAGAAGCAATCTCCGAGTAGCAATACAGCACATGACAAAGAAAAAAGAGGGTTTACAGATTTCTTTAAGTAAAATCGATTTAATCTTTTCTTAAGATAAATATTGATAAAAGCACCCAAAAAATGAAAAGAAAAAGCAGGTATTCTAATTTGCAAGGCAACTAGCCTATAATGAAAGATGTTGACAATAGGCGATATTAGTCATCACAAACCTGGGACTATGCCAACAGTATGTGGTGATTCTGATGGAGCATGGACAGATATGTTATGAATATGTACATTGCTGCATAAAATCCAAGTAGATATAATTTAACTTTCTTCGTGGATCAACCGATCAAACAAAAGTTTAAAGAATTAGCTCAGCAATCAGCAAGGTATTGAAAACAAACCTACAATAGACTGGATGAATATTATATGCAGGGGCATTCAGAAAAGTAATGTTTGAAACAAGTACGTATTCGGAAGACACAAATTCCACAAGGTGAGGGCGGCTATAGTTTAAAGAATGAGATGTGAACCATTCCCACCAAACGGAGCCCTGCCCATCTATGGTTCCATTATCACCTAGTGCAACATGAAAGTGTGAGTTTATCTGAGACTCAATCAAGATTGTAACTAACAGACAGTGAAAGAATGAGCATAAATGAAGTTAAGAGGTAATCTTACCAGTTATTTCGACATCACGCAACATATACCCATTTACCAAACTTCGATATCTTCGTCCGGGAAGTTCAATTCCTCGACCATATGAGGGTAAGGGTTCAACAATATCCCAGTGAGATGGATCCTTAACAAGCAAGAAAAGCAAGTGTGTAAGGAAATCAAGGCTAAAAGTTGTTCCTAGTAACATGTATTGTTTTTATTGGACAACATACCTTAAAACAAGAGAAAAACAAATAGAAATGAGGGCAAAGGAAACAGAGAAAATATACCTGAGATCCAAGAATGACAGCACCTTTTTCCAAGAAGAGAGTGAGATGGCTGGTAAGATTGAAACTTCCAGTAAGCCATCTTCCAGGTGGCACATAAAGTTGGGCACCACCCTTGTCAGCAAAAGACTTGAGATAGAAAATGGCATTTTGAAAGGCAATGGTATTCAAAGTTTTGCCATCTCCAACAGCACCAAATTCCAATATGGATACACTATGTGGTCTTGGGTCCAATCTCAGCTTATGGTCACACTGCTCATTGCTCTCTTCTCCATTAATTTTGATTGCATTGCACAATGCCAGCAGCAAGAGCAATGCCACCTGCAGCAGAATGGAGAAAACAAAAAAGGCAGCCAATTGAAACTCAGAAGAAAATATGCTATTAAAAAGGAGATCAAGAATTTCACATCAAGGATACAAGACAAAACGAAGAGAATCAAACACTTAATAGCTTAAAGCTTGAAAACATATCAATCTGATAAGTAGTAGAGTGTATCAAAGATTCAAAGCTGTTGTACAAACATCTCAAAAAAGAATACAAATGCTAGCAGCAGAAACAGCTGTGCCTAGTAATGCAGTAATGCCAAAAAGAGGAAACTACTAGCCGGCATTTCTAACAAAGAAAAGACATAAACTTTGGACATATTATACAAATATAGTGAATCATCATTATTGAAATGATGAGTGATTGTAGCAAATAATTTGAAAAAGAATCCAAAAGAAATCAAGTTAATTGAGGTGGCAAATGACCAAATTTTTATAATTTGACTAAAATAAAGGAATTACCATGAATTTAAGGTAGCATTAAGGCAACAATAAATGCAGAAACTAATAAAGCATCTTAAATGTTAATGTCAGAGAGTGATCTTACAACTCCAAAAGCAAGGAAGATGGAAAAGTTGAAAGTTTTTAGAATCCAATGAAACCAAAAGTCTGCTAAATAAAGGGCTGTAAAAATGAACTAAAATTCCACAAACTGGAGTGACTGAATATCAAACAAGAAGAAGGAAAATGGAAGCATCACTATCATTAAAGGTGAACATAGAAAAATCCAGAAGAGACATATATAAGTTGAATTGCCACCATTGATGATGAGCAAATCCAGTCAACAAAAAATCCCAGAAAAGAAGTCAGTTTTATTCATCAAAAACACTTTAAACAAATCCATAAAATTCAAAGCTTGAATTCGTTTTGATTTGGCAATCCAAAGAAAAAACAGGAACCAAAAGAGAAACTCAAATCCCCAGTTAAAAGAAACGTACTTACTGGCATCTTCATATGTCAAAGGCCTCAGCAACAGTTGACCAGAGAGACAAAGAAGTGAAGAAGTAAACTAGAAAAGCTAATATGCTCAAACACCAAAGAAACAAACTGCAAAAGAAGGAAAAAAAAAAGAGAGGAAGGAAAAAAAGAAGGAAGAAGAAGAAGAAGAAAAGAACCACAGCAGAAACGGACAGCTTTCTGGATGTATGTGAATTATGAGCATTAATTATATACAAAAGACACAAAATATGACAGCTTTTTTCATGCATATAAATTAGAATTAAATGGCCCTAATCAGCAATTACCCCCATAAGTAAATATGATTAGTAACGTCTCTCGCCGACAAATTTGCTTGAAACGGGCCTCCCCCACTCCAGTGAACCGTACCGGGATACTAGGAAAAAAAAAACTGTGTTTTTCTTACATTTTGTTAAGCATTGATTAGTGAGAGACAATAAGTGAGGTGGGAAGTGATAAAGTGACATGGATTGGTAGATTTGAGATTTGTTTTCAGACAGGAGTTGAGTTTAGAGGTGGGTTTTGTCAGTATGTTGGGAGATAAAGACACAAGAAGGTAGGATGGAAGGAGGGTGGAACCAAGGGTGAGAGAGAGGAGAATAAAACAAGGGGTGGGGGGGGGGGGCGGGTGAGAGAGTGCATGGGGCATTGAGACCACATGTGGGTTGACAGGGTAGAGTGGGGAAAATGGGTCCCATGTTCAATCATGGCGATGATGCTAGCCTGGCTGCAATCACTTGACAGAACATAACACAGTACAACAGAAAGAGAGAGAGAAAAAAAAACCCACACCTCCATTTTGAGCGCTAGTCGTGCTGTGATTTGTGTCCCGTTTTGCCAATTAGACCAATTCTTGGATGACATGTCACAGCTTTTATTTCTACCAAACAAAAATAACAAAGCATTAGTCGCACAGCTGTTTGTAGTTCGGATCAAATAAGGTTAGAATCAAATTTAGATAGATATTAATAATTTATATATTTATTTAGAATTGATTTGATTTGACATTTTAAATTTTAAAAATTTTTTAAGTTGATTTAAATTAAAAAAATAAATTTGAAATTTATTAATTAAATTTAATTTATATAATAAATTTTTTTAATTTAAAAATATAAAAATTTACATATATACTTAGATAATTATAAATATTTTAATTATATATAATTTATTCAAGTCAAATCATATTGGGTTAGGCCTTTAATTTATTTGTTTAGGATTTGATTTGAAATTTAAATAAACTTAAAAATTATGTTTAAATTCATTTAACGAATTTTAATTTTTTATTTAAATCATCTTAAAAATTGAATAAATTTTTAAATTTAAACGGATAATTCAACCTTGAACAAATAAGGTACTAATCCATAATGTGATTGGAACATTTCAAATTGTGAATAATTCAGGTTTTTACAGGGCAATGAAGTCTATCATAAAGGTAGCATTATATGGATATAGCTAAACTGTATCCTGATCTTGTTACCAAAAAAAATTATCATATTACTCTTAGTATGTAAATAAAATGAAGTAAATTAATGCATGATTTGAGCCCAGAAAAGGCATTTATGGTCAGATTGCTATTTATATTCGACTCATCCTGTCAAATAAGAATTACAGAATCAGATAGTGGCATATAATGTTCATTCTATGGAGAAGAAAGCTTTGTTTTCTTCTGCTACTTTGAGTTTACATGTGCAATGGAATGGAAACTACAGCTCATCACTGGTATTTTCTAAACGAGAAACTTCGATGCTTTTTAACGAAACAGACAAAGTGGGCACGTCATTTTATGATCAGCAGGATGTAATTGATTTTCGTAAATTTAATAATTTAAAATACGATATAATAATATGATATGAATATGATACAGATAAAAAATATAAAGTTAATACGATTTAAAATTTTAATAAAAATTATAAATAAATTTAATAAAATAAAAAATATATATTTTATATTTTTATATCAACATAAATTATAACACGTAATTTTTATATAAATATAAAATAAATGTACTAATTATCAATATTTTATGGTACATATATATACAAATTATCAAATTTAGATTTCAGCAGGGAATGAGGGATTTTCTCCTTTAGGGCACATAGAGCAGAATCAAAATTTATCAGTCATGAAGCTGAGAAAACATTGTAGTGTTTTCCATGGGTAATTGGTGGGATTGGGAAAGATGAAAGAGGGTTTAACTAACCCTGAATCATTGTTTTGTGGGGGCTAGCTTTTGTGTTTTGGGTTGTGGGTTGATGGTTCTTCCTTTGGATACTTCTGCTCTGCACCACTTTATGGCATTGCCCCACTGGCGCAGCCTGGATTTGGACAACTTTAAAAGCTTGAATCTTCACCATTACTACTTTTTTTCATCTCAGATCTATAGTTCGTATTATCATAACATATAAAATATTATATTTATATTATATTTTATATAAAAATTATGTATTAAAATTTATATTAATATAAAAATATAAAATATACTTTTTAATTTTATTAAATTTATTCATAATTTTTATTAAAATTTTAAATTGTATTATTTTTTTATTTTTTATTTATATTATTTTTATATTTTATTATCGTATCGAATTTCATATTATTAAATTTACTCTCAACTTATTTTAAAAAAATAATAATAAAAATTAGCAGATTGCTTTTCTTCTCATTTGTGTTGCAGTAAAAAATTTTTTAGAAGCAATATCTTTGTAGCCTTATTCTCGTGGAGACCAAAAACCAATGGGAATTTTGTAAAATGTGGGAAGCAATGTGAATAAGCAACGTCAATAAAAAAATTAACTTAATTGATTTATGTAATTAAAAATAATATTTAATAAATTTAAAATTCAAATGGATAATTTCTTTCATTACGTAATAGCCTCAAAGTGAGAAGGCTTCGAAGGCTGCAATCTTCAAAGGCAAAAAAAAATTAGGGCCATTGAAATTATGACACCAAATAGAAAGATGAAAATAAAAAAAAAAACCCATTAAGTCACTGTTTATCTGATCATGATCCCCTGCCTAACATGAGAGGCAGCATTATGTAGGCCAGGAATTCTTAGCATGTTGGAAGTTGGAACAACTAAAGGCTTATATGAGACACCTATAAAGGAAAATGAAATAGGCTGATAGCTGCCAAGGATTCAAACCTAAAATTATTCAGAGCTATATATGCAAACCCAGTGTTTCACCTTTTTAACCTCCTGAAATTAGACATGAATCACATCTAAGTTGTAACAAAATCCAATCCATTCTAAACCATATTTCAATTATGTTGACAAATTTTCATATGAATCATGGATTGGATATAGACTGAATTCTTGCCCCAACCCATGAACATGACAAGTTGGAGCTCATCTGATATTGAACCACTACCAACAATAATGATCAAGTTGAACCACAGATCATTCCAGATGGCAAGAAGAGTTCAAAGTGACAAGATCTGTAACCAGGTGTACCATAATCCTGTACATTAGAAATTTTATGAATACATAGATTTATGCTGACCAATGTGAAAACACACACAAAATAGCCCTGCAAGAGCTTTTGTCTGTATCAGTTTTCCTTGGGGGCCTACAAACTGAAGCATCTTCTAGTAAAAAAGGTGTAGGACAACATTCCCTGTTCACCACGCAGCTGTCTTGTTGTTTTGTATACAAGAAACATAATGCAAGGAGGAGAAACTGCAGAAGCAGTTCCAGAGTCCAGGCTACCGGATGAAATCAATTTGGCACAGTTGACATAAAATGCTGAATAGCAAATACAACGAGGAAGTAAAAATAGAGATGATGATTGGAGCAAAAGATTTTTTTTCTGATGTTAAAGGGAGGCAGGTTGATCCTTTGTACAGATCAAGTGGGAGAAGTGCCTGGTCCTATAGAAGGGCCTAAGGTTTCTAAATCTAAAGGCATGTAGCCCAAATCCATGGGGATCAAAAGTAATGCTATATGGGGTATTAATTGTATGAATCAAATAATCTAAGTTTTGCCGATGAATTTTTTTCCCTTCCTCACTAACAATCTATTGTATATTTCATTATAATCAGGTTCTGTTACAATTTTATTTTTATCATTCTTCCCTTCTTTGAAACTTGATTTTCTAACCGCAGCTGTTCTTTCTTTGTTTTTCTTTTCAAGAGCCAGATGGTCTTTTGGATTTGATGACTAGATGCTTTGTAGGGAAGTAGGATGTGCGGTTGATTTGAACGCTGGAGTGATTTATAACACAAAGAATGGTCAAAAGGTCGTTGGAATTAAGATTTCGAAGCATACTCCGATGCCTAAGTGAACAAAGTATAACCGGTGAAAGAAGGTAAACAATTTTAAAAAGTAAGTGTGAAATGCTAAGAATGAGAAATATGTAAACTGACCTTACCTTTTATAACGAGTTAGTGTTGACATGATCAATTAACTTATCTGATATTGATCAAGTGTTAAATCAATTAAGGTGATCGCCAACATTGACGGTCAAGATATTGATCGATTGGACGACTAGGACATAACAAGCCAAATGCTCTTTTTTTCTTTCTTCAATCCATCTCTTATTCTTCACGACATTTCCATTTCTCCAAGTAAATGTCCCTTGATTACTCCAGTTGCAGCAAGCCATCTTTCACCAGCCCTGCTCTCTCCAATGCCTTGCCTTCTAACTCTTGCAAAATCTGTTTTCGACTAAAAGGGACATTCATCTGTTGGATTATGCAACAAACTAAAACTTCATCACCTCACCATAATGGCAATTGTGCAATTCCCACAAAGTACAGCACTATTCTCAACTTCCTTTTTTGCTCCAATCAGTGATTAAGTCTTCGACATTTGCAGCTGCTGCTGCTGCTGCTGAGTCCATTAGCTTACAAGAAATATATATGTCGTACATTGTCTTTGTCATTGCACCATTGATATATCTTCAAGAACTACCAGTCGTTTTGAAAGCACTGCCAGTTAGTATATGGGAACTGGGAAGCGTTGAATTTGAAGTCTTCCCAATCATTTGAAACGGCAATCGACTGTCACATTTATCAGAGAGATTAGCGTCCAATATACATGCATGATTATATCTTTGCTCATTTGATCTAACATTTTTTCCCTATGCTCAAACACATATAATTAGACACATAAAAATGGACAAACCACAAATTTTGCAATATCATGGATGATTTACAAATTACGAAGCAAAAGGGATGTTAATTTTCATCTCTGCAGCTGCTCAGAAGTGTTATTGGTGGATGATGTTGCCATCCTGCCATTCTCTGCTCCGTTATCGACAGGCACAGGCAGTCCCCACTTCCTTTCCGCCTCTGAGGGTTCTATAACTTTCACAGAGCCGTCTGTCAGTCCCACGGCCAACTGATTGGCTTCCTGTGGGTGTGCCGTGACAACAAGTGGATGTACAGTTTGGCTGTCACAGTAGAACATTAAAATTGAAAGTAAGACCTCACATGCATGTTTCACGTTAGTGGAAGCGAAGGTACTTATATGCAAGGTTTTTCAAAGCGTCACATGAATAAACCAAACCGTACAAGGTCATATAAGCCGTAATGTATTACCTGTTTGACAATGCGGGAGAGATATACGCAGATGGGGCAATACGACATCTGAGCCTCAAACTATCAGCATCGAATATTCCAATGTTCCCATCAGTAAAAGTAGCATAAACTAGTTGGCTATTGCAGGAACATGCTGCACTAGATATAGGTGAAGAAAGTACTTCCTGTGGCATCCACTGCAATGTAAAAGAACATTAAAAATTTGTTCACCGCATATTTAAATTCATTACATAAGGTGTAGCATTTTACCAGCCGCATTTGTTCCATCTTGTTAGCATCATATACAGCAAGTTGTGTTTCATGGCACACTAACAAGCGAACTTGATCAGAGTAAAATTGCACTCGAGTGTCACCCTGAGGGGCCTTTCGTGTTGGCAGTTGAAGTGCAACTGATTTTATCTTTTCCCAGTTATCAGCGTTCCAAAAGAAAAGCTGCCAAAGAAGGAAGCCAATAACATCATCAGTAATAAAGGACAACAAGAACCACTGGTCATAGCTATCCACCAACTAGAACAAAAAAAATACAACTGCGAGAAATTATGAATTATTAAAAATGATTATGATATAATCCGAGACAATGAGAGAAGTTTTTTTCAGGTAAGTGAAATCAATTTCTTTTGTTTCTGAGGCAAGAACAGAAACATTGGAACCATTAAGAAAGAAATTTAGATACCGTAATCTCAGACATATTGCAACCTTCTATAATTACTCTTTTTATCTAGGAAACCAAAACAAAGCACATGCAGAAAGAAGTATATCTGATCTCTTTTCCACATTAACCACGTTTTCATTAGAAATAATGATAGGTACAAGTACACACAACCAGACACAAAGAGGTATGATGGTGAAGGGTACCTGAGCATCAGCACCAGAAGAAACCAGGATGTTATGGCTGTTGGAAAATGCTAAACCAGTGATGTGTTTTTCGTGACCTTTCAATTTTGTTTTGACCTACAGGAAAAAAACACCTCTTTTCATATTGAATATCAAAAGGAACTGCTATCAATGAAAGATATAAAGATAAATCATCTACCTTAGCCACCCTGACATTGTAAATATGGATGGCTGTGTCTTCCATTCCTATCGCTATGATATTATTATCTTGAGGATGAAATGCCAGGAAGGTTGAAGCTGGAGGAGGTGGCATAAAAGTTATCATTACCTGCAAATCAACGCAATTTTATATCAAGTAAAAGATCATTAAAGATGGAAATAAAGTTGGCAAGAAACTCCACTTTAATTCAAAATCTGGCAGTCACAACAGAAAAGATTCCAAAATACACATTAATTTACCTTGAATGTCATCATATTAAACACCGAAACCTGTCCACCACATGCAGACATTACATAGGAGTCATTCTTTGACAATGCTATGCATGGAATTGCATTTTCAGTATTATCTGGGACATCATTAGTCATAAGAAGACCACTATTTGGTTGCCAATGTTGTGGAACAATGCTAGCAGTGGCCTATAAAACCACAAAATATGAAAAAATGATTACACAAGGAAATTTTTCTACCAATATCACATGTACAAAACAGGCACATGAAACATTATATGTAAATATGTGAGTATACTTCATCGAATAATTATATATATAATGTCTGCAAAGCATAACTCAACCTTGCCAGTAGGATTTTGTTCACTGCGACTCCATTTCCATAGCTTTTGGACCCCACTTGTTCCAAGAGCAAGAACCCCGACACCGGAATTTGTGTAAAGAAGTCGAGCAACCTTGATATACAAGCAATTTAATAATCATAAAAATGGTAAACTGGTCAAGATAGTCCTGAAAGATAATGTTAAAAACAAAAAAGAAGAGAAAACAAAAATATTATATTAAAGGAAAACCTTGCTAGTAGTATCTAGGTTGCCCGGCATGGTGACTGTTCGACATTGAGTAGGGTCAACAATCACGGTTAGTTCCCAAGTTTTGGTTTTATCTGACACATCCTCCAAATTTCTTGGCTTTTCAATGCCTCTACTCACTGGTTCAATTCCACTCTTCAGGAAATTGTAATTAGAATTACATGCTAGTTTGAAAAAGTAAAAACTAGAATATTGCATCTGAAGACAAGCAAACTAAACTGCATCAAGCAACATGTCCGTACAATCTCTCAGCTTTATTTTAATAATTTTTTTATGTTCGTTAATGTGTGAAGAAATCGATACTCATTTTCTAACCAAAACATAAACTATCAGCAGAAAGTAAAGCCTAGTGCATGTGCAGCATACAAGAATAGGAGTAGGTCTGGCAGGACTGTCTACATGTTCTACTTTGCTAACAACTGGACTGATGCTTGTACCCATAGCAGAACTAGATACCTGATCCATTATTAAGGAAAAACCAAGCTGTCAATAGAAGTTCATAACATAAAGAAATGCAAAGCAAGTTAGCATTGGGATGGAAGATATAACCTTCATCTCAAGTGGTGTTCTAGATGCTTCATAAGATCGAGCCTCCATTGCCCTTAATGCTCTAAGACCATTGGAATTTCCAAGAACCTTGAATCCATTGTCTGCTGTAGTAACAACAAGTAAATTTCCTTCCTTGTTAAATCTCAATCGGGGAAGACTCTGCACCATCCCAATATCAAGTAAGATACCCAATTTGAAATCAAGTATCTATTCATTCAATCTACAAAAGATGGATAAACAGAGAAGCTCATTTGAAATTGAGATGCTAACCGGAAGTCCCCCCTCAGCTTCAGTGCTCGTGAGAATATTTGTATTGTCCATATCCCAAAATTTAATCTGGCTATCATCACCAACAGCCAAAAAGTGATTCCTTGTTGTGTCAAACTGTACTACACCAGTAGAGTTCTTTCTAAAACCAGAATATGACCTCTTTATTTTTCCTTCACTTCCATTCCATTCAACCAAAAATGAATCCCCGTCCTTACTTGTCCCACAAGAGAATAATCTGAATTAGATAGAAGATTGTTAATTTGTTACATTTCACATAAGGCCAAGGAGATTTGCAGCATCAGTGTAAGAGAAAAAGGCTAACCATTGTGGATACTACTTTCGAGTTTTCATCTACTTACCTACTACCATCAGCAGTGTAGAGCATTGTGGTACACCACTGTCCAGGAGCATCATAGTCAACCCTTGAGCCCATATTGTCATACAACCACGCCTTGATTTTGCCATCAACAGCAGTTGAAAATATAAACTACAAAAATATGACAGAAGTTCATGCAATAGCTTAATGCACAAACAATTCACAATTGAAAAAGGATATGCTATTTTCTATGCTACAACAGATTTATCAAGCTCAGACCTCATATAAGCCGATTAACAAAACATGAAACAGATTAAATATAGAGACAAATAAGATAAGGCCCAGTGACTCACATGGATGCAAAACATTTTTCCTAGACTTATAAAAGGGATACAACAAAAAATACACAGGCACCACTGCCTTCTGATCTTAAGTAGAGATGAAATTCCAGCATGCAAAGTTAAATAAATAGCACAAATTATCATCAACAATAAAGCTTTCCTTCATAAAATGTGATCACGCAGATTTAGTAGTTGTACATATTACTGATTCAAAAAGCAGCCATCTTTTCTTGTTGCAGATCAGAGTACACTAAACTTGCATCACACGGTTCCTTAAACAGGTAATAGCCTATTGCAGCACATACTAAATACATCTATATCAAAATATCAGCTTATCCACAATAAAGTACTTTCCCATAAAGGGTGAAGTATCTTCCAGACTTCATTTAACAAAACTGCCTACCTGAATATTTTCCTTCTGGTGAGGACAAACAGAATAAACAGGCGCCTCGTGGCCTTCAAAATGAAAAAGCTTATTTCCGGCCAAATCCCACACCTATAGTTGTTACTGAAATTGAGAACACATGAAGTTCAAAGAAAAAAGAACAAACAGTACACTTTTTTCCCTTCCCTCACCTTTATTAACTTATCATCTCCACAAGTAACAACACAGAGTTTTTTGTTTGGATGAGAGAAAGCTAAGTCGTTTACACCACCCACATGGGCATCAATCTATCAGAAATCAGATCGCATTTATCAGTTTATATTTAAGAGTAATGCCTCCTAAAACAAAGAATAAGAAAATGAATTAGAAACGTGCCTCTAGATGTAGACGTAGATCATTAGACCCTCGATACGCATGCAAATGAACAAGATGTTTCGTAAATGCAACTCCTGGAACAAGAAAAGTTCAATAAAGAAGCCCAAAACTGGAGTTAATAGAGGTAAATCACTCGCACAACACATACCAATCAAATTTCCATCTGGGCTCCAAGCTACACGGCTTACAGATATGGACGAATCTTTAACAAAATTAGCCTGCAAGAGACTCTCAATTATAATCCTTATCTTGTTTCAAGAACATTTTAAAGAAGATAGGAAGAGGGGAGAAGAAGAAAAACAACTCAGTTGATTGAGTCAGCAAGACAGGGTTTGTACTTGAAGTATAGATTTGATAGAGAAGAGAAAATTTATTAAAAAAAAAGATTGGCCAACTCTTCAGTAACAGAAACAACTTCTGAATATTAAAACTTCAATAACTGAAGTATCATGCCTTTATAGACACTGATCACTAGTAATTGGAACTCTCGTTAAATATTCAGACATGTTTATCTCATTCAAATTGATTGTGTGAATCAGTAATCCTGCCTTCAGTAATAGCATATGAATATTTTTTAGTCAAAGATATGATATCAACCTGAAATGGAACTGAACAAGCAGACATATTCCATATCTTGAATGGCTTTGACACCAACCTCTCTCGCATGCCAACTTCCCATAAGGAAATTTCGCCATTGCTACAACCGACTATAGAGAAAGATGCATAAAGCAAGATAAGAAAATACAAATAATAGCAACTAAACTAAAGGAATGAATTTTGATCTAAAATCACTCTAGGCAAGATGCTTTGTTAAGTTGTCATTGATTTTACCAGTAAGTAACGTATGATGAGAAGGATGGAAATCCATGCTTGTCACATTGGACCCCTGGTGAATGGCACAAGCAACAGATCTGGGTAGGTCATCAAGTGACCATGAAGCTTGTTGAGGAGGAGGAGGATATGTGACCTGAACACATTAATTAAGAATTCCCATAATTATCACATATTACAGCATAGTTGCAAAATATGAGGGAAGTATCTAGAACTCCTTCAAAGAATATGAGTTCTTGAAGTTTTACCTCATCAACAAATTGTGCAGACCGCAACCGTTTCATTAATTGCTCATGATCAGTGCTTCCATACTCAATCATTCCAAGTGTATTTGATGGTGTTCTCGGATGTTTCAAAACTGAAAGTAAAGTAACACTCAGAATCAAATCAGGTTAGCTTATACCTAAGGAATTAATTAAATTGGTACAATCTCCCCCCCCCCCCCCCCCCCCCGGCCCCTTCTCTCTTCCAAAAGCACTCCTTTAAGCCATTTCACATGAAGGAAATTATATATCTTAGATATATTATTTTAAAAACTGACAACTCCATATCAAGATTTAAGACTATACAGAATGTCCATCTTTAAATTAAACTTAAATCAAGTTTAAGGAGTATATACAATCCAAGTCTTGGAGTCTCTCGACTTCCCTTCATCAAGATGATCCCCACATCTTTATTAACAGAGAGAGAAAGAGCAGAAAACAGAGAGGATAGATATAATCGAATATATGTCAGTGAAAATTCTACTCACATGAATATAATATCTGAGAGAAAATATAAAAACTGCAAAGTATCCAACCTTAAAAGATGATTATTTTGACTACCATTATGTACCCGACTGCCAAAATGCCAACCACAATAAAAACATTAATTTTACCTTGATTTTGAGAAACAGGCAATGATGAAGCAGAAGCAGCAACAACAGCAGGTTGGACTGATGAGGAATGATTGGCATTTGCCATCCAGCCGACTAAAGCATTAGCTTTTGCAGCAGCAGCTGCTGCTGATGATGGAAAAGGCTGCAACATCATCACGGGAAACAAAAGACATTTTCATGGTCAGCTCAAGAAACATGCATCAACAACATCCATGATTCAAAACTGCAGTAAACATTAGGATCATACTCCACCAGGCGCTCCAAGTGAAGCAAACGTTGAAGCCTTAGCAACTGCTGCAACTGGAAGAGTTACTGGAGTGGGTGCACGAGCCCCATTTGGAGGTGAGCAACTGTGATCAGTGAATAAGGTTTTGATATCTGGATTAGGCCTAGGGTTCTTACACAGCTGATGTTGCCAATTCAAACTGCAAATAAACAATCAGTCATAATTCAATATCATCCATTTTTCAAAATTAAAACCAAAAAATGTCATGTGACATAAAATCCACCTTTGATTAATCAAAGTTCGCAATCGTGATGCCTTCAAAGTAGGGAAAACAAGCTTTTCCCAGAACAAGGGATTCTCTTCAATTAGTTTTTTAAGCTCAACCAGCATTATGCTCCGAGCCGATTTAGTATCACCATACTTTGATAACTGCTCATTTTCCCTACATTATATCAAAAACAAATAACTTAAACTACTTATAATTCTACATCCACAACCAACCATCAAATTCCACAATCTTAAATACCTAAAGTTCTCCAACGTTAAAAGTTGCGTAATTTCCTTATAAAGTTCTTCATTAAATGTCGAAAAAACCTTCAGATCCTTCACCAAAATTTCAACAGCTTTAGCTCTATCATGCCTGAAACAAAACAAAAAGCAAATATATATATATATATATATATATATGATTACAGCAATATCATTGAAATTAATTAAGATAAAAAAAAACAGAGATTACCCGTCCAAAGCTTCTAGATACTTCTGCTTTCTGATCTCAAAAAAAATCTTCATTGAATATCGATTGTCGTCAACTTTAGTGAATCCAGAGAGGTATTTCTCAACTTCGTCCCATTCTCCGGCGAGAGCTTTCTCTTCTAAGTATTTCATGTTGAAGAAGAACCCCGACTCTTGCTCTAACCTGTGAGCTCCATCAAAAACGACACAAACTCCAATTAAAACGACAACAACAAACAAAAATGGAAATTAAAATTAAAATGTAAATGAAAATGGATTTAAACACTTACCTGTGAACAGTCTCTTTGAATTTTTCTTCCTCGAGGAACTGGAGAATTAAAAACACTAATTCTCTATTAAGAGACGACATTTCTTCTTAAAGGCTTAGCCGATCGATAACTTGAGAGTTCAAATTAGGGAATTAGGTTTTTTTATTTAAACAAAAAAAAAAAAACAAAGAACAGAGCGAAAGTGAGAGACAGTAGAAAATGGGAAGTCAGAGATTGAATTAAAGGGGTACGAGAAAGAAAACAGGTCGTTGAAACGACGGCGTGTCGTGGAAGTTAGCGGCTACTGAGAGACCAAAATAGAAAGTTTAAACGACGGCGCGTCTTGGACTGATTTCTAGGGTTAGCTGTTCCATCTCATGCTCGGCGTTCAACGACAACAGTAGAATAAAAAGCTGCCAAGCTCAAAAGAAAATCAAATTAAAAAAAAAAAGGTAAAGAAGAGAGAGAAAGTCTGTTCTCACTTTTCCCGATGCCTTCTTGCGGTGTCTCTGCGTCACACCGACATATCACTTGATAAGTACGATAACTTATCAAGAGATGATAAGCTCCTGCTACTTATAATTTTCCTAAAACGGTACTTCCGCTAGGCTGAATATTCTTATGGTTATTATTAGGTACAGACAGGACATTGTGAAACCCGGTTTAATGAATGAAGGTGGAGTATTGTTGATTACGTGGACAGAAATAAATGGTTTGGTGAAGTTTTTAAGAGAGAGGTTAGATGTAGAGGATGGTTATCCCGGAACCGAAAATGGGAAATAAAGTGGATTGAATAAGAGGTACTAGATTCTTTTATGTTACTGACGTGCCGCACTCTGACGCTGCACCGGTTGACTCGTTCAACTGTGTCCCCATTCTTTTTCATTTTTATTATTTTTTTTATTTTTATCTAGAATTTATGGAGCAGAGAGTGGGTAAGGAAGTTGGAATTTAAGAACCGGAAGCTTCCAATGAATTAAAGACGGGAAAATTAAAAGTTAAATATATTCATATTCATATTCTTTTCGCTTTTCGCTTTTCGCTTTTTATTTAATTATGACAATGACATGTATCATATTCCATTAATCAATTTTATAAGGTTCGTTGTTATGACACGATGATGATGAAATTAATTTTAATAAAATTAAAAATAATAATTATTATATTATTATAATAATTACATTTAATTTTTAAATTTTTGATTTAGTGATTAAAGATATTTAAGTGAACATCAAGATTTTGATTTCGAATCAAATTTTTTTTTTATTTGTACTAAGATTTTATCTTTATAATGTAACAAAAAATAATAATAATTAAATTTGATATTATAATTTGATAATTTAACCTTTATGGTGTAACAAAAAATAATAATAATTAAACTTGCTATTATAATTTGATAATTTATAATCATCTAATAATTAATTTAAATGAAAAATAAAATAAATCATTTATAACTTTTTTCGCTAATAAACTTTTATTCAAATTCTTTTTTTTTTTACAAAAAATTATAACGAAAATGATGTCACAATTTTGGATAATGAAGCATCAATAATCTAAAAACAATAATCAACTAGGTTATCTTCCCTCTCAATAAAGATCTTTCCCAACTTTCAAACCCCAACCTTTAGCAAGTAAAGTTCGTTTGGAGCCAAAATGCTTACCACTAAATCAACACCTTGTTGGTGTATTTTATTATTTATTGGTTTAGGATTTCTGCACCTTAAAAGAGCATAACTTGCCATTAAATAAGTTGATACATTATTAAAGTTTTAAATCTTAATAATTAATGTTTAATCTCCAACCATCTCAAATAAGAAAACCATAATTTAATTTTTTTTTTATAAAAATAAGTTTAACCCAATTCCATTATACTACTTAAAACTCAATTACATGTATTAAACCGGTAAAATATAAATCTTAATTAAAGAAAAATAATAAAAAAAGCTAAAAAAACTAATGCATTATACAATGATGATAACAGATCAAATTTAATTAAATTCGATTTAATTTTTTAAATAATATATAAAATTATAAACTTTTAAAATTTTATTCGATTCAAATTCTATTAGTTTTAGTAATCGATTTTTTAAATTTAAATTTAAATTTAAATTTAAATTTTTATATGTTATTTTTAATACATTTGAATATAAAATAATTATTTTTAATTTTATAAAAAATTAATAAAATATATAATTCAATTAAAATTTTTATTATCCAATTTAAAATTTAATTTAAATTTAATATATTTAATATTCAAATTTAATTAAAATTAAATAAAAAATTAATAAAATACTATAAATTTAAATAACTTTTCGATTTTTTTTTCTCTGTGAAAAGTGATAGATTGATTTGAGTTTCACAGGTCACGTGACAAGCATCTATCGCAATCTACCTTTAGTGGTACGATATAAACGCGAGTCTTATCACGATCGAACATAGCGCTTGATATTGAAGCGTACAGATTTCTTCCATGAAAGCGACTTCCTAACGTGTCAGTTGGCTGTGTCATCTGTAGTCCTTTCTTAGCTGCTTGGGCCCACAAACGTTATCCAGCACTTAAGGACAGCGAGTCGTTCGTTACATGTGGCCATTTGTCATTGGATGTAATGCTTATTGTCAACGAGTCCCTGACAGTTACAATGATTTGGATGTACCAGATGATGTATTAACCAGTCCCTGACAGTTATTCGGACTCAGCTTAAAAATTTCTAATTGGATTAAATAATTATGACATTATCAAGTCAAGTTCTTTGATTTATTGAACGAATAGAGTTTAAATATTTAAATATTTAACTTAAATAATTTATAAAATTAATAAAAATTATATATTTTAATATATTTTTTATTATTTTAATTAATAAATTATTATTTTATTATTATTTATAAAAATTTAAATTTAAGTTCAAATATAAACGATCAAATTTAAAATTAAATATAAAAATTAAATTTATTTTTTATTCGATAGATTAATTTAATTGAATAAATTTAAATAATATGATTTTTATTTTAATTTATATTCAAATTTAAAATTTAAAATTTAATTAAATATGAATCGAATTGTGGACTCAATTACATCTCTAATTGAGCCCACCAAATCATAGGCCTTAGATCATGGGTTGGACTATTAAGCATCACAGCCCAGCCGAGTCCGCCCCTTCCAACCAAAACGCAAAACCGTCTAAAACAAAACCCACACACTCAACCCCAAGCGCGCAAGAGGAGAAGAAGCAGATACAGCTCAGAGCTAAAGCTTCAATGGCGGCCAAAAACCAACAAACACCAAAACCCAAATAGAGAAAGCAGATTTCAAGCGCCAAAGTCGAGCGGGATAGCTCGAAATCCAAGAAGCCGAAGCCCCTTGCCTCCAACGCATCAAAAATTCCTTCAAACAAGCCGTTGAAGAAACCTTTTAAACTACCCAAACAAGAAGAACAACACCCAAACCAATCAAAGTTTAAGAAATCAGAATCTAGGTATGAAAATAAAGAGCTCACAAAGCGAGAGCGTCGCCTCCAAGCCAAGGTTACTTTATTTGTTCTGAAAAGAATTGAAGACAAGCTTTTTTTTATTATTGTTTGACATTTATCGTTTCATTGTTTTGACAGGAATTGGCTGAAGCTAGAAAGAAAAGAGGACGCCACATTATGCTCTTGAATAAGTAAGTCCATTTGCTGCCTTTATTACTCAACAAAGAATGGTTTACAGTGGAATTAAGAATTAAGGAGAAGAAAATATATGGGAGTTATTTAGAACTTATATGATGGCTGACACTGTGAGGTTATGGTAGTTATTGACTAAAAAGCATGTTCTACTTCTTTTACTTTATAATAGGAGCTTGCATCTCTATGGGAAAAGATGAGACGTCGAAATATTGCTAAAGAAGACAGATCAAAGTATGTTTTTGGGAACAAATATAATGCTTTGTGGCTTTTTTTATCTTAAAAAAATGTTATTTGAATTGTTCTCAGACTGATAACTGAAGCTCTACAAAAAATGAAGGGAAAGATTCCAGAAATTGCTGGCTCTCATGTTTCTTCTCATGTTTTGCAGGTGTTTTTTATCCGTTTCATTAAGTTTCAAATAATCATGATGCAATTGTTGCTGTGTGGAATTCCTAGTTTTTGTTAGCTCCTGAATCATCCTTCATTATTTGTGTTTTATTTTAGGAAAGAAAGAAAATTATCAAAGGAATGAAAGGCCATATAAGCAAGATAACTCATGATCAATGTAGGCGCATGGTAAGGGTTGCTTATGGAATTCTATCCACTCAAATTTCTTCTGTTAGAAAATGCTATATTCCCAATAAAATTGTACAGGAAGTCTTTGTTGGTGGCTTATTTTTAACCTTATTAGCATGTAAACAGAGTTGAAGTTGTCATTAATTCATTGACAAAATTTACATTTTCTTGTTCCGGGATTTAACTGTATGGTTCTATGTCTGAAATGTAATTGACTCTTGGTAAATTCAACTATGGCACAAGTAATGAACAGATTTGGTCTGATGATATTACTGATGTGTTATGATGTCTTTCATTAAGATTTAAAATGCTTGCTGCATTTGTCTCCAAGTTCTATTTTATTACACTTTTGGATTTTTGTATAACTTTTGTTTTAAGCTTCATCATGTATCATATAATTTCAGGTACTCAATCTCTATTGTTTCAATGGTTGATAACACAAATCTTATAACAAAGGTTAGTTGCTACATAGCCTGTTATTACTACTTCTCTATATACTATTATGTAATGTTGATATCTAATAGTGCTTGACTTTACTTTTCTGATGACAGACTGTCATCTGTGACCTTCAAACAACATTGAAAGAGCTTGTTTTGGACAAGGTTTCTATTCATTCTAAACCTGTTATCATAACAATGGATTTTAAGAAGATAACTTGGTTGGGAAATAAGTATGGGATGATGGCCTTTTAAGCCAATAAAAAATTATGGACAATTGCTAGTCACTGTTGGTAGTCCGATTTTTTCTAAAATATATACGCTCATTTTCATCTGAAGTATTTATCTGGAGAATCCTTCAACTCAAAACCAATAAATTGAGGAGTTGATCTGCTAGGATCATGTAAAATACTGTTCATCTCTTTTTAGTCTTATTTTAGAATGTCCATAAAATGGATATTATCCCTAAAGTTGTGCCATTTGTTGGAGCTACAGAATCTGGTGGACCTCCATTTAGTCGTCTAGCTTTAGTTCAGTCTTTAGTACTTCTGCATTGCTTATGGGTTTCTGTTTCACCATTTGTGAATTTCAGAGTGGAAGCCACTTTTTGTTACAGTTGCTTCATCCAAATTGTTCACGCTATTCAAATCGTGATGATCTGGCCTCCCTAAATGTATATGTTCCCTCTCTCAGTGCTAAGGTAGTTTAACAGCTGTGATCTTTTGTAGAGCTGTCTTAGACTGAAAACAACCTGTGCTAGAATTTAGTTTACTATGGTTTTTTTCACATTGTCAGGGTGAATCAGAAGTCCAATCTGAGAAAATTTCAAGGGATGAAGAATATAGTATGGAGGCAGCCAGGAGTGATCCTGATGTGACAGCAATTGATTCTGGTAAAACTGATACTCCTGCAGAGAACCTTTTCTTGGCTGAGGGTGGGAAGAAGGATCCTTCCTTAAGGAGGAAGGAGTTGCTAGTCGGCAGTGGGCTTGCTGAGGTTTGTTGCCTGTCTTCCCCATTGAGGTGATCTGTCCTTGTTTGTATATTTAAAGAAAGATCCTTTATCTGTCCATTATATTGACCTTTTCCAGTTTACAGTTGTTGTAATAGATTCTTCTACGATATATCTGCTATATTTCATGTCTGGAATTATGCTAAACTTCAGCTTAGTTGAAGAGATTAAAATTTTAATTTCTGGTTAGCTTGTGAGGTGCTTGGTTTTGCAGAACCTTGTTGATGTGTGCATTGAGAACGCAGGAGAATTGCTCACACCAAATTTTGGCAAAGATGTAATCTTTGAGGTAATCAACTCTTTTCCCCATGATCTTCCTAATGGAGTTGTATTCATTTAAAAAAAAAAAATCCTAAAGTGGGTAGGCTGAAAGCTTGGAACTGTGTTGATAACTGAACAGTTACCTCTAACCTCTCTTAGACTGTGTTAACTGTGACAGCTTGTATAGGTTCTGATTTGCACTTGGATGTTCAGACAGTCTCATTTCAAGTTTTTAGTCTTTTGTTGTGTTTTCTTTTATTGAACTATTTTCAATCCTTAATCTCATGATTTGATTGCCTTGACACATCTTGGAAATAAATCAGGTTGCAATGGGGGGTTCTGATGGTATTCTCCACCCAAGTTTGGATGAAAAGTTGAATGACTTGCATGAAGCTATAGCAGCACTTGCAGCAAAGCCTAAATCTGAAGAATCTGAGGAAGAACATGTGCTTGAAAATTTCCATTCCAGTCACACTATAAGGAACTAGTGTTAGACTGCCCTGCATTAGCTTCCACATTATGGAAGAAATCTTTGGAAGGAAAGTGTCAATTGTGGGCACAGGGTGACAGGTTAGCTGCTTTGTTTCATCCTTGTAAATCTTGCTCGTTTAATGCATAATATCTATTTGATCTCTTGTGTTATATGTTGATATTGGATCTCATTGTTGTAATTGCATTTCCAAGGTAGTGTGGGCATTTTGGGAATCCCCAGACTCCAAGGTCCGCAAAATGGCAAAAGAAGGGTTGCAGCCCTTGATAGATGGTGGTATTCTCAAAATCCCTGAAACTAAGCAATTGGCAAAACAAAGTTAGGCTGGCCTGTAGTGGAAAAGACAAGAAAATTTTGATCATTTAACAGCTGATGTTGATTAGACTGCAGGCAAGTTCAGTGAATGAGCAGACTATATTTCTGGTCATGAAGGAAGTTATGTATACAGAGCGAATTACGTGAGTTTTGTTAGCTGAAATGTGGCTTCATGGCAAAGTCAAAGTCAATATCAATATCAAGGGTAGTCTCTTTCTTCTTTCCCCCCTTTCTGTAAGATGGATTTGGCAAATTACAAAATCACTATAGAATTTGGAAAGGGCCTATATATATTATAGAATTTGAGTTTTTTGCTTTTGATCCTTAATGCATGAGTTTATAACAACTGTTTTTTTTTTTTTGTCCTGCTTGAACTAAAGCTTGTTTGTTTGGTTTGTTCTTCCATTGATCAAAACTGAAAAGACTTGCATTAATGAGTAGAATCTCACTTTGTGTATCAAGTATCTGGATTTTCTTAAAAGCCTTCCCTTTTGGGCTGTTTATTGTGCATAACTGCCATTGGTTTGGGAAGCTGTTTTGCTATGACAATGTAAAACAGAGCAAAGAAGAATTCTTGGGATTTTTTTTTCCCTTTTAAAATGCAAGCAAATCTAAATTGATCCTAAAAAGAATGATGATCATGAATGAATACAAAGAAGTTTGCTCTTGAGCATTCCCCTAAACATTCCTGTTCCTGATGCATTCTCAAAGATTGGGGAATGATACTTTCCTCTTGTCTGTACATTTCCTCTTTGAAAGTGCCAAAAGCTCTCAGGTTTCTTGTGAATTTGATTCCTCAAGTGTGGGTAGCCTTGTAATGGATAATCTGAAGGTTCAAAAATTGGGGTCTCTCCCTGACTCTTATGTTTAATCTTACTCTGACAAAGATTGTTTGATGGGTTAAAGACGGGAGATTCCCTCCTGGACAAGCTATTAACCCTCAAACAGTTCTCTATAACCCTGATTTCCTCTTTAAATCTATCCCTGATATCTTTTAAACCATGCACAACTCTACTAGATCTTGAACAGTTTGTAGGATCCTGCATCTTGGGTTTTGAGGAATGCTGTGAATTGGCAAGAGAATTGCCATTTGAATATGGGATTCTATTGCATTCAATGCAGAAGTATTTCCACCTCTCTGAGTTAAAAGCTCTTCTCCTGACATTGTCTGAAAGACATGCATATGCCTGCAAGTAAGAAAGACTTCGTTTACTCCGATGAAACAAAAAACAATCCATTTTTTCCTCCTCTGAGCTAATAATATTTAATCTTGTATGAGTTTGGTGAAACCATTACTGCATTGGCAAGAATGGATGTTGTCATACCTACCATTGTAGATGCTGTTAGTTGAAATTCAGATCTTGTTGAACCAAATTCTGTTAGTAAAGTGAATGCTGTACGTTTCTTTCTTTATGATTCTGTCTAGTGGGACCATGACCATTTCAGAAATTTCGATGGTAAAAAACTTTCTTTTTCTTTAGCATTTCAGGACCTGTGATAAGCATTTTCTATAGCAGAGTCCCTTTTTTTATTTACAAAGGAGTTCATAGCATGAGATAAGAGAAAGGGCTGCAGTTGCTGGAATTCGAATCCCAAACCTGTTGAATCTTGAATGTTACTTTACCTGAACAAAGTGAGCTAAGTTTTGGATTCGAATCTCAAATTTTGACTAGAGAAAAATTAGAAAGAAATGAGAAAACTATTTATATACTGTTAACTACAATTGTTGAAATCAACCAAGCAATCCAATCCATCCCAACATCCAATGCCACCAAATGGATAAAAAGACAATAAAGTATCTAACCTCTGAGACAAGCTTGAAGGCAACCTCAGTTTTTGGATGTTTATTCTTATCAGGGTGAAGTTGCAAAGCTGAACAGCAAAACAAAAACAACCCTTTCAACAAAACAATAGAAAATACTTTCATTTTCTGGCATTAAGCGATAGCTTACCAAGTTTATGATAACGCCTTTTGATAAGCTCTATTTTTGCATCTTCTGCCACCTGCAAGGGAAGATCCTGAGCCAAATGCAATATCCCAAAAAAGGGTTGAACATTCTGATGAAGATTAAAAGCCTGGAAAAGAAAAACAAAACGTACTCCTAGAAGACGATACCAGTCGATGAAATGTGACTTAACAGGGCTGTTGAAATGGTAGTTATGAGAACATGCAATTGGAGTGCTTGACATGGAGCAAATTTCCAGGACCAACTGTGACTTTGCAGCATCTGATGTTGCTGATTCCAGCCCAGTTCTCCCCATTGTTTGAAGGACAAAAAAATGGGGTATGCCCCAAGAATGAAATGACAAAAAATGGGGTAAAATGGGCTTGGAAATGAAGATTGAAGTGATGGTTTTATGAAGAGAGGTGAGAAAATAATGTAAATGTGAGGTGGATCGGTTAAGAAAAAAAGGGAGAGTTTAATTTGAAAGTGGATCAGTTGGTGGGAAGAAAAAGAAACGTTGGCTTTGCCATGTGGCTAATTAAAACCTTGATCTACGGGCATTTAGCGATTTCCTGCTGTGTTTTTAGGCTTTAAAATCTAGAAAATCACTGCGGATTTCGAATTTAAATCACTTCAGCAGTAAATAAAAATGTAACATCCAAAATTTTAACTGAAATTTTGGATAACCAAAAAGCTTTTATTTACATATTTTTCTCGTTTACTAATTTCTGGTATATTATTAAAATTAGTATTTAGAAGTAAATTTAATAATTTATGTATTTATATAAAATATTAAAATTTGTATATTCATATTATATTTCATATAAAAATTACGTATAATAATTTATGTTGACACGAAAATATCAAATATATTTTGTTAATTTTGTTAAACTCATATATAGTTATTATTAAAATTTTAAATGTATTATCTTCGTTTCTTTTATTTGTATCATATTAGTTTCATATCACTATTTCATATTTTAGATTATCAGATCTATTTAAAAGTTATAAATACGTATAATTTTTTATTCAACTCAATAAATATAAAAATAAGAGATTCAAGATAAATTAAAAACTAAAAAAAAAAATAAAAACTCTTTCAAGTTATTAGTTATATTCATAGAGATTAAAAAGTCGAATGAAGTAAATAAAAATTAAAAAGTTAAGAATATATTGGAAATTTTTAAAAAAAAAAATCTTTGTTCAAAGTAAAATAATTTTGTTTACTTGATTTCAAGTTCTCAACATTATTTGTGAAAATTTTTACAAGGAAAATTATTTTCACTCCATCTCTTTATTTGTCTTACTTTTATATACCAAACAAATTTTATAACTACAAACAAATTTATAACTACAAACAAATTATTGACACGTGAGTTTATATTTGATAAACTGTTAATGTATAAATTTTATACATTGTAAATAAATAACATGATATCATCTTTTTTTTTTGTCTAAGACTCTCCGATAGCTGATAACCACTTTGGCCCCAAATTAATTTAGAGTTAAGTCGGATCAAACCTCATAAGGGGGACAAGTTCTCCAAACACCTATCTTCTCCATTCGCAAAGCTCAAAACTGATACCTTACTTTAGAGAAATCGAGCTCTTTAATTATTCAGACCAACAGACGTTATTAATAAATAAATATAAATCTTTTAAAATAAATATATAAAATATTTAATTTTTTTTTAAAAAACTTACTCATTAATGAGGTGTTATCATTTAATTCATCTCATTAATAAAGTAACATCATTTGATTCACTTACAAATATTGTTCATAAATTGATAAAAATAAATTTTTTTTACCAATTAAACTAACTCTTACTCGAATTTATGAAACATCAAATATTAGTTTGAATAATTTTTTTTTTCTATTTTTGATATGAAATTAATAATATCAACTGATTGACAATGAAGAAGAGTATTTGAATTCAATTATATAAACTGGAGAGTTGTATTGTCACGTAATCATAATCCTTTCTTTTTTTATCTTTTTTTTTTAAACGTTTGACATAATATTCTTTTTCACCTAGAGTTATCATTTTGTCTATATTTTAAAACTCATGCCTTACTCCGATACCTTATTAAGTGACCAAATTAATCCATATTATTTAAGTCGAATGAATCGAGAATTATTTTTAAAATCATTTATCACATAATCATTATTTTTTTTCATAAAATTAATTTATTAAAATATACGATGCCAACATTTATATGTCCAACATGACAACTTGATCGACTCAAATATTACTATGGGTGGAACCTGCCATGCCATGGGGTCCTTTGGGTCAGAATTTTAAACTCCAAAGGCTCCAAAACTTTGTTTCTTCTTTAAATCTTTTGCCAATTTGATGGCAACAGCTTGAAATTTCATAAATTTTTTATGTGCTTGGTTGGTGGATCCAGTACTTCTTCCAATTTAGTGAAGAAAGCAAAAAATTTAATATGGATTCAGCTATGGCACATGGCTTTTATAGTTTTATTAGAAGAGTAGGGTACAAAAATTTCCATGAAATTGTCCTCTTATTCCAAACTTTTTGGTCATTCTGGCACAATATAAACATTCCTTCTGTCAAAACTCACCCTTTATTCCTTCTTCTGATGAGAGGTGGTGAAGGTAAAAAAAAAAAAAAAACTAAAAAAAATAATATCAGCTCTTGAATTTGGTGTATCAATAACTAGTGTCTACCAATATTTGGCATATATTTTGCCTCTAAAAGAAAAAAAAACATGTATTTTTTTTTAATTTAGGAAAAGATGGATTCAGATTTCAATGTTACTAAAAAAAGTATGAGATCATGTATTAATTATTAAATCAAATATTTTTATAAAAAAATATTATTTAGAAAAATTAATTAACCAAAAAGAAGTTTAGAAAGATGTCAAGAAATTTGTTTTCATGTTTTATTTATTTATTATTATCTATTTTCCTTTACATTAGATCTTAGAAAGATTATTTTTAAAAAATAATTCAAGTTGATATTTAAATTAATTAATTTATATAATTATTTTAAAAGATAATATCATCTTATTTATGTAAAGATGATAACAGATCAAAACAGAATAAAATAAGTTTTTTTATCTTAAATTTGATTTGATTTTATAAATTTAATATTTGAATCTAATACGATCTGATTTGTATTAAAATATTATTTTTATATTTGAATTCAATTCGATTTATATATGTTTAAATTTGTAATTAACTTGATTTGATTTAAATTAATAAAATATTAATTTTTTAAATGTAAATATAAAATTAAATAAATAATAAAAAATAATATATATCAAATTTGGTCTTAGACAAATTTAAATAAAATCCAACCATGATTTTTTTTTTCAAAACTATACGACCGAACTTGATTTTCTTTTAATAATTTTATAAATTAAATTGAGTCAAAATCTGACAGATATGAGTTTCTCTATGATTCTAATTTTAACACTAACGATCACTTTCAGTATTTTCAGCAAGTGCGGTAGAGTTGAGTTGGCCACGTTAAAACATAAATCCCACATCGAATACTCTGGAACTTGAGAGCAAAGTTCCCTCTATAGATGTTGCAAGAGATAAAACAGTAATGTCTAACCCGTCCTGTCAGGGGTGGAGGGTGACTCGTCAATGATCGTATAGAGACGGCGGGTCGTGCCAACACCTTGTACATCGAACACAAATCATTGCAGGCGAGCGAGTTTCACCCTACTTTGGAGGGACTCGCCCGTCAATTTTTGGAAGCCACGCCCTCGGGGCTGGGCTCCTAAACTTAATAAAAATTTTTAAATAATTTTTGGGTAAAACAGGTAAAGCTGGAATTTATTTCATCCAGTAATTTCCTACGTGCCAAATCTTCTAAAAAGTTATTATAGTAAATTTTGTTTACCAAACTAAATTTATTTCTGTAAATCTAGCTTTTGGATAGAAATGACGAAAAGTAGATCTGATGATTATGTTGTATAAAATTTTAAATTATATTATTTTTATGTTTTATTTTCATATTATATTATATTTATATTATATTATAATATCATATTTTAAAATATCAATTCTAACGAAAAAATTAAATAAAATTATTTTTAATCTAATAACTAAATTATAAAATAAAAAAATAATTATAAATTTTAATCATAAATTTTTTATTTTCATTCATTTTCACTTTTTTACCGAGCAAAGCATAAACTTGCCAAATTCTCTAAAAATTTATTGTAAATCCCTCAAAATCTGCCAAATTCTCTTGAGAAATGACATGGGTCATAAGACAGCAATTTCCTTCAAGTTTTCTTCAATTGCCATCTCGATTCTCGAGCAGTCTGAAAATTAGAATAGATCCATTCTCAAAGACAAAAGTCAGAGGTCCAGTAGGATTGAATATATGAAAAACAGTATCATAATTAAATTTGATAATTTATAACTCGAAAGTTATACGAATGTAATATAAAAATATAATTTAAAAAAATATAATTTAAAATTTTAATTATAATTATATATAAATTTAATAAATCTAAAAAATTATATTTTATATTTTCATGTTGATACGAATTGTAATATATAATTTTCGTGTAAAATATAATATAAATACATGAATTTTAATATTTTACATGATATAAATAAACGGGATAGTTAAGTCTAACCATAATCATGGGGTTTTGTAACCACAATGTATCCTGTGTCAAGAATGCTCTGAAAATTTAACTTAAAAGGTTTACAATAAGCCCGCTTCACTTACCCCTTGGCCAGTTGAACGGGCAAATGATGAAGCAAGAATGGTTCATTGAAACAGTGCTCGTTTGGCTCCGGTCTAGTAGTCAGCACCAAAATGTCAAATGCATAGCCTGTCAAGTTGTCTATTGTCAGCCACCATAACGAGACTTGAGAGATGCTGGAGGCTCCTCTTCTATGATGCCTGAACCTGTTGTTGCCAAATATGTTCCGATGGTGATTGTTCGGTCCGCGAGGAAAGTGTAATCCAGAAAGTTATCGTAGGCAATATCACCAACATTCTTAGTTGCCAATACGCTATAAGGGTACAGCAAATCAATTAGTCATTTGCTGAATTTCTTAGATCAAAACTTTATTCACAACCCAAGTATTAGTGGTTCTAAAAAGCATATCAGGAAATAACAGATCAGCAATTCTATGCACACCAAGTCCTACCAGATGACTGGACTACGTGGGAAATTCATGAATATGTACTTAAATAAGTCATTATGACCATATGAAGACATGCATTGAATCAAACCACAAAGAATCAAAGAAATGAAGAGTCAAATTTCGGATGGCTTATTAACAATGAGAAGATTATTTGCTAAGGTATTGACTAACTCTGTTCGAAATAGCAATGTGTAATCCATTCATCACATGCCTTATACGTTGAAGACTACAGCATAAGATATAAAAGGGCAAACCCTAGTAAACAAGGCTCTCCGCTTTGTGAGGGTTGGGGGAGGGTCCACAGTATGCAACCTTCCCTCTGTATTTTTTTTTCAGAAAGGCTGTTTCCAGGACTCAAAGCCGTGACCTTCCAGTCACAAAGAAGCAACCTTACCATATGACATGCGTTGATAAAAAAAAATAAGTACATACCACTGTCTGAGGTAAACACGGCATGCCAAGATATCATCGCGCCAAATCTTATCGATGTTGTATCGACCATAATGCTGGAAATAAATATCCTTACTTCCTGTATGAAGATAAGCTTTCGTTAGGAACACTATGAAACAACATCAAGAACAAAGAAAAATCATCCTTTCTTTCCTTCACAATCACCCAGATTAACTGTACTACCAATGAAGTCAAGAAACCTTATAAAAAAACCCACCTTTGCATCCAATTTGAAAGAATTCCTCATCACTGTAACGAGCACAAAGCACCTGCATTGATATTCTAAACAAATATAAACAAAAAAATTGCAACACTTTGAGAATAATGCCATGAGGAAAAGTAATATGATCAAATTTCACATCGGCTGGATTGGCAAAGGGCTCCCCATCAAGTGTTTCAGGTAAGAACTGTAAAAGAAACAAATAAAATCCACAGTAATCACCAAAACAATAATATGAATAGCCAAACATGAAATCAATTATCATTTTAACCCCGCTTATGAAATTAAAAAATTCTATTATCATTTGGATAATTTCTTTTTTAAAAAAAGAAAAAAGATAAAAAATTATCAAATCAAAGTTCTAAATAAGTAGGAAATGATTTTTTTTTCCTTAATTTCTCAGTAACCAAACAGATAATAAAAACCTTGGTTTCTGGCTTGGCGATGCCGCGGTCGAAGAAAATTGGAGCGACGTGAGCGAAGACGCGTCTAAATCCATTCAATTTCGCTACTCTGAAGTTCTAACAGATTCGGAAACGTACTTCTTGCGCTCCTCTCTGCTCTCAAGAATCAATAAACGATGATCAAATGAATCGAGATGATGATCAATAAAAGAATTGGAAACTTAGCTAACTGTACGTACAGGAGAGATGTGACCGATCGGTGTGACGAGTTTCTCGAAATCAGACAAGTCATCGAGTTGGTTCAGCTCCGGTTGAGTCGCGGCGGATTTTGTGTTGGAGTGCCTTATCGGAGAACGAATCCAAAGAAATTTACGGTGGGCGGCAGAAGGGAGGGGAGTTAAGAGACTGATCGGAGTGACTGTGGTGGTGCGTAAATTAGACGCGCGGATGTGCGGGAGCGTAGGTCGATATGAGATAATAAATTAATGGCATTAAAAAAGGACAAGAATTTCTCTTTTTTTTTTTTCAGATCCAAGAAACTACAAAACACGTGTTACTGGAATACTTATCCACGGGCTACGCCTAGACGGCTAGACATGATGTTAACAAATTTAGATTTGTCCACATACAGTCCGACTTGAAATATGAGTATAATTTTATTATTCAAGTTCGATTTACCTTTTAAAAAAAAAGGTCTAAGTCCGCTCGAGCCGTCTATATTTTAATTTAAAAATAAAAATAATTTTTATAATAAATATTAATTAATAAAATAATCTTTAAAATAAATTTATTAATTTAATTGATATTTAGATGTAATTAATACATATAAATATATGATATTAATGTGAAAATATATTATTTAATTATATAATTTTTTTATATAATATAATTATAAATATAAAAATTATTTGATTTGAACTGCATCAAACTTGAACCTGGACTAAAATTTAATTATATTTTTTAAAAAAATATAAAATTTAAATGTAAACTTATTTAATGAAATTAAAATTGATATTTAAATCCTCTCAAATTTCAAACAAACTTCTAAATATAAACGAATAATCCGATTATGAGAGAGATCTAATAAACATTTCAAAATATCGTAATTGTAGGGCAAAATATTTTTTTACCTAAAATCCAAATTAAGCAAATCATGACTGAGGCGGATGATTTGACCTTCCAGCAAAACTACCACTAGCTTAAGAATTGACGTGAAGCAAATTTTACATGGTTATTACCTGTTGGAAAAATGTTAAGAATCATATTTACTGAAAAAAAGATTGTAATTAATTTTTTTTTTTCTTAAATTTGATGCAAATAAAACATTAAATAAAAAATCATTTCTCAAAAAAATATTTAATTAACCATAACAGATTTCTCGACCACATAATGAATTTATATTCCTAATTTTAAAAACATGATTAACACCAACAAAATATTAGTTTAATTAATAAAAGATCATTTTTCTCGATATTTAAACTTAGTCGATAACTTTTTATTAAAATCATTTGAAATGCACTAAATATAATTATTATTCTTAAATTATCGATAATGACATATCTTGCATTAATTTAATGATGAAACAATCGATCTCAAATTTTTGGTACAAAAATAAATATTAGTGGTGGTGGGATGCATTGGACACAACAAAATGGACAGTTACTCATAAATAATTATGGAATCCAAGAGCTTGGGGATGGGATTGGATGGGATCCTAGAGATATTTTTCCTAGATATTGTGCAACATTTCTAATTCATAGCACATGCATCATAATAGAACAATACAATAATACCACCAACAGCTCTGGGGTTTCCAAAATTCCGTAATTTATAGTAAAAAATTTTAACATAAATGAAAACAGAGTTTTGCAAACAAACTCCTACAGAGAAAACAAAAGGCATTCACATACAAAGTTCAGCAATCTTCATTATTTCATTCACTTCTTCGCCTTCTTAACCCCCCTGCAAAAATCAAATGAAATTGAAATTAGACCTGTTAAACCAGGTGAAACAACAATACAGCATTATTATTATCATGCATCTTACTCAGCCTGTTGGGGTGCAGATGCAGGCGCTGCCTTCTCACCAGGTCCCTGTATGGTCAAAAAACCAATATCAAGTCACAAATAACCAACTACAGGTGTACGAAACCAAATACATAGAAGTGACTAGTCAATCTTCTAGACATGGTGTAAAATCATTCAGTTTTGTGGCGATTTCACTAAGTGATATCAAAATATAGCTTGATGTGTCAAAGGTGCCATGCTCGAATAAGAATGCTTTATTCTAAGATAAATTTTCAGTGCAACATAGATCACTTGCACACATTGATTAGAAACCAGAAAAGCAACAACCAAAGAAATATCACATTGACCTTCCTATATTCAGAACCCAAGATTCATTCTCCGATCACAATACCAATTTATAAATCAAAACAGATGTTTAAATCACCTGTGCAAGGCGTTCCTCTCTTCTGGCGATCTTTCTCTCCCTGCTTGCCTTGTTCTTAGCACGCTTGGCGTCAAACTGGTCAGAGAGTGTCTTTTCTCTTGCCTTCTCAGCCTTGGACTTGTGGATACTTTCCATTAGGACACGCTTGTTCTTAAACACATTACCCTTGACCTTCATGTACATGTCATGGTACATGTGCTTGTCAATCTTCTTGGATTCCCTGTACTTACGAAGTAAACGCCTCAGTACACGCATTCTCCTCATCCAGAGGATCTTTGTTGGCAACCTTGCCTCTCTGGTACCCTTCCTCTTACCTGAAAGTATGCATAAGACATTATGTCTTGCTAACAATGAACTTTGAGGAACACGGAAACTGAATCATGCATCCAAGATGCAAAATATAGGCTACTCAATTGGGGATTAATCATACCATATCCAGAGTGCCGGCCCTTTCTCTTGGCCTCCTTCATTCTGCGTGCACGAGAACGGGAGTGAATCTTGGTAGGCTTCCTGATGATAAAACCATCCTTCACCAGTTTCCTAACGTTCTGCCCTGCAAACAGAGATCAAATTATTAACATACAAACTGATAGGAACCAAAAAAACAGACAGTGACCTGACAATCTAACACTCGACATGCTGACACGAAACAAACAAGATACGAAAATATGACATGAAAATGACACGACTTAAAATTTAGCAATCACTATATATGGGTTTAACAAAACCAAAATATATATTTAATTTTTTCGTGTCAACACAAATTGTGATACGTAATTTTCGTGTAAAACACAATATAAATATACGAATTTTAAAATTTTACACAACATGAGTATATGAATCACTGAGTCTTAAACAGCTAACAGCTTTTTTTACAAATAACAGTGACACAAAAATTTTAACCAATTCAATTCGAGACTCGTTGGAACAAAAATGGACTAAACTCAAAACTTTCAAAGTTTCACATAAATAAATGGACGAAGAATAAGTGGAAATTGGGATCCTACGTTCTCTGAGAAATCAAACAAACCCTAAACAATCAAAGACGAACAATAACCGCTACGATCTATACACTACAGCATATGGTATTAACAGATTTGGATTTTATTTTTTGAAATGAATTGAATAAGGAGAATAAACAAGAGAGCGAGTAACTTACTGGAGTTGGCCATGGAGATTTCGTTGATTTCATTAGGGTCGAGCCAGACCTTACCACGACCGCACTTGAGGACGCTAGCAGCGAGCCGCTTCTGGAGCTTCAAAGACACCATCGTTATTTTCCTTTCTTGTCTCCCTTTCTCTTCCCGTGTCTCTGTGAGCAGAGACTCGACGGTTTCCAAGAAGAAAGACGGCGGCGGGTTTTATAAAGATGGTGAAAACTGAAAAGTTGTTAGAGTTAGACTTAGGGTTTTTTTTTTTTTTTCTCAGGATAAGGATACAGGCCTCTAAAGCTTGTCTTAATTACAAAATAGATGGGCTCATCTCATGGACCACTCTCCTCGAATCTAAATCTAATTATTTATGTAAAATATTAAAATTTATATATTTAAATAATAATTTATATCAAAATTATATATTATAATTTATATCATATAAAAATATAAATTTTTTATTATATTAAATTTTATATTGAATTATCGTCATATCTTTTTATATTATATTCGTATTATCCCATTTTATTATATTTTAAATGATTAAATTTATTTGAAAGCAATACATTAGACATCATTAATTTTATTACTAGTAAGTTACTCGTGCTTTGCATCACGTTAAGGGTAATAATAAAACAATATATTAGACACCATTAATTGTATTATTATTTACTATTTTTCTCAAATTTAATCCATTAATATATATATATATAAACTCACACGAGTAATCTAAATTATTTGTAAAATAATATATACACTCGAAATTTTTATTTATATTTAAATAAATTTTAATTTTTTATATTTAATAAACATTTGATATAAATAAATTTTTTATTTAAAATAAAAACTTATTTTTATATAAATTAAAAAATAAAAATAATTTGTACTAGGAATCTATCTAAATATAATGGTAAATTTTGTTTTTTTTTTTTTTTAATATTATAACCAAAAAGCAAATATTGGGGTGAAAAGATAGTTGGGCCCAAATCGATATCCAGTAAGGCAATCAACTGGGCTTAATTTCGACTATAGTCTCAAAGCCTCGTCCTCCAATCGGCAACAACCGTCAAAATTCAACACCCATCCAAATCGCCAAGTCAAAAGCACGTTGCGTTTTGACTATTCAAAAAAATTTGTTTTTTGTGTTTTACCTTCCCAGCTTCCCTCCACAAAACAAAATCCCTAAATTCCATTCCAAATTCAACTTCCCTTCACCAATTCTCAAAATCCCTAAAATTTCTCTTTTTCAAATTCAATTCAATTTCTTCTTTTTACCCGATGGATCTCTCTTTAATTTGCGATACGATATCGGTAGCCACGTCTCAAGGCCTAGGGTTTGCGAAATTAATTATCGATCGCCACAATTGCTTCGCTGGAAACAGTTTCCTTTCCCTCCTCACCGGTTCATCGGCCGATAATGTCGGAATCCTCTACTTAACCGCCGCAGTCGTCCCCTTTTACTGTGTCGCACCTCCTTCTGTCAAGCCTAACTCGTATAAGACATTACCTAGAACTCTCCTCCGCAGAAAGCGCCGTACCAGGCGGAAGTTACTCAGCGGCGATGAGTCCAACGACAGCGAGGATTACGGATTCTTCTTCGATAGTGACGGTGGCGATGGATATGGTCCGTTTGGCGGAGGCGGAGGCGGAGGCGGAGGTGGAGGGGCCAATTGGGGTGGGAGTGGTTGGAATTTCGGCGGGTTTGGAGGGCAAAGTTGGGATGAATCTTTGCCGTCGTCTCCGTGGACCATTAATGCTTTGGATTTTGTTTATGAGGTGATTTGCTGGATCGCGTTGTCGAATTGCGTCCATTTTGCGTTTAAGAAGGTGGTTAGAATTGTGGCAAATGGGATGGATGAATCCGGCAACGGGGACAAGGTTCCGATGAGATTGGCTTCAGTTTGCTGATTTGGCAGATTAATTTGGTATTCCAAAATCTCCGCCTTGTTAACGATTGGTTTATAAAACAGTATGTACATTGAACTTGAATTGGAAAGTTAAAACAGTATAGCACTGTCATAGCTATTCTCATTGTTGCTGTAATTATTGCTGCTGTTGCTTATTTGCTTTGAAGAATGCTATGGCATGCTCTTGAATTGATTGCTGAAAAATGTATATGTTTGTTTGTTTGTAGAATAGGGATGTAAATGTGCTCACAAACTAATTGGGCTAGACTCAAATAAAATTCAAATTCAGCTTGATCATTGTCGAGTGGAGCTAGTAAATTGACTTATTGAGCAAGTCGAATTTGAGCTTTCTAATGTTTGACTCAAATAGTTAGTAAGTTTAATCGAGTTTTTATATTTTAATATATATTTTTATTATTTTACCTTTATAAATATATAAAATATATATATATATGAATTTGAACTCGAATTCGAACACAAATATTCAAGCTTGAAGTTGAGTATGAGAATTGAGGTTTTTTTTTTTTTATTGATAAACGAGCTTAATCAAGTGAACTCAAATAGTTCGATTTTTATTTCGATTCAAGCTTGAAATTTAAAACTCAATCAAATTTGAGCAGAGTTTCAAGCAGTAAATTTACTATATTAACTCGGCTTCACTTGATTACACCCTTACCTCTGAAGCATAGATTGAGGTTGTGTGGGCAGACCTCGGGGTTACTTAGTTTTTGTGATTTTAGGTTTGTAGAATCAGCTTAAGTTTCTGTGATATTAAGTTTGTAGAATCAACTTAACTTGCAAAAGCCTTATGTTGTAAGCACTGGTGGAGTAGTTATATTGCAATTCAGTTCATATGCTTGACCCTATAAGGACAAGGAATTCTTTTAGTTTAGGTATTTTGGGTTCTATGTGGAGCAAGGTAGAAGTGGAAAGCTTCATTTATGATCTAACAAGAGTAGGTGATGTAAGGAGTGGCTTGACAGTCGCTGCAGTTATTGTTCCATGGTCTTAAATATTGAGGATAATCTGGGTAGTCATAGCTCAAGGACTCCCATGTGTCAAATTTGTCACACTGAAGCTCAGAAGGCATAAAGGGATTGCATTTTTTCAATTAAGTTTGACGGTTTGCCTGGTACATGACACCATGCATTGAATTTTCAAGATGAATAAGGCATTCATCGTCTCCTTATCCTCTTGAGTGGTCTCAATATTTAGATTTTAGTAGTACTGTGATTAAGATAGGTCAGCTTCAAATTGTAAGAAATGATACACCCATCTAAGAAATATACATAGCAGTCAGCCAGCAGGTTGGATACCTTGATATTGCGTTGCACTTAATTCTGTTTCATGACATGGAAATCGTCATGATCAATCTGTGCTAATTCCTTGATCAAGTAGCAAATGTAAATGGGGTCCCGCATAATGCCGAATTGAACCTTGCTATGTGCACATCAACACTTTCCTATGACCTATAAGGGGAAATTTCGTCTCAAGTGTGCACATTTCCTAAAGTTGGTCCTATGATTATAACTTTAACAACTGATTTATCTGTGGCACTTTTGATTGATCATGTCTGCCATGTTGTTGAGTCTCTTTTTCAGAGACTCCCATGTGTCAAATTTATCACACTGAAGCTCAGAAGGCATAAAGGGATTGCATTTTTTCAATTAAGTTTGACGGTTTGCCTGGTACATGACACCATGCATTGAATTTTCAAGATGAATAAGGCATTCATCGTCTCCTTATCCTCTTGAGTGGTCTCAATATTTAGATTTTAGTAGTACTGTGATTAAGATAGGTCAGCTTCAAATTGTAAGAAATGATACACCCATCTAAGAAATATACATAGCAGTCAGCCAGCAGGTTGGATACCTTGATATTGCGTTGCACTTAATTCTGTTTCATGACATGGAAATCGTCATGATCAATCTGTGCTAATTCCTTGATCAAGTAGCAAATGTAAATGGGGTCCCGCATAATGCCGAATTGAACCTTGCTATGTGCACATCAACACTTTCCTATGACCTATAAGGGGAAATTTCGTCTCAAGTGTGCACATTTCCTAAAGTTGGTCCTATGATTATAACTTTAACAACTGATTTATCTGTGGCACTTTTGATTGATCATGTCTGCCATGTTGTTGAGTCTCTTTTTCAGAGACTCCCATGTGTCAAATTTATCACACTGAAGCTCAGAAGGCATAAAGGGATTGCATTTTTTCAATTAAGTTTGACGGTTTGCCTGGTACATGACACCATGCATTGAATTTTCAAGATGAATAAGGCATTCATCGTCTCCTTATCCTCTTGAGTGGTCTCAATATTTAGATTTTAGTAGTACTGTGATTAAGATAGGTCAGCTTCAAATTGTAAGAAATGATACACCCATCTAAGAAATATACATAGCAGTCAGCCAGCAGGTTGGATACCTAGATATTGTGTTGCACTTAATTCTGTTTCATGACATGGAAATCGTCATGATCAATCTGTGCTGATTCCTTGATCAAGTAGCAAATGTAAATGGGGTCCCGCATAATGCCGAATTGAACCTTGCTATGTGCACATCAACACTTTCCTATGACCTATAAGGGGAAATTTCGTCTCAAGTGTGCACATTTCCTAAAGTTGGCCCTATGATTATAACGTTAACCACTGATTTATCTGTGGCACTTTTGATTGATCATGTCTGCCATGTTGTTGAGTCTCTTTTTCAGACTTGAAACTCAATAGTAATGGAATATGAGGAATTTAGTGGTAAGTCTCCTTGTCTCTATGACATGGCGATGGACTGTCTATGATTTGGGGATAAATTTGGGGTTTGAGTATCTGCCAGTGCTTTATCGGTACCATTGCTGAAATAATTATTTTCATTTCTAAGTTGTTTCCCTGGTGAGGTAGTCCCTCGTATTATAACAGTTGAAAACACCAACAAATAGGGGATGAGCATAAGTCAGTTTCAACCGACTTACTGAATTTGGTCAAATCAATTCGATTAATTTAGTTTCAGTATGGTTTGTTAAATAAAGTGAGATTAGTTGGTTAACTCGGTCAACTTTTTATTTTTAAAATTAATAATAAAATTGATCAAATTAATAAAAAATTTTAATAAAATTTTAAACATATTATATACGTAATATAAATATATATAAATTCTATTTTTTTAGGATTGAATCGACCCTTACCAACAAATAGTTAAAATGATTGAGGAATTAGATGGGGAATTCAGATTGCTCAAATTTCATTACATCATCACCTTAAATCTAGCCAAAGCTTAGTGCATGACCATTCGATTAAAAAGCGTCTGCAGTAGATGTAAAAATTAGAATCTTTTTTACTTAAAATATTACATGTTGGATATTATAGCATAAAACCAAATAAGTTGACTCAGCTGACAGAAACCTAAAGTTCGATGATGTCTTCCAAGAATGATTGTATTTTGTAATTTTATATACAAACTGACGACAAGAATGAAAGGGGTTTTTGGATTGTTTATTCAAGTGTCATTGACAAAGGAACCACAGGGATTCTGTTGACACACAAATAGGTAAATTTGGTTGATGCATCTTCCCTAGTGGCCTTGCAATTTGCAATTGCTTTCCCATCAACCTATAAATTCTCAGTAATCAGCTCTCATTCATTTCACCTTTACTAAAGACATAACAAAGATGAATACAATGGATCTAGGATTTAATTCATATGATTGGTTGAATTTTTTAGATGAATTCCCGCAAAATTAGATTTGATTTTCAGCATTGATTCTCTTCAGCTTAAATTTCTTTTGTTAGGATATTTTTAGATTCAAAAAATAAAATAAACTTTTTTCATTTTAGTATAAAATAACTGATAACTAAAAGTACATTTATCATTTTGATCGAATTGATGTGTCAGATTAATTTGAATTTATGAATTTATGTCAATTCGATCACTTCAACAACTTATATTTAGGATATTAATTTGTCATACCTTGTCTGAATAGTTAATTATTAACTCAAATCGAATCTATTAGATTGATTTTAATCCCCTAAGGTTGATCTCCAGCAGCCTAGGCTGTTTAATATCCCCAATTTTATAAATAGCATCTTCTGTGTAACTCTCATTAATCTTGCTTCTCGTTACTTTCATATTATTTCCTTTTTGTTCCTTTTTAAATCGATATTTGATTTGAGTCTAGTAGTATAAATATCGAACCACTTCCAATCTTTTTTATTAACTATTTTCTTTCTCTCCTGTAATTTTAAAATTTTATCCCTTGAGAGCTGCTCGGATCAAACGTCTTTGATTGAGGAGGAACAGATGAATGTAAACTTCAATTCTACGAGGACAAATTAAGAAAACGACGAGGACAATTGATCACAGCTAAAAAAATTTTTTTTTTCTTGGTGCATGTGTCACTGATCGAGATTCAAGCTCCAAATTTACACGGCTCCGAGACTCGGACATCCACTAATCTGACGTCTTAGATCAATCTAACTATCACGATTCACACCCTTATGAAATATTATCTACTCTGACCCTCTGACCTCATGATTTTATTTTACAAAAGACGTCTCATAAAGAAGAGATGATATGAACTCTTTTATACCTCAATGACTCTCTTATTATGTGCGATGTGAGATTCAAGACTCTTCTTTAAGTCTGTAATACATACATGTGACAACCATTTTTGTTACGTTGTATGAGTTCCCTAAGCTGAAAATCTAGTACAAAGTATCTTTTTATCCTTTTCTGGTCACAAAAACCATGCTCAATTGCCACAAAAACACGTCGATACATTGCTTAATCTATTGGTGTAACAATATCTTTGATATTATATCAAATAATTTTTCTCTATATATAAACATTTTTCATCTTTCAATTTGCTATGATCAGCTACATAATTTTTTTGAGATTATTTTCTCAAAGAATAATAAGAAGATTTAAGATCTCTTTGGATGAACAATGAAATTGATTATAATGAAATTAAAAATAATAATTATTATTATTATAATTACAATTGAAACAAAATTATTGAATAGCTATGATTTTAAAAAATTTTAATAAAAAATTTATGCTGATTTAATTTTATTAAAATTAATATTTAGATTCAATTAATGATGTAATCCAATAAAAAATTTGATGAAATCCAAACGATGACTTAGTGTTCCTAATAATATTCAATGATCGGTATGCAATACCTACGCTACCATCACATGTTTCCTTTGATATCTATTATTCATATAATAATTATCGCCTAACTTTCAAATCAGTGAGTATAATTTTAGAATTAATGTTTGAAGGTTACAAATTCAAAAGAATTTATATATGAAATGTTCTCTTCAATTAATTAAATAAATGCCAAAATAAAAAAGGTTAAAAAATAAATTAAAATTTTCAAAAAAAATTCATATAATAATTAATAATTAATCATCACTCTAATCACCACCACCGTGATCTTGATCATGATAATGATCATATCACAATAAAATATTTTTTATTCGCACTTAAAATCTCTAACCAAATCTCATTTCATTCTTATATACAAGTGCAACAGCTGATCCATTAGTCTCATGCTTTGCATACATTGATACAAACATCAAAGTCGTAAGCATAATATAATAACATAAAACACATTAAAAACCATAATTAACGCAAATTATTAGCAGTTTTTTTTTTTCTTTTGTCTTCTAATGAACAAGCTGGCGCTGTTGCAGATGATGTGCCACGAGGTCATCAAGCATCCAGAGGTCCACTGAGTCAGGCTCACAGTTTCGACATGGCTGAGTAGTGTCATCGGGCTCCAAACCAGAGAACGATGCCAGGCTCGAGATTTGTTGTTTTAGCTCTAGCTCACTCTCCAGTGGCATTGGTGGGTTTGATGGGACAGTGGCCTCAAAACTCACCGAAGTCAACTCAGAAGCGATGCACCTTTTCTTAGCAGGAGGCTGAGTTTGGGCTGCTGCTGCTGGTTCAGCTGGAGCTTGAGGGAAGTTGAGCCTGGCTTTGTCTCCACGGATGCGCTTGGCAGCTTCATCGTAGGCTCGAGCTGCCTCTTCAGCTGTGTTATAGGTACCAAGCCAAACTCGGACACCCTTGCGAGGGTCTCTAATCTCGGCTGCCCATTTTCCCCATGGCCTTCGCCTGATTCCTCTGTAAATATTCTTCCGAGTTCGCCGAGTCTTTCCCTCTTTTTCTCTGACTCGGCTTTTCTTCTGGGTCCTCTCGCATGTCCCTAAAATCACCCCCAAAGAAAAACCAAAATTAAGGAAAAAAAAAAACACAAACTTTAGCAGAAAAAAACCATTGGGAAAATACTAAAATTCATGATCATGCAAGAAAAAAAATTCAAACATCATGAATTTTTACAAAAAGCAATAAAAACCAAAATTGTGAAGAAAACCCAGAAGCAAAAATCTTACCTTTATTAAGTTGCTTGCCTTTTAGACCGACCTTGTTGTCAAACTGAGTGAAAGAGTCTTTCCCATTGTAGTCCAGACCCAATAGGTAGGTGTCAAGTTCCGACCAAAGGTCATCGGCGGTCAAATTCCGACCACGCTTCAAAGCAATGAAATCAGAAATGATTTCACCTATGCACATCTTCTTTTGGAATCTCAATGCTTTTGCCAGTACTCCAAAGTGAAAGAAAGGACAAAGAAAAACCATAAAGATTTAGAAAGCTTTGCCTTTGGGGTCTTCCATTTATAGAGCGACGGTTGCAACTTGCAATGAAGAAAGGACAATGTTTCCTCCCTTCTTTTTTTTTTTTTTTTCTCTAATCCTGATGCGACGGCTAAGAGCGAATCATTGACACGTCAATATCACATAAGATCTCTATGGACGGTAGAGATTTTTTTTATTTTTATTTTTATTTTTATATCCATATTTAGTAAATATTTTTATTTTATTTTATTTTCAAAAATATTTAATAAATATGAAAAATTAACATACTCATAATTTTTTATTAACTTTTTTAAAAATAAAAATAAAAAATTATTTTTTTAATTTATAATTTTATCTAATATATTTGTTTTTTATAAATTTATATTAATATATTTTTTAAATAATATATTAATTTCATTTACTCTAAAATAATAATTTTTATTATTTAATAAAAATTTATTTATTAAATATATAAAAATATATATAATGTACAAATACAAAACGAATACTATATTATTCATCACCATTATTAATTTTTTATAAAAATTTAAAATTATATTAATCTCTATTTTCATCTCATAATATTATATTTATTCTCTTTTATATTCAAACAAAATGTTGAATTTTAAAGATGACCAATCGAACAATTTTGGCTAATTCAATTTTAGTCGATCAATTAATTTAACTATAAATTAATTAAAAAAACCAAATTAATCAATTATTGGAGTGAAAATAAAAAATAATTGAATTAAAATTAATTAATTAATTTTTTTTAATTTTATGATTTTTTAATTTTAAATAAATAAAAAATTAATTTATAAAATGAATCGATTTTTTTTTAAATAAGTCAATTCATTTGCAAAATGATCAAACTTTTACAAAATCACAAATCAATCCATTACACCATTCAAACCGATCATTCAACCGAAAAAACCACTAAACCCCAAAAAAAAAAAAACTGAATTTAATTAAAATTTAATTTTTTTATCAATATTCTACTCGAATCAACTACTGCTCACCCCTAGAATTTCATGATATGTAAAATTCACATCTTTAATAACACAAACTAGGGAAATTAATTATGGCCGTACGATTGAGAAGAAGTGATGGTGGGATCCACATTGTGGGGTTATAGGAGATGATTAAGTGGCTGTCTGTGGTTGGGAGAGGAAATGACGGGGCTGTCTCAGAATTGTGTAGTCTGAACCAGGCTTTTGTGTAGCGCACGTCGGAATAGGTCCAAAAGTTAACGGCCCAAGTGGAAGAAGACAGGTCATACTAAATGACCCTGGATTTGGCACCTATTTACAATCTTGTCACCTCCCATGCGCTTCCCTTTTTACAGTAACAAGAAACATTAACTTATTTAATAGCTTATACTCAAATTTACCTATTTGGAACGTATTACTTGAACTCGAGTTTAAGTGTCGAGCATGAATATGTTTTATTTAAAATTTTTTTTCATGTATTTGAAAAATCGGACATCTATAGTTAGAATAAAAACAATGGGGAAGGCAAGAATCTGGGAGCCAGCCCATGGATTTGGCTTGAGATTAATCTAGAAAATAGCTATAGGAAGGGACCATTTTCATACCTAAAATTACGGATAATAATAATATAAATTATTGATAAAATATTAAAATTTTAATTTAAATAATATAAAAAAAGTTGCAGCCCAAAATAGTGAGATAATTTTTCTATCTCGAAAAGGATGATAGTGCTCAAAAAAAGTTGAGGAATATAATGGCACTGCATTTGCATCATCACCCAGGAAAGGACCCCAAAAGGATGTGGCAGGCTTTTATGAAATAGCAAGCAAAAATGAGGAATCAGATTTGCTTTCAGTTCTGCCTTCTGTCTTTCACTTATGACCTCTTCTTAAGCAACAAGCCAAAACTCCTTTTCCCATACACTTTTATTTTCTGATCATGTGGTCCTTTTTCCTTCCCAACTTCTTTTTTGTTCATCATTTTATTATTCATTTTTCTTCCAACGGTTGTTTTCACTGGTTTATGAAGTTTTGTCCTAACTTGGACAGGAAGGAATTATTGCGTATCTGAATCTGCTCACACAATTTAATGAGATATAAGGTTTTATTTGGATGGATAGTAAAATTAATTTTAATTTATTGTAATTTTAATTGAAAAAAAATATAATTACAATTGAAAAAAAAATTTTAATAAAAAATTTATATTGAATTGACCTTACTAAAATTGATATTTGAATTTAACTAATAATGTGATGAGTTCAACTGTACAACATCGAAAGTACAGTAAAATCTAAACCTAAGCTAAGACTTCCCAAAGGATAGTTTCTGAGCCTATGAACTTTGTTCTTCAATGAAGTTGAAAAAAGTTTGAAAGAAATCTTAAACGAGCCTTTTTTTTTTTTTTTTGCCTTCTTTGATGAGCTTATTGCTGGAGTTTAGAAATGGGAAACCACAATTATAGTCCCTTTTGTATTCTCTTATACCTTATCTATCTTCAGGAGGGTTTAAAATAGAATGCTGCTTCACTTTCTTCCCCTGCTTCACTTTCTTCCCCTGCTTCCCAGTAAAAGAGTCTTCCAATGGTTTGCTCATTCTAAACTTCTTCTGTTCTTCATTCATCCCATAGTCAAGTACAGCTATAAGCAAGTTTTAAATAAATTACAGCCATCCATCAGTGCAATTCTCTAAGTCCATTTGTTTAACTTACGGATCTTGGGTTCGATTTCACAGGTTTTGAACTAAGAGGTCTAACTTCATCCATAAAAATTGCCATAACATGACTAACAACACCAAATAGTCATTTCATCCAATACAATACCAAAACTGATCTAACACTCTACTGACATAAAGAGGTAATAAGTGCAAACCTATTGAGACCAGAGGATTGTATGCTTTCACCTGAAGCAACAAGGAATCGTGCTTGCTGAATTGTTTCACAATTCCAAGAGCATGCCGAACTCACGACTGATAAAGAGGAGAGTGATAGCAATCAAGGACAAAATATTGCAAAAATACAGGAAATCGTACATGCTGTAATTTGATTGCAAATCCCCAAAGGCCACAGCTATTTTGAAGTATCAAAGAAGAACCATTTCCAAATTACAATCAAAACAAGACATAATATCCAACCACATCATACATGTAAACCTTCCACAATGCCACATATATTGAAAGACCACGTATCTAGGAAAAACATTATTATTCCCCACAATTCTCTTCATGGTATGAGGGGAAAAGATATCAACCTAACTGAAGAAGTTATTGCAAACAAAAGAATCATAAAACCTTCTAGTCCGCCATTTTAGCCAAGCGATGGACAGTACTTCTTGCAATCCTGTTAACAGGATCAATCTTCAGAACAGTTCTCAGATCTTCTGCCCCAAGTTTGTATTTCTCCATGCTTTCATACAAGAGTGCACGCTGTACAAGGACAGACACATTGGTGTCATCATGCTCTAGCACCTGCATAGAAAAATGGAGAACATAACTTCATCAGTCAAACAAATGGATCAATACATTGATATCAATTGATGTGGTTGATACAAATACAACCAAGGGCGACATGCCTGATTTGTACAAAATTAAAGGACCTTGCAGTGTGCAAAATAGAGGACCATACAAATTACTCTCCCTTTCTCACACACACAAAAGCCCTCAGATGGTTAAAAATTATCAATAAAAACATAGCTAAAGTATACAGCATTGTAGTTTTTAAACAAGACTTGTCTGCCATCAGGTAATTAAGTATCAAAAGGAGCCTAGCCCTATTAAATTTTAAACACTTACTCTGGAGCCAACTTTAGAGGTTCAAACTTTAATAACTGCTAGGCACACTAACAATTGAGATTTTGCATAACATTGCTTAACACAGGAAGCTCCAGAACTTAAGAAAATTCACAAAATCCATTAGCAACCGATGTGAATGTCATAAAAATTTTAAGGTAAATATTCACATTACAAAGGAACTACAATAATTTGTCTAACAGTTTAAAGTGTCATTTATACCTTTGAACAGTCAGCTACAGCCTTCTTATACTCCCCAACCTCTTTATAACATGAAGCCCTACATGATAAAACCTCCATGATGCCAGCCTTATCATCTGTCTTCTCAAGAAGTATCACTGCCCAGGACAGCCACTTAATGGCATCAGCATACTGGCCTTGCTTCTGGTTGTCGATACCCTTGCTCTTTGCAGAAGATGCTGTGACCCCAGCTGGGGGAGGAGGAAGCCCTTCAAGCTCAGTTGTTGAACCACCTTCATCAGTTCCTCCTGCTCCTCCCCCAAACTCAGAGTCCAACCCCCAATCATCAACTCCCGAAAATTGCTGCCCTCCACCTCCACTAGATGCTTGTGTAGCACCTCCAGCCGAAGCTGAAGATGATGAAAAGAACATATCCAGAGGATCACCACCCGAGCTGTGAACAGTTGTTTGACTTTGAGATCCAGCATTCTTTGCAGGCATCCCAAAATTATCCATGTTCAAACCAGAAGCCATATTTGACCCCATAAAATTATTATTACTCGAACCAAAATCACTAGATCGAAATGCAGTTTTGCTCGGTTTTGAAGCATTCTGAAAATCCCCAAATGCATCACCCACAACATTCACCTTATTTCCTTTATTACTATTAAGACTACCTGATGGTTTTGACGAAAAATCAACCAGAGAACCAAAAGGGTCCTTCGAACCACTCCCACTTCCACCTCCAACTCCTCCCACTCCTCCAGCCATACTTTTCATTGAAGGATCCCCAAGATTCTGAGTCTTACTATAATTAATATTGAAATTAATATTACTACTACCACTGCTATTATTATATGCACCAGAAGTTCCCCAATTGCCAGTACTTTTTGGCAACGAATCAGCCAAATTCCCCATTGAATACGGGCTTTTACTCGAAGAATTAGAAGTGGGATTTGCATTTTTCAAAGGAACATTAGCATTACTATTACTCTTGCCCTGTCCCAAAGCAGAGCTAACCAAATCCCCAAACAAATTAGGGTTCCTGTTAACAATTCCAATCCCAGAACTATTACCCCCCGAAGGACCCGAAGAGGTCCAACTCTTCCCAAAGATGTCTCCCACCATGGAATTGGGTCCAGATAACCCAGATTGGTTGGCCTGATTCGCGGCCGGTTGGTGGGTCCACGACGGGTTGTTCGGTTGCCACGCAGGCTTCGATTGTGCAGATGTTGTTGATGAATAAGATGAAAACGAAGATGTGGTTTTGTTCTTTTGGTCATTTAGGGATTTGGGTCGGCCCGATCCGAGACCGAGATCAAAATCGAAGCTTTTCAGCGAACCTGATGAACCTCTACCGTAATTGGAGTTCATAGCTTTTGCAAACGTGTGGATCTAAGCAGAGATTAAAGGATCGGATCGGATTTTATCAAGAACGTACCTTTTCAAAATGGGATCTTGAGTTTGTGAACTATGGTGGCACCATCGGCGGAGGTAGTAGCGGGGGTGGCAACGTCGGCTTCGGACTTTTCCGTGGGAAGCGATAGAATTGTGGTGAGGGAATTGGAAGTGTCTGATTTGATTCCGACAGCAGAGGATGCTTCGGATCCCGAAATCTAATTTTAGCATGTGATAGCAGAAGTAATTACAACCTGTTAGGATGGACAGTTTTGTAAAATCACGTCAACAAAAAATGCCATTTTACTTTCTTTGTTTTTTTTAGCCAAGAAACTAATTCCTTTTTTAAAACAAATTTTTTTCATCACATTTTTATTACACTAAAAAGAATTTCAATATCTCATAAAAAAAATTTCAATACCAATTAAACTCATTAATGTAAAAGAAAAAGATTACTAGCATAATAAATTTTGCTTAGAGAAAATAGAATTTTCTTAATAAAAGTATAAAGAAATCGAAATATCATATATAATCAAAATTTGTTATGTTCGTAATTTAGTTTAATTAATAATTATTGTTGAAATATTATTTGTGATGGTTTATAAAATTTAATAAATAAATAAATATAAAAATAATTGAATCGATTCACGAAATATTAATCGAACATTTTATTTTTATATTATTTATGTAAATAAATTTAACATAAACAAATTTTGTTATATTTATAATTTATAATTCGTTTAATTAAAGAACTCTAAAATACTATTTGAGATCATTTATTAAAATTACTAAACGAATAAAAATCAAATCTATTTACAAACCGTTGAAAAAGGAATTTTTTGGTTTACATTCTTATTCTACTTGACCCTTTAGCATTAATCAAGTGTTCGCATCTCCGTTAGGAAATAAGATGTGCTTCACTCAGGAAATTATCTTCTCTACAATATTGGAGAGCTTAGCTTATGCATTTTTTTTTAATTCTCTTATCAAACTCACATTTGTGAGATCCCTGAACATGATACTTGACAAATAAATATCACTCAAAGTAAAATATGATATTTAAAAAGTACAAACCCAGCTACTTTCTGCGCCACCATCAGACACCGCGCCATGCTCGGTGACATCAAAAACTCCATCATTAGGTGCCTTATATGTTTCCAGAGAGCCAGCAGGTGGAATTGAAGCCCAGTTCAGGTAAAGCAGCTTCAGGTGCTGTGTAAGCCACAGGTTTGGCAGGAGGCGCTGTTGCCACCACAATTGTGGAGATTCAAACTGTGAAATATTATTTGCTTTAACTCAAAATTTTCTTATAGATTTAGGTTTAAAATTTTACATATATATCATTTTTTATTCACATAATTATTTTACGATCATTAACTGATGATCACTCTGATATTATTTACTCTGATATTATTTGTAAAAACCCACACCCAACTGACTATCGATTGGTGACTACTCTAATATCATTTATAGAGATTCACACTTAACATGTGAGATATTGTTCGCTTTAATTTGAAAGTCTCATGATTTTGTCTCGTACAAAAAGTATCTCACAGATTTGGATTTAAATCTTTATATATATATATATATATATATCATTTCTTATCCATACATTTTTTCAATACGAGATCGAAGACGCTACAACAATACTTACATGTAATAATTCTATAAAAATTGCTATATTTCTCATGCTGAATGCCATCATTCCCTATGCTAGGCTAAGTTAAATCTCTTTTACTTCTTTTGGACATTAGCTGATCATCTTCGCAGCATTCATCTTTGGTACTTATAAAGTGATGGTGATATAGAAGTTTACCAAATCGCGTACACTTAATTTTTTGTGCTCTTTGTGACCATTTAGCTATAAATGCATGTTATTCCTTATCGCACAAAGTTTTAAACATGGGAACTGATGATCCTTCAGGAAAATCTTCAGGGAGATAATGGAAAAGTAAGGGTTAGGTGTTCTATTTATATAATATTTCAACTTCTAGAGCTATAAATTTGTACTTGGAATGTGTTAAGCTTTAAACATAGGTAGACAAATTGAATTCTTGTAATTTGTTTTTAATATTTGAAGCTGTCAGGAGCCTTTTGTCTAAATAGCCAACAGGCACAATGGCTCAATCCAGACTATGACAATCTGCTAGATTGACATAGTTTTTCATGAGTAAACAACACTTGTTGATCAAAAGCTTATATCAATTTGGTTTGGAATTAATTTAAACTTAAATCCCGGTATTACAATTGTCTCAGATGCTCTTGACATCAATACAGTACACTAGATCCACTGCTTCTTCTCTCTTACAAATTTACTCCATTAATCATTCAGAAGGAAAGAATCGTCGTTTGGAGAACTGTAAGCGCCTAATGGCAAGGGGGAGGGCTTTGGAAGCCAAGGTAGTGAACTTTGGCGTTAACACACTTAGAACTGAAAGGCAGCTTGCCATTTGGAGGACCAACGTACTGCAAGTTGACATTGTTTATGTGAATGCCTTGGCAAGGATTTGATGCGCTGCATATTAGTTCGACTGCAACTTTGCTAGTTGAAGTTCCCTTGATGTTTACGTAGTGAACATCGCTAATGCTTACTTTAGATGCCTTCATAAAACAAGCAAAAGCTGAATTAGTCAATGTCTAAGTTAGAAATTTGCGAAAATAATTATGGGGGAAGAAAGTAACCTGACTGCTTCTTCTGTTTCCATATTCTTGATCTATGATTATGGGGTTCCTGACTCGAGTCATGACGAGGTCTCGGAAAACCAAGCCTGAAGCTTTACTTGGGGATGGGGTTTTGTATGTTTTGATTCTAACTCCATTGTCTGTGTCTGTCAGCGAGCAGTTCCTCACGATGATCCCACTAACATCTGATTCAGCATCGTAGTGGCCAAGGCTACCAATACTGTTATCAAACATGGACGGGGAATAATTTTGAGGAATGCTCAAGAATATGATGATAGATAGGGGTTAGGAAAGTACCTGAAACCGTGTCCAGGGCCACAAATTACTTTCTTGACGCTGATGTTGGTGGATCCTTGGATCATAGAGACGCAATCATCGCCTGTGGCAATGACACTTTTGGATATTTTCACCAGGTTCGATTTGCTCATGTGGATGCCATCAGTGTTGGGGCTGTCTCTAGGGGCTTGCAAATTAAGGTTGAAGATCCTGAAGTTTTGGCTCCAGCTGATCATGATGTGGAACCCTTTGGGGTCAATGGATTTTATGCCACGGATGATTGCATCGTTTACCCTGATGAACTTCAAAGTCTGCATTGAATACAAAAAATAATCCTATCATAATAAATCATAAATCTAAATCATAAATGTCAGGTGGTGATTTGAAGCTTACAGCTGGCAAACGGACGCAGTTAGACTTCTTGTCACAATTATTGTACTTCCATACCTCAGCACCTTGGCCATGGAAAGTACCGTGTCCACTGAGAATCAAGCCGTCAATGCTTTGGAATGTGATCCAGTCTGTACCATCTGCTCCACCGCCATAGTAGGAAATATCAGCTTGTGCTTTGACCAATCCATTAGCTTGAATAATCAAAGGAGATGGATTGAAGCAGGGTCCAGCAAATATGACCGGTCCTATTAAGAAGTTACCGTCAGGGATGACCATCATAGCATTTCCATGGAAATTGCATGCAGCCTTGAAGGTCCTGATAAAATTCTGCAGGAATCACAATTTCAATGGACAATGTCCATCAGTTTAATCAAATAAAAGGGGCCATAATTTATATACAAAGTAACAATGAAAGAAGAGTTCAAAGATAAACGATACAATTGAGCTATCAGTCTTTCCATCAGCCTTTGCACCATATTCTAACACATTAAAAACTTTGACATCAGGGCCTACTTTCCCAATAGCGGCATCTCTAGCTTTAGCAAGAGCATCTGCTGCATCAAATGGACGCATTCCCTGGCAACCAGGAACAACCAAGCACAATAGAAGAATGGCGCTTATTCGAGCTATTGCGCTGAATGCCATGGCTGCCATCTTTCAACCTGAGCTACAAATTTCTTGTTCCTGTTTAAAAGTTTCGAAGCCTCCACTAAAGAGGCTATGACAATGGTGCAAACCTCGTTTCCCTGCTTCCTTTATACGTTTTAGCCTTTAAACAAGATCATCTTTTACCACTAATATCCTCTGAGGGAGGACTAAATTGTCGGAACCTTGGTTTTTGTAGTTTCAAATTTGGTTGTCTTTGTTCCTAAATATAGCTATACATGCTTTGTTGGGCCATCTTGTTTTTTTCCCTCCAAATTGGTCCCTAAAGAATTGAACCATGACCATCAGCTAATTTTATGGCAACCGATTGAACCATCCGTCATTGGTTATTTGAAATTTTTGTGTATGGTTCCAATTTTCTTGGATGTTCCATAAGGACAGTCCTACCTAATTTTTAATACAAGTTCCAATTTGTCCAACTGATTTCTATCTTAAAGTAAACTCACAGTCACAACCTTTGCTCCTCCGTTCCTTCTTTCTCTCCTCTAAACCCCGAAATCTGAGTCGAAATCATTTTCTTCCCTCGAGACACAAAGGGAGAGCAGTGGAGAGTAGGGAACAACACAGCAATTAATTAACTAAGAATATTTGGCTAACCTAAAAGTTGGTCTGCTTCTCTTATATTATTCAGAATTGAACTTCTTAATTGACTTAAGTAACAGGCCGTTTGACCTTTGAAAAACCTAAGGTCCCTGATAAAGTTTAGTTTTGCAGATGGTTTTCTTTTATAATCCAAATTGTCAGTGACTAAAACTAAGAGTTCAGCATTTTATTAACAAATTGTGGGATTGTTGGTCCCGATGATGTTTGTCAAGACCGGGTTTGTTAGTGCTGTGGGAAGGGCTTCCCATGGGTCCTTAAACTGTTGGAACATGAAATTATGGAAGATGAAATTATGCGAAGCAGACTTTAGTCTGGAGATAGAGAAAGTATAGGTGTTGAGATTTAAACTACATATCTACGGGATGTTTAATCTTAAAAATGATCGAACAAACCAATTGAACTAAACACTGTTTGAAGATGGAAGAGTTTTGAATTGTGTGTAAACCGTAATTAATGTAATAAAAGCAAGAAAAACATAAGTACAGATTACAGAAGCTACAAAGAAAATACAAGGCAACCAGGCTGAGGAGGTATATTTCTACTAGTTATAGTTGTGAAATTCTAAGCCCACTGTTTTTGTTCAGTTTTACCATAGTCATTAAGTTGCATCCCAGTCTCACCATAGTTCTGCTGCATCATTGCTGCTAATTGCTTCATCCTCTGCTGCTATATGAGCTTGGTATACCTGACAAACATACCATCTTTCATAGTTTTTTACAGTCTCAATTTGATGATAGCTGCCGGTATCAGGATGTTGGACAATAGTGACAACTTGGGGTCCGTGATAAACGTATTGGTTCGGTACCAGCTGCTTCTGATGATGATAGTGATCTTGATTTCTCGAAGAAGGAACACGCCTGTGACTGTGAGCCTTCCCGGTCTGCCGGCCATATAGCTCATCTCTCAAGGGGAAGCCTTCTGAGGCAACCTTCTTAAGATGATTTATTGAACATGCCATGGTTACTATTTCTTTTAGTTTGGAGAAAGCGAATTGTTTTTCTTGGTTATATGGTTAGAGGCCAGGCCCCTTATATACACGTATAGGAAGTTTAGCTGCATTGGAGATTAGCATCACAAGACTCGAACCAGAACATTTGGTGACGAGAGCGCGAGTTAATTCAGTCAACTGAGTCGATTTTTTTATTGGGTTCCATCATAATTAAAGGAACAGAAAAAAGAAAGGAAATCTCTTAGGAAAGAAAGAAAGCCAAAAGAGGAATTAGGTTCCCCATTTATTCCTCCAACTTTTCTATGAAATATTCGATTCTTGATTAATATCAATTACAGTGAAATTGGAATGCCTAATCGTTTAAGTTGAGTTGCCGAGTTATCTACAGCCACGTAGCCGTGAGCCAAGTGACCACAATAAAAATAAAAATAATAAGATATGAAGTAGACGTGCTCAAGAGATTATTCGTCAAAGTTTTGAAAGAATTTGAATAAAAAAAAAAGGCTCATTGAATGTATTTGGATAAAAGTTATAGATCTGTTTAATTTTTGGATTAGACTTTGGACATAAGAATTAAAGATTGAATTTAGTCCAACTTGATTTTAATAACATAAATATAATTAAATTTTATAAATAATATATGTAAATTATTATTTTGATACTTTATTTTAAAAAATTATTTTTTATTATATAAATTAAATTTAACAAATGAATTTCAATTTTATATTTTATCATGGGTCGAATTTGAAAAAAATTTTAAACTTAAAATATTTGATCGAACCTAGATAAATATATAAATTATTAATATTAAATATAAATTTTAATTCAAATCTAATTGAATTCGATTTATGAACACTATTAATATAAAAATAGCTTTGTGGGACTTCCATATATACTTATGAATTGGGAATTGGACAACAAAGGTGAAACATATAAAATTTATGTTGTTGTCAAATGATTATTAGTATTAATTTGACTTAAAAAGAATGGGATTTACTTTGAAAAGCTTAGCCTTTCTAAACACTCTATCCCTCTACCCTAATTGGCATTTTCTTTAACATTATTTTATTTTCTAAAGGATTTTATGACTCCCAAATCAGCAACAGGAATTTAATTTGAGATCTATAGGAGTAATTGGATAATATCAAGTTACATATTAATGAAACAATCTAGAAGAGGATTAACACCTGATGAGTTAATTTTTATGTATTAATAAAAATATTTAATTTAAAAATTTTAAAAAGAGTTTACAAAACATGCCAGTTTTCTAATTGATTATTAACAAGTTCCATGTAATAATTTAAATAAAAAAAAATTATCATATGTAGGACCAGTATGGAAAATATTCCTTTTTGACCCAAGATAAAAAATAAAGTGCTTTAGAGTCTTGGATCATGGTTCAATGGTAACCATGATTATATGAATGGGAAATAGACTTCTAATTAATTTCCTTTTCTTTTCCAGTCAAAAGTTGAAAATAAAATAATAGAAAATGGTTTTAGTAAATTTTAACTTGAACAGTAATTCAAATTTCACTAAATTTTATAGTTTGATTCTAAAAGGTTGAATCAAATCATTTTAAATTGAAGTTTCGGGTTTCAATCATTTGAATTATTTAAATTTGAATTATTTTAAATCTAAATAATTATATTTTAAAATTAAATTAATCTAAATTCAAATTCATCAAGTTTTTTGAATTAAAACTAATTCGTAGTTAAAATTGAAGTTTTGGGTTTGAATCATTTAAGTTATTTAAATTTGAATCATTTTGAATCTAAATGATTATGTTCTAAAATTAAATTAATTTAAATTCAAATTCGTCAAGTTTTTAGGATTAAAACTAATTTGTATTTAAATCATTTCAACTTTAGATTAAACATGTTTAAGTTGTGGAGTTCTCCCAATTAAATCAAGTTTGATATGAGTTGAAAAGAAATTTTTTTTTTTTTTGGTTATACAAGAGATTGCAGCTTAGAAATAAAAAAAAATTGTAAATGTTAAAATTCAAAATTTAAATCGATTATATATTATTTTTTAAAGATGATTGGTTGAATCGATTAAATTAAATAATATATTTTATTTAAAAAATAATATTGTTCAACCGTGATTAATTTATTTATAGAAGAGGCAAATGGTATTAAAGTACACGTATGTGATCTAACAGGAGATAAGGTACAAGTAGGTGTTTGCCATACAATGTTACAAGTAGAACTATGATACCTGAGGTGCGTAGTTTTTTATTAGTTTTTACTTAGATAATTCGTTTAACAGAGTCCCACCATACCTCCGAGCCGCCTCAGTGCTGGTGACACAATGAAGTTCGTCTCTCGAACGAATTATTACCTGGTTTCTGAACCCCATCCGTGGCTGTTGATGATAGGGAAGCTGAGAAGGATATTGAAGAGGAGCCCTCCCCGTCCCGGCCCTTCTCCCCGTGGGCGGCCGGCTATATAATTTATCTAGCAAGCGGAAGTCTTCTGCAGCAGCTAGACGCCATTGTTTTCGAAAGCAAAGTGGTGAGAACAATTAGTTAGAGTCTGTATCTTATTTTGTTGATGCCAATTGGTTTTGAAGATCACTACTATTTATAGGACAGAGATGACAAGAGGCTCCCTAGCCCATTGGCTTCTTCTTCAATCTTAGCATCTAGCATAATATAAAATTATAGCAAGAAAATGTGAAAGAAAATCCATAACTTATAAGCCAAAATCAATTTCATGTTTACGGACGTGGGATTTGTGACATTTGCATGTGCATGCATAAAATAAAATTAAAAAAAAAAAAACATATTGCATTTGACGAAAGATCAAAGGGATCATGAAAATAGTGTCAAATCCAAATGAAAATTAAAGAGAGTGAATCACAGACTCACGGTGCTAGCTTGAAATTCACTACCATATTTGATGATGATGTCCAGCATCTTTTATTTAATGATGCTATAAAGATGATGGTCGATGATGCTATATAGATGTTGGCCAGTTGGCTTAAAGAGACTAATCTTTTCCCTTTCTTTCTTTATTCTAAAAAATGTAGACAAAAATTTAAAATACGACGTAATGATATAATAAAAAATAATATATAAAAGTGATATAATTTAAAATTTTAATAAAATTATATATAGAATTAATAAAAATAAAAAATATATATTTTATATTTTCATATTAACATGAATTATAACATATAATTTGTGTATAAAATATAATATAAATATATGAATTATTAATATTTTATATGATACAAATATATAAATTGTTATATCTAAAAAATAATTATAATTTGTTAAAAGAGAAGAACATTTCTCACCAATGGAAGAGGACAATCTGATATATTTGTTGCCTATTGGAAGCCAAAATATTCATTTTTATCTGTAGAGTAGTGCTGAGGTGGCATGATGATTTTTTAATTTCTTTTTATTTTTTTATTGTGTGTTACTTTTGTAATTTTAGTGAAAGCATAAACCATTTTTGTGCCCCAAATAATTGAGTTCAAAGCACATATGGTATCGTTTGTGGAGAAGGAAATTCACTTCCTTCTTCTTTTGCTTCCCTTTTTGAAGGGATAATGTCCAATCCAATATTCCTAGAGAGGCATTAAAAAAAATTCTTTTTAGATAATGTAAAAGCACTTCATATAAGCTCTCTTTTATGTCATTTTTTTGTGTTCGCATTTGATTTGCTATGGAAAATAAGAACAAATTTTTAATGTATTGTTTTATATTAAATTTTTTATAATATTGATATTTGATGGTAATTTTATGTTGCAAAGTGTAAGTATTATAAAAATATATATATAAATAAAAAATAAAAAATAAAAAATGTGTAGATTAGATATCATGGCTTCAAGAGGGAATCTTAAATCCCACATCAATTAAATTCTAAAATTTGATTAGTTATTTAAATATTTATATCATTTTTAACTTTAAAAAAAATTATGAATCAAAATCATAAATTTTGGACAAAATGATCAAAAAAAATCTTAAGCTAAAATTTAATAATTATTTAAGTTTTTTTTTTTTTTTACAAAAATTAAACTCTCAAATATTTATTTTTATCAATTGAATTTTATTAGAGATAAAATAGTTAATTGTTTTCGTCCAATCAAAAGCTTAATGGAATTAAAATAAATGTATAAAAATTCAATTAAATGAAAATAGATATTTAAAGGTTTAATTGGTTTAAAATAAAAAATTTAGAAATTAATTGATTAAAATAAAAAGTCAAAATTTTAAATAATTATTTAATTTTTATGTGGGAACATTTTTAACCTTAGACCTAAAATCTATTGAATTAGCTTGTTGATAGTCGGGCAACTCATAGAGCCCAAGAAATGAGTTTGCAATTGAAGAAAAAATTCTAAGAGCCCCAGATTGTCAATAGCAGGCCCAATACAATATATAGGCTTAGAGGAGCACAAAAGCCCAAATATCCATTACACTGGTTGGGTCTGAGGAGCTGGAAAGCCCAAATTAAGTAGCTCTTGAACTTAGCCGGCGCATTCGGTTTTCACCGGGTGGCGGGCGGCGAGACACCGCCACCAGTAAAGCCAATCAGAAGCAGAGCTGCCACTGGAGCGTACCACAAACGGCAGAGCAACTGTATTGAACAGAAAATTAATAATTTGTATATTTGTATCATATAAAATATTGAAATATTAAAATTTATATTATATTTTAAATCAAAATTATACATCATAATTCATATTAATATAAAAATATAAAATATATTTTTAAATTTTATTTAATTTATATATAATTATTATCAAAATTTTAATTATTTTACTTTTATATTTTTATATGATTTTAAATTAACAGATCTAATTAATTAGGTATCACAGAAAATCTAAGAAGGGAGCGGTGGTTACACATAGAAAGGAAAGTCCGCTGTCCGGACTCAAAAGAAAGAGGAGCTTAACGTGGCATCGCATTTTTAGTATTAATTAAAGATAGGATAAGGTCGTTGAAAAGACAATTTTATGACTTCCGTTTTTTATTTGTTTTTGGGTTTTGCACGCATTTAGTAATCCTGTTACTCACGTAATTCATAAGAGCAGGGCTATTTGTATTTTAAAAAAATTTTAATACATTTTAAAAAATTAATCTTTTAAAAGTTATTTAAATATTTATTAACTAATTATCTTTTAATCTTTTACATTTTTAAATAAGTTATCGAAAATGAAATTTTAAAATTTTTTTTAATGTATACAAAATTAATTCCAAAAAAATTCTTAATTTTACTATAAATGCAATTTCAAAAAGTATTATAATTATTCAAAAATGTAATTCTAAAAAGCATTGTAATTATTCAAAAAATATATTTTTAAAAATAATTTTTTATTCTGATTTTTTTTGTGATATTTTTAGCACGAGATTATTGAATGTTTTTTATTAGGATCTTTAAACAAGCCTATAATAATTTATGTGACGTAACGTTTAAATTTGGTAATAGAAATCTATAATTTTTTAGTCATACATTGTCCTTTAAATAATGTTCATGATATTTATCCAATTTTAACAAATGTGTATTTGAAAAAAAAATTATTAATTGTAAAAAGCATTTGTGCAAATGACTATTATACCATATGCGACGAGACATTTACGCTCCATTGCACATAACAACTAATTTGTATGATCGTTTTTTCATATTTAACGATTCTTCTCAGATGTATATCTATCAAAATTATAAAAATATTGTAAACATTATTTAACGGATAATACCTATTGACCAAAAGATGAAATATTTTTATTGATAAAACTGTCAATTTGCTAATGATGTAATGAGATTAATATTCACTTGTTGAAGGTTATTATATATCAAAAATTTATTTTCAGAAGTTTTTTATAAATTCATAAAATAAATGTCAAAAAACTATTGAGAAATTCTAAAAATATATTTCATGAAATTCTTTAAAGTTTTTAAAAATAGATATCCAAAAATCTCTAAAGAATTCAAAAAATAAAATTTTGATACATTAAATAAGTTTTTGAACATTCATTTATGAAAAATTTTGATAATTTTTAAAAATTTATTTTTGGAATGCATAAATCTCACTTTAAATCGTAATTCAAAATTTAAAATCTTAAATTTTTTAAAATTAAATATAAAATTAAATAAAAAATAAAAAAACAATGGTTACTTATAATTTTAAACTATTTAACATCAAATTAGGCTTGATTTGAAGTTTAATCATTAAAGAGTTTAAGGTTTTGGTTGAATAAGCGTGGCACGAGAGAAGGAGGTGCTGGGTTTTTTAGTAAATTTGTATTTTAATTTAGGGTGTGAAGAGAAAAAACAATAGGTGTTAACAGTAGTGAGACGTGAAAAAAAATAACTTGAGGTGCAAATAGCACCACTCAGTCCACGATAACTGATCTTCAATTCAAATTTACATTTTTACCATTAAGTACCCAAAAGTAAAAGAAACAAAGCAATAGCCTTTGGTATTAAGAAAAAAAATTAATCAAATTTCATTTTAATCAATTTCGAAAAGCAAAATCATTATTATTATATAAAAAATTATTAAATGCATTTCAAACTTTATCATAAATAAAGTTAGTAAGATGACATATACTTTTAAAATATATTTAAAAATATTAATTAAAAATATAAAAATATATTAATCTCTTAATTATACTTTTAGAATTAAAAATTTATGTTGATAATGTATTAAATACTAATTTTGATTATATTTCTTTAATTTTAATTTGAAAATTCACATTTAACTTGTTAAATTAAAGAAATTTACTTACTTTAAGATATTCTTCAAATTTATTATATTAAGTAAATTAACTTTTAATTCATGAAATTCATAATATTAAATAACAATCATTACATTTAATATAAATACATTATTATAAATAATATTTTAATTAATCTTTCAAATATTTTTACAACATTTGTCAACAAAATTTATTAAATATATATTTTAATTTTAATGTTTTTAATTTTTTATAATAATAAAATCAACAATGATAGCAACAAATTTGTCTTACCATATAAATAAATAAAATAATAATAAAAGTTTGATTAGTAATATTTAATAGTTATTATCGTACTTAATTTAATAATTTAAAATAATATAATATAATATAATATAATATAATATAAAACTAAAATATAAGAATAACAATGATTTAAATTTTTTATAATAATATATAATAATTTAATAAAATAATTTTTTTTTATATTTTCATGTAAATATTTATTTTAACACTTAAATTTTTTATAAAATATAATATAAATATATAAAATTTAATATTTTACATTATATAAATAAAAAATCGTAAGCTCTACCTACTGGAGACAAAAACCCAGTTCTTCTACCTGTTAAACAAGAAAAAAATATATATTAAAAAATAGCTAACTTGCCTCCTATTATTTAATTATTTCAATGTCCACCTCGATTTCTTCATAGGATAAACACATTATCATGCCAATTTAAAAAGGATTTCCCGTTGAATTTCAAACTGACAAAAAAAATCTGATTACTCTCTTCGATCTGTTTTCTTTTTCCTTTGTTCTCAATTTATCAGAGAAATTTTTTTCTTTCTCGTAACTATGGCGAATCGAACGGGTGATCTGGTTGAGCCAGTGCAGGAAGCTTACAAGCTCGATGTGAAGGCGTTGTTCGACTACGCCTCTGCTCATGTCCCTGGATTTCCTCTCTCTCCCTCCAAATTCACTCTCTCTCAGGTTTTTTTTTTTTGAATTTATATATCTATTTCTTTTATTATTATTAAAAAAAGGAAATTTGAGATTGGTTTAATGATATATATATATATATATAGTTTGGACATGGACAATCAAATCCGACGTATTTGATGGAAGTGGAGACGGTAGGGGCTGTAAAACGCTACGTTTTGAGGAAGAAGCCTCCCGGGAAGCTGCTTCAATCTGCTCATGCCGTTGACAGAGAATTTCAGGTGAATTTTAATTTGTTAAAAATTTACATTATTATGTTTGAATTTTAATTCGTTAAGCTTAAGGTTAGGACTTAATTGCTAGTAATAAAAAGTAAGTGATAAATCTTTCAAGCTGTATAATTTATAATATTTTATAATAATTTTTAAATTTTGTAAAGAAAATATTTTGTCTTTATGAAAAATTCTATTTTGTGGATAGCCAGTAAAGTATTTAACATTAAAACCCTTTTTTTTTTTTGTATGTCTGATTGTGTGTGTGTGTGTGTCCATTTTTTTTTTTTTTTTTTTTTCAGGTTCTCAAGGCACTAGGTGATAATACAAAAGTGCCAGTTCCCAAGGTTTTCTGTTTGTGTAATGATCCAACTGTGATTGGAACTGCATTTTACATCATGGAATACTTGGAAGGTCGGATATTTGTAGACCCGAAGCTACCGGTAAGACTGTATGCTACTTAGGTGTTCTAAATTTGTAGTTGAATTTTGTAATGTTTTTGTTTTTGTTCGATGATATGATGTGGCTGTTCCTTGGATTTTGAGGTTCTGAATTGAATTTTATTGCTAATTCTGCTTGAAAAGGGTGTATCACCTGAGAGGAGGAGGAGAATATATCAGGCACTTGCAAAAGTATTGGCATCATTACATTCTGCTAATATTGATGCCATTGGTTTGGGAAACTATGGGCGCCGAGACAACTATTGTAAAAGACAGGTGAATGAGCTCTTCTTTTCGTACTTTAAAGTCTCACTGATTGAATGAAGAGTATTTCTGTAGAAGAATTATGATACAAGCTTTTTCTTTAATGAGATTATTCATGTTAGATATTGAAGGCATCTGACCTATTAAGAAAATTGAACATGGATCTATATATGGGTTCATATGTAGTTTTTCTTTATTCTAGATAGAGAGATGGTTTCAACAATACCTTTCTTCTACTAATGAGGGAAAACCTGAGAGAAATCACAAGATGTTTGAGCTGGTTGATTGGTTGCGGAAGAATATTCCTCCAGAAGATTCATCAGGTGCAACAGGAGGCCTAGTTCATGGAGATTTCCGCATTGATAATCTTGTATTTCACCCCACCCAGGTCTGGTTTTTCATAAACTTTAATTTCTTTGAGTGTGTAATATCTTCAACTAAGTAATATAGATGTAAAGATCTGATTATAGTCCAAATGTGTTCCTGTCTTTCACAATTGCACTCCAAAATTCATAAGTTCATAACTTGTATTCTATGCAATATTGGTAGGACTTCAGGTGATTTCTAATGTTGTCTAAGTTCAAATTCAATGTATACATAAAACTTACCTTAGCAATGTGAATTATCTGATTAAAATACCTTACGAGATACACTTAATGTGCAGGATCGAGTCATTGGTATTCTTGATTGGGAACTGTCTACTCTTGGAAACCAAATGTGTGATGTGGCATACAGCTGCATGGTACTTGGCTGATTTTCCAAGTTTACTATTTTGCATGAAAAGAACAATTACCTATATCTTTTCATCTTTTGTGGTACTTTTACATTTTATATGCCATTTTCTTTCTTCTTAACTTTTCAGTGATGACAGTGTTTCTCATGTATTATAGTTCATAGGGCAACTGAGTCGTTTACACCTTCTTAGCTATTGATTTCCTAAGCTCACCATTACTCTATCGGCAGCCTTACATTGTACAAATTGGGGTTGAAACGGAACAATTAGGTAAAGGTCTTGAGCTCATTGGAATTCCAGAAGGGATTCCTTCACAGGCTGAATTTCTGGCAGAATACTGCTTTGAAGCTGTAAGTAACACTAAACATGGCTTTGATTGATATTTAAACCTAAAATACTTTTCTTGTCTCATGGAGTAATTATAGTAAGCATATTCCATACCACACCACTCCCCCTTATGACCTTTTCCCCCGTCTCTTTGGCCATGAATTTGCCTAGGCTTCAGTTCCCTATAAATATGAAGCTACTCTAATCTAACTGTTCAGTTAGCTCACTTATGGATTTGCTTTTGCTGAAAAATGTTGCAACATAGGGAAAAGCATGGCCTGTCTCTGAGTGGAAGTTCTATATTGCCTTTTCTATGTTCCGTGGAGCATCAATCTACACAGGCGTATATAATAGATGGCTAATGGTATTCCCTAACATTAAATAGTTTGGTGTTTTATTATAACTCATTATGTTAAAAGCTTTAATTATGAAATTCCAATTTTGATAGAATGTTTTACTCACCTTGATAATGCAGGGTAATGCTTCAGGAGGTAAACGTGCGGAACATACAGGAACTCATGCTATTGAACTCGTAGATTGTGCATTGGATTTTATTTCCAAGAAGACTGTCCTTGCGAAGTGTCCCCCCTTTGGTAGCTAAGCTGTTCAACCTTTTTTGCTAACTGTGGGACTTACTATTTCCCAACTATCATTTACTCTTTTTCTTGCTGGACCTTTAGGAGTACAGAATTCATAAATGATATATATATATATACTATTGGATAAAATTTCGTAGCAATGTTTACATACTTCTGGTAGAGAGCGCAAGTAAATGGATAGCAGACTGTCAATGGAAGTTTTAACATTACAGTGAGGTTTTAGTGCCTTTATAGAAATGTTTTCAGAGAGTAAACATTTCACATTTATAAGAAATACATCTATTTGAGGTTATGTGCTTGTAGCTGCACAGCCTGCGCTACTGAGAATATAGTGGAAACATCATTTAGGATCTTGGTTGTTGTATATACTAAATGCCATCTTTACTTGCACTTTAATTCGGTTATAAAATTTTGGTCCAAAGCAATTGTTTAGGGTGCTTTTGTTCTTTTAACTATTCAAATCCAGTTTCACAAGGTAGAAGGCTATATGGGACTGAGAACAAAGTTCAAGACCTTCCAGAGGGAAGTGGGAGGTTTGTTCCTAGTAAAAAGGTTCAGGAATTGAGAAACAGATTGATTAAGTTCATGGAAGATCACATTTATCCCATGGAAAATGAATTCAACAAACATGCACAGTCTGACGTGCGTTGGACTGTGCATCCAGAGGAGGAGAAGTTAAAAGAACTTGCAAAGAAAGAAGGATTGTGGAACTTATGGATTCCTGTATGTATCGCTAGTCTTCTCTTTAGACTATTTTTTCACCAACTACTACTTTTACTCTTCTTTGCTCTTAAAATGTTACTGTTTATACAGAAATATGACATTCTTGGCAAACTGTTTTTATACAGTTGGATAGTGCTGCTAGGGCAAAAGAACTTATTTTCAATGGGAGTGAAAATGCTCACTTTGACCATGCACATGATCGTTTACTTGGCGCGGGCCTCTCAAACCTTGAATATGGTTACCTTTGTGAGATTATGGGTCAATCTCTTTGGGCTCCGCAGATCTTTAATTGTGGTGCACCAGACACTGGGAATATGGAGGTAAGAATTACTTCTGGATTTCTTAAAATCTATAATAACTAATTAATTTCACTACCACATGGCCCATTCCTTTAACTAGTTGCTCATGAGATTTTAATGATAAGCATGATCTTAGATGAAGATAAGTCATTGTATTAACTAGTAGCAGACTGAGGTAAACTAAAATGGTTCTCAACTTGCTTCAACTAAATCAAGTCAGTGCCGGTGCAGTTGGGCAAGTACAACTACTTAATTTCTGCATTAATTGCTTCTATTGCATTATGGTTCATTGTATCTCTAAGTGTTGTTTTGTTTATCATTACATTTCTTCGTGCTTTTTTCAATTAGGTATTGTTGCGGTATGGGACTAAAGAACAGCTACATGAATGGCTTGTTCCATTGCTTGAGGGGAAAATTCGCTCTGGATTTGCAATGACAGAACCACAAGTTGCATCCTCGGACGCAACCAATATCGAGTGTTCTATCAAAAGGTATGTTCTTCAAATCTTAATTGGAGTGACTTTGAAGCAATTTGCAGTGTTCATATATATTCACAGATAAAAGAATGCAGAGTTGTCCCTACGTTGTTGCACTTCAACCCAAAACAAAAACGTGATGAATGTCACTGTGTAACATTTTAGTATTTTCAACCCATATTCCTTTCAACTGTTCTGCAGTCGTATCTGATTTATGAATCTGGTTGAAGTTTTTCTCACTGCCTATGCACTCCTTGTACAGACATGGAGATTCATATATCATCAATGGTACCAAGTGGTGGACTAGTGGAGCCATGGATCCAAGATGCAAAATTCTTATACTCATGGTTAGTACTCCGGGAATGCATGGAATGAATAAGTTCTAGTTGTATCTAATTTGACTAAAGAGGATTATCTGAATTCTGAACAATATCCAGGGAAAAACTGACTTCACCGCCCCTAAGCATAAACAGCAATCGATGATCTTAGTGGACATTCAGACTCCAGGGGTATCCATAAAGAGACCACTAAAAGTGTTCGGCTTTGATGATGCACCTCATGGACATGCAGAAATTTCCTTTCAGAATGTTTGTGTGCCAGCAAAGAATATTCTACTGGGAGAAGGACGCGGCTTTGAGATTGCCCAGGTACAGTTGCCATGTAGCTTCCCATGTACTTGATTGTAAGACCAGACTGCCATACATACTATGTTTTGAGTTTTCACTCTTCCACAATGACCCATGTACTGATCTGTTCTTTTAAATATGGTTGCATCTACTTGATTGTGAGGATCTCAATCTTTCAGTTCTTTTTAAGTTTCTGCTTTAAATTTAATACTCAAGTCAAAATTTTCTCGAGAAACAGCAATGAACATTCATCTTTAAGACTGTAGGTGTTGAGTGATGTGACTTCTAGTTGTAAATGAGCTTTCACGGCATAAATGTTTTGTCTCTGCACTGTTCATATTCTTGTAGGGAAGACTGGGTCCAGGAAGATTGCACCACTGCATGAGACTGATTGGTGCTGCTGAGCGTGGTATGCAGTTAATGGCTCAAAGGGCTCTTCAACGGAAAACATTTGGAAAATTCATTGCTCAACATGGTTCATTTCTTTCCGATATTGCAAAGGTAATTTAGCAGTAGTACTGGCATGTTCATTTTAGTGATGAAATTGAAGTTGGTCATTTAGTTGAAAATAGCTGCTTCTTGCAGTGTCGAGTAGAGCTGGAGCAAACCAGGTTGTTGGTTCTTGAAGCAGCTGACCAGCTGGATCGACTTGGAAACAAGAAAGCTCGTGGGACAATTGCAATGGCCAAGGTAACCAATATTACTATTTATTGATTTCATTTCAGGTGCAACACGAACTTTCTTATAGTCCAATGTTTTTCATGTTGCTCGGGGCAGGTAGCAGCTCCGAACATGGCACTGAAGGTGCTAGACATGGCAATCCAAGTACATGGTGGAGCTGGGGTATCGTCCGACACCGTCCTGGCACACCTCTGGGCTGCATCAAGAACATTGAGAATCGCAGATGGACCTGATGAAGTGCACTTAGGTACCATAGCCAAGTTAGAACTACAGAGAGCTAAGCTTTGAAGGATTTTGAAACAAAGATCATCAAGCAGGTGTTTCTTTTTCCCCAATTTCAAATGATAAAAGAGAATGGAACAGTCCAAAAAGCACTTGGGCATTTTCCTTGTAATAATGGGGAATGAAAGCTGTGAACTGTATGCAAGACAATTGTCATGAAATATGAAACTGCTGGAATACTTTAACAGTGTGGTTGATGAATTGAAAAAATTTAAACCATTTTTAAAAAGTTGTAAATGAAGAAATTAATTTTTAAAAATCACTTAAATAAAATACTGCAAAAAAAATTATGATGAACATTTTGTTGTTTTGGAGTCGTTTCGCCGGATCCGTCTCTAAACATGGTTAAGCACTCAACTTGAAACTAGCGAGCCAGGAGGACGCATCCGTGAACCCTGCCAAGTGGACCGAGTCATTGTTCGACCACCTCAACGCCCAAAACTGGGTTGTAAAAGGGACCTATGTGCGATTTAAGCATTTTTATTAGAAAGGCAATACGGTGTAATAAATGAATTGAATATGAATCATGAATGGTTAAGGTTCATGATTTGTTTATTTATTTTTAAAATTTTTTTTTTGATAAAAAATTTATTTACCACATTTAAATTCAATTCGTTTAAATAATACAATATTTTCGTTTACTTTGTATTCAATTCATTTCAATTAAATAAATTTATTTTTTAACATTAAATAAATATATTTATGAATATATATAAATAAAAATATTTATGAACAATAAATAAATTAAAATCAGATAAATTTGAACAAACAATCATATAATTATATTTAAAAACAAATAGATTTTAATCAAATAAATTTTAAATAAATTTACTTATAAATATAAACCTATCAAATAAATTTCCATTCTTAAAAAATTCTGTTGATTTAGACTGACGCCGAGAAGCAACTCTAGCTGTTTAATCGTGGAATAACGGTTTTTATTTTAAAAATTTATTAAAAATAAAATTATAATTATTAAATAAAATTAAAACATTTTACTAACAAATTTTTTTTGGTAAGAAAAATTCAAAGTAGATAAATTGTTCAGTTCTCTAGATCATGACAAAATGTGTCATATTTGACAGTCTAAGATAGGTAATTATAAATTGTTCATTTACCTTATATCAGTATTAATAGATTGTTGTTTTTAGAGCTTTGGATTGTGGCTATAAACTATAGCAGTTTAATCGTTGAATAACAGTTTTTTTTAGAAAAAAATTATTAAAAATTGAATTATAATTATTAAAATTTTAACATTTTACTAACATTTTTTTTGTAAAAAAAATTCAGAGGTAGATAAGTTGTTTAATCTCCTAGATTAAGATAAAATGTGTCATATTTGACAGTCTAAGATAGGTGATTATAGATTGTGCATTTACCTTATATCAGTATTGATAGACTGTTGTTTTTAGAGTTTTGAATTGTGGCTATAAACTATAGCCGTTTAATCGTGGAATAACAGTTTTTTAAAAAGAATTATTAAAAATTGAATTATAATTATTAAAATTAAAATTTTAACATTTTACTAACAAATCTTTTGTTTTTGTAAGAAAAATTCGGAGGTAAATAAGTTGCTCAGCCCCAAAGATCAGGGTAAGATGTGTCATACTTGACAGCTTAAGATAGGTGATTACAAGTTGTACATTTGAGATGATCTCAACAAATAACCTATGACAAGACTCAAATCCAAAACTTTTTTGTTGAGGAAAATGACCTAAATCGATTGAACCAATCATTTATTGATATTTTACTAATAAATCATATAATTATTTTTGGGTGACATTTCTCATAAACTACTACATATTCATTATTTAAAAATTTTCACTGTTCATATAAACCTAAAGTTATAGGCTATAAGCTTCTATGCCAGAAGGTTTCAATTCAAACTTTCATTGCAGCTAAATATAACCCTCATGCTGTTTTAAAAAATGGAAAAAATGAAAAGGATATAATCTCAGCAATCCTTTGCAACCAAAAACCAAGATTTTAGCTTGAAAGATGATTTACAAACCATAACTTTGTATGTAAGTTATATATAGAAAACTTTAACAAATCCTCTCTTCCGTAGGGCTCTCTCCACCTTACAAAAATAACCATTTTTTTTAGTGGCTCATGTTGTCAAGTTCCCTCCTCTTGTTCTCGTATAAATACCCCATTTGAGAAGAGATTCTTCAAACCAGAGCCCAAGGGGCAACATCTAATAAAAGGAAAGAGCCCCAACAGCTCTGTTTAGTTTTTTTTTTTCATTCCTTTGCATATCAAAGGAAAAAAGCAAAAAAAAGAAGAAAAGGGGAGAAACTTTGTTTGGAAAAAAAGATTTTATATTAATTAGTGTGAAATTAGCTGTTTGGAAATGGGGAGTAAGGTTGCAGTTATCAGTATTTGTTCGGTTTTCCTAGTGGCCATGGTGGTGGCTGTGGCAGTTGGTGTTAACCGCAGCCAAAGTGGAAGCGATAACGGCGGTGGTGCTAGTAGTGGTGAGATATCGACTTCGACCAAGGCGGTGAAAGCCATTTGCCAACCCACTGATTACAAAGAATCATGTGAGAAAAGTTTGTCAAATGCCAACACCACTGATCCCAAGGAGCTTGTTAAGATTGGCTTCCAAGCTGCCATTAGCGAGATTGAGAAGGTAATCGCTAACTCAACCACCGTGAAAGAGGTAGCCAAGGACCCAATGGCTCGTCAGGCTCTTGAGAATTGCAATGAGCTCATGGACTATGCCATTGATGATCTTAAGAACTCATTCAATCAACTTGGGGCATTCGACATTAGCAAACTCGATGAATTCATAGAAAACCTCAAGATTTGGCTCGGTGGTGCCATCACCTACCAACAGACTTGCCTGGATGGATTCATTAACACAACTGGTGAAGCTGAAACAAAGATGAAGGAACTTTTGAAGACTTCTCGGGAGCTTACTAGCAATGGTTTGGCCATGGTTTCTGAGATATCTTCAATCCTCAACAATCTCAACATTCCAAACGTGGGCCAAATTGACACTACTGGTGCCGAACGCAAGCTGTTGTCTGAGGATGGATTACCTTCATGGGTCAGTCCAGGGCAGCGCATGCTCCTTCAACACACTCCAGCCACCATTAAGCCTAATGTTGTTGTTGCTAAGGGTAAAGGTGGCAAATATAAAAGCATCAATGAGGCCTTGAAAGAAGTCCCCAAGAAGAATCCCACTACATTTGTCATTTACATTAAGGCTGGAGTTTACAACGAGCAAGTGCTTGTCAACAAGAGCATGAGCAATGTTATGTTCATTGGAGATGGCCCAACCAAGACCATCATCACCGGTAGCTTGAACTATGCTGATGGAACTGGCACATTCAAGACTGCAACAGTTGGTTAGTACAACAACTAGATTCAAGCATTTCCCCGAAACTAAACAAGATATAAAGTGTTTGCGTTTGAATCTTGCAGGTGTTGTGGGTGAAAAATTCATGGCCAAGGGCATCGGATTCGAGAACACTGCTGGAGCCATCAAGCACCAAGCTGTCGCACTTCGTGTGCAAAGTGATCAATCCATCTTCTATAACTGCCACATGCATGGCTACCAAGACACCCTCTACGCTCACAGCCATCGCCAATTCTACAGGGACTGCACCATCTCTGGAACCATTGATTTCATCTTCGGTGATTCTGCTACCGTCTTGCAAAACTGCCATATCATCGTCAGGAAGCCATTGGACAATCAACAATGCATCGTCACCGCTCAAGGAAGGATCGAACGTCGTGAGGTCTCGGCCCTTGTTCTCCAAAACTGCACAATCTCCGGAGCCCCAGAATACATCCCTGTGAAGGATAAGAACAAGGCATACCTTGGCCGCCCATGGAAGGAATTCTCCAGGACCATCATCATGCAATCTCAACTCGATGACATCATTGCCCCAGAGGGTTGGTTGCCCTGGAATGGTAACTTCGCTCTTGACACTTTATGGTATGCTGAGTTTGGCAACCGGGGACCTGGTGCAGTTCAGACCAACAGGGTTAACTGGAGGGGTGTCAAGAAAATCAGAGCACCTATGGCCCGGAGATTCACTCCTGAGGTGTTCTTACGTGGTGGCGACTGGATCCCCAAATCCGGGGTGCCCTACACTCCTGGCATGATTCCTGGACTGTAGAGAATCAAAATATGAAGATGATCATCATGAACAGCTTTATATATGCTAATTAGTGTTACAATTATAAAATATAAATTTCCACATTGTAATATTTTCTCTAATGCCCAGGGCATTAAGGAATAAATAAGTTGGCAGAGACAAAAAAAAATGAACCCAAGTTCAAAATCATTTTTCTCCTCATATAGAGACTTCTTTTTGGTAATTTGAGCCGTGATTTTGAATTCTTTTTTTAGATTTTTGGTCAAAAACTGTGATGAAATTCCAATATAATTCGAAAATTCCTCTTCGAACTTAATCATACATGATGACAGAACAAATTTATTTGTATTTTGAACAATTGAAATTTACAACAAAGGGGAACAAAATCTTTTTTTCATTAAGCAGTAAGGTTCTTAAGTTTGACTCACTACATTCTCTTTTCGAGTTGATCAAATAAGCTTATATATTCTTTATGGATGAGAAAAAAATTGAAAAAATCAAAAACCAATTTGAAACTGTAATTTTATATTCAATTTAGATCAAAATTGAATATTAAATATATATATATATATATATAATTCAGATAAAGTTTTGACTCGAAATATGAAAAATTTAAAAAAAGTGAATTGAATTAAAGTTAAAATTTTTAATATTTTTTTATATTTTAAATTTCTATAAAATAAAAATAATTATTTTATATATAAATATATTAAAAATCTAATTAAAATAATATTTAAAAAACAAAAAAATTAAATTTTAAAAAATGATGAATTGAACCAGTAAAATTCGATTCGGATTAAATCCATTTTTAAAAAAAATTGATTCAAATTTGGATCAAATTTTAAAATTTTATAATATTATATATTTTCTAAAAAAATTAAATTAAATCCAAATCATTATCACTTTTAATATTACTCTACTATAGTTTATTTTATTATTACTAAAAAATTCAAGAGATTTTGGGTTCCCTAAAAGTCTAAAAATGGGCTTAAAAGGAAAAAAAACCCTAAATTGCCCAAGGTGCCAAGAATTGGGCCAATTAGCCCCAATCTATAAAATGCAGCCCAACACTCTCTTCCTGGTGAGCCAGAACAGCACTCGTCCACCAACGCGGGAAAAGGGTCCGACGAAAGATTTTGAAACCTCTCTTTCTCTCTCTTCGCCATATCCACTGGCTTTTGCTGCAAAACGGAACGCCAAAGTTCCTTACTTTCCCTCAGTTTCTCTTCGAATTTTCTCGATAACCGAACAGTAAAAAACCTCCAATTTTGTCCCACCTCAAGACCCTGGGTTTCCGCTAATGAATTCAATTCACCAACAACACCAAAACAACGCAAAGCTAAACCCTAACTACAGAAGAAGAAGAAGAAGAAGAAGAAGGAGATGACTAGCCAACAACATCAGCACCACCACGACGGCGAGTTTGGAGGTGGTGAATTTGGGAAGTTCCACAGAGTCCAGCCGAAGCGTGATTCGAAAGCCAATTGGGAAGTCTATCTCGCCAAAAAACTTGAAGACTATCTCTTGAAGATTTGCTCCGGTGAAATTACTGGGTCCGACGGCGATGAGGGATATAGCCTAGTGAATTTCGCTGAAGGTTCTGCCCTGATTTCCAATTTACCCCCAAAAAAGAAACATTTTTCCTTGTGAATTTTTTTAATTTATATATTTTTCTATGCAGCTGCATTGCTGCTTCAGGGTTCGGTTCAGGTGTATAGCGGAAAAGTAGAGTATCTATACAACTTGGTTTTGCATGCTTTGGCGTTTCTTTCTCAGAAAAGGTTCTTTCTTTTCCCAATTTTTCATCTTATTTGAAAATTGTTATCTTCACGTTGCTTTTCAAATGAAGCTTAAAAATGGTGCATGTATTTGAACAGGCAACAGGATCAACCAGAAGGCACGGCAGCCCAGCCTGAACGAAGGGCTTCACATGCTTCTTCAGATGAAGAAAATGATCAATTCTGGGGCTTAGATGATGCCTAAGGCAAAGATTTAAATAACGGTTAGATAACGGTATAACGGCTGCTATTTTGAGATCGCGTCATCATTTATTACAGTTATTGAAGAAAAAAGGGTAGAGAATTTAAATTTTATCTATAATAAACGTATTACGACCGTAAATTACAGCGTAATATTAAATAATGGTTCGTTATCGACTGTTATTTTATTTTTCATTCAAAAATTCAAGAAAAAAATTTTGATTTGATTCTGTTTAAAAACTTAAAATAAAAATAATAAAAATAAATAAATATCAATTTACAAATTCAAGAAAAAAAACTCACAAAATTTAAACTTTTAAAAATATCAATTTTCTTAAATTCAACTTCAATCAAGATTAAATATATACAGTTTAACATAAATAATTAATTCAGTACTCAAATTTTTTTTTTAATTTTTAAATTTGCTTTGATTTTGTGTGTTTGAGATTGGATTAAGTTATAGTGGATTGATAGAAAGGAGTAGGAGTTGTTGAGATTTAAAATGAAAGATAAGAAATGAAAGTGAGACTTGAGATTGACGAAGACGAACAAATAACACATAAAAAAAAAAAAGAGAACTAAGAGATGGGGATAAGGATGAAGGTTTGGAGAAAAAAATTATTGAATGCAAGGTGAGGGGATGAAAAGTTGTGTGAGTTTATGTAATTTAGTCAAGAAGCAGAAGTAGATTTTAAGCTATTGTTATTGAAAATTGCCCACAACACGAAGGCTATCAAGTTTAATTTACTTTAAGCTCATAAAAAGTAATTCTCTTGGCTCATTAATAGTAATGCTTTTACTTAATTTATGAATGTCTAATAACTTATTATTTGATTTATGCATAACATAATTTGATAATAATTTGATGAGTATGGTAATTAAATAATTAAATATATCATTATTATGATTATTTATTTTTTATATGTTTATTTATCTCTTGTTATTTTTTAATTATCATATAAATAATTTTTTAAATATGAATATTTTATTATAAATATTTTTTTTAAATAAATAAAACATATTATATGATATAAATTACTTTAAAAATCATAAAATAAGAGCTTTTATGATTAATAATTAAAATTATTATATTTTATAACTAGTTGAGCTAAATTTAAAAAAATTCACGATCGCGATAGTCGTAATAACCGCAAAGGTCTCTATTATATCCGTAATCGTGACAAACGCAATGCGACCGAAAACATAACCATTATCGCAATTTAAATCCCTTGTTCCAAGGTACCCTTAAACCACTGACCTGGTATTTTTTTTCATTGGGTTGAAATTGTACTGGTTAGTATCAGCTGAAACGAGCTCATTGCAGTGGAAGCAAAGATTAGCTTAGATAGGTAAGCCAACAAAGAGACTTTGTTGAATCACTTTGTGAAGCCCCCTGCAAATTTAGTTGTCCTTGAAGGTGATTGTTTAGACACTTCTGGTGATGGCAGCGAATTAGATTCATATCTGGTATTACAGTTGCTTAGCTCTGTAGTATGAAGTTTGACTAAATATATAGCCTAACTCTTTGATTGATTTTTGTGGCTGCAGTTGGCAACGAATGATCTCTACCAGGATTTTATTCTATTAGATCCAAGTGGTGCAGTAGCAATTGATGATTATTTAAAAGGTGATGAAGCTAGCAAAGGAGACTATGGCACTCATAGGAGCAGTTCCAGGCACAAGAGCTTTCAGTCTCCTACATGGCATTCAAGGGGGACTGCACATAAATCATCTCTTGGAAAAAAATAAGGATGCTAATGTTAATCAATCTCATAGGCCTGTTTGTGGTTTTGGTGTTGATGACTGTAATATTGGGCCCGATCCTCCTGCTGCTGATAATTTTGTAAATTTAGATCATGGATTTGATATGGAAGATCGGTATTCAGAACCTAGAGACTTAGATGATGATGATAATGATCCATGGAAACCTCTGAATCCCCATGAACCTGGAAACTTGAAAGTAAGGCTTTTCAGAGAAGGTAGTTAAAAAATTGGCTTCTTACATACTTTTTTCCACCTGTATAATTTTGGTCAATACCTAAGATTGGCTTCTTCTGATTTTTCTTCACAAACAGTAAAAGCTTTCAGAAGGAATAGGACAAATTCTATAAAGAGTATTCCTATAACTACTCTCTTTCCACTCGCTAGATTGCATGGTACTATTAGTCCAGAACTTACAGAAATGTGTGAAAGGCGGCAGAATACCTTTGCAAGACAGAGGGAGTCTAAGTCTCTTCCATTATATGAAAAGGTATGTTTAGTAAAACTTGGACTTAGGTGAACCTGGTTCATGGTTGGTTTGTTCAACATGTTTGCTTATTTCAGCTTCGGCAATCACTAACTGGTCGAGGAAATAGAGCCGCTGATACTTTTGCTAATTTTGAAGATGACAATGAAGACAATAGATATGATGATGAGAATGCAGATTTTTGTGGACCCGATTGCGACGTGCCAGAGATGTCTATGGATGAAGATTTACCTTTTCAGAATGAGAAGGTTAGCATATCAGTGATATGATCATTTATTATATTTACCCACTAGAAAGTATGAGATTTTCTGTTGCTCATTTATTGATATTTTCATAGCATGAGGATTGTGACGCTGAATTTGGAACCAATGAAATGTTTGACCATGGGGATCCACATTCCCAAGCAAGCCTGGGAGATCTCTGCCGCTGTCACCTAGTAAGCATATTTTGTTTTTACATTTACAATAAGCAAACAATGAGTAAGCCTTTTCCCACCATGTGTGGTTGAACATGGATCTTATGATGCCTGTCCGCTCAATTGAGGACCAAATTCTTCGGTGTTACCTTTGAGATGAAAATTTTTCTTAAAAAAGAGAAAAAAAATGTTAGTTTTTTGGCTTGGATGCCGAATTTTGTCCATCAAGAAGTTGTGACCAGTTTAGAGAATTGAGATGCTTGATAATCTTTTATAAGTTTAAGCTACTTCTGGAATTATGCTTTCCATGCCTTTATATTTAGTTTATCCCTTTCCTCTTCCATCTCATTTGGAGAGCTCAGAATCTCTGAATGCTGTTCCTGAAAGTAGTGATGTTCAAAATTACAGCAAGTTAGATAAAGCCTGTCACTATAAACTTGAGAACTATGCTTTGCGGCTGGGTTGTTGCTTGAATATATTACATGTATGTCATGCAGGATGCTCTGCTTGCCAGCATAGCTGAAAGCGAGAAGCAAACTGAAACGTCTGCTCGAGTTTCGTAATGGAAACAGAAAATTGAGCATAACTTGGAAGAGCAGGTACATAAATTTAGCTTCAATTCTATGTCTTGAATTCATTTTTGGTTTTCCACCATCATAACCACTAATCATTTGTCACTGTTATTGCTCTTCTAAGTTTGTGCCTTTTTCCTGGCAGTTTAAACTAAGGATAGTTTTTGTTTTAATAGGATTCACATCCTCCATTTGATATTCACGAGTATGGCGAAAGAATTCTTGACAAACTATCACTTGAGGCCGACAATGGAAATGCCATGTCATTCAGTGATGTTGTTAAGGGCCAAGAAAAGCATGATGTTGCTCGAACCTTTTCTGCACTTCTCCAATTGGTATTTCTTTTTTTCTCATTTTAAGCAAAATTCAGTAGTCATTTCCCTCTAGCTAGAGGTAGTTTAGTTAAATTATTGTAGTAAATTTCTGAGACAAGACTTCCTTATGGTTTTCTATTGTTCGAAAAAAAAAAAAAGACCAGGTCTTGCACTCTTGTTCTGTATTTTCAGTGTAATGTCTTAAAAGGAATTAGGTGGTGTAATATCACCAAAGAGGCACTTTTCATTACTGGTGCATTAACAAGGTTGCTATTAACATTTTGTCATACAGGTGAACAATGGAGATGTTGACTTAGATAGAAATGGAGTTCATGGTGAGTCCGTTTGTTATTCGGCTGTAAACCCTTTCCATGTTCAGCTCCTCAAGCACGACAAGAGCAGAGTAGAAACTCAGCTTCGAATGCCCCGAAGTAGAAGTAAATTGCTCTCGAGTAAAGAGCCTACAAAAGGTAACAAGAATAAATCTTCCCCAGAGAAATGTACAAAATTGTCATCAAAACCAAATTGCAAATATTCTGTGAAACTTGGAAAGTTTGGTGGTCTTAGGTGCACTCCTGAAGGCAAGAGGAGACGAAGATCTCTATTTGTTGAATCCACGGACTTACATTCTGCACTGTGATTAACATCTAATAGAAGTTAGGCAAGTCTTCTATTGTTGCAGCAATTCAACACCTCAGCTGAATGGCTCAGAACACTTCATTATAGTTTTAGATTATTTAACAATGTTAGCTGCCATTTGTATTGTTGCTGTAACTTTATACATTGGATGTACGTATCAGTCACAATGCCTTGTAATAACATAGTACTACCAATTTTCCATGTAGATCATGCTCTTTTGCTATGTATAACATCAACCTGTTTCTTTCTATTATGATTGATAGCAAGAGAAAAGACCACTTTCGATTTCTTTTGATAATGAGTTATGGAAAAATTCGAGTTCAACTCTTTGAAGAATGAAGTATATATTAACCCTTGAACCAAAATGTTCGAGTGCCCTTTTCCCTTGAGCTTGACAAAACATTTAAAATTTGAATTTTTTTGACTAATTTAACCTTAGTCAAGTAATGCAAAGCTGAGGCACCGTGTCATGTACCAAATTTTGGGCATTCATCAATGAAGAAGGTTGTCGATGTATTGAAGGTCAAGGTGATAGTCATTTATATTATAATATTTGATAATTTATAAAATTTAAAATACAATTTAAAATTTGAACAATAATTATATATCAAATGTATTTTATATTTTATATTAATATAAATTATGATACATAATTTTCATATAAAATATAATAAAAATATATAAATTTTAATATTTTATATTATACATAAACCGAGAGAAAAGAAAAATGAATATCGAAAATCGTACCTTCAGTCTTTAGTCGACAAATGTTGAAATAAGCAAAGAAAAAGGTTTAGATGGGCCTTGGCCTTTAAGAACTTTGTGAATTTTGAACCAAATTTGTAATAATTTAATTATTCATAAAATCATTTTTAACATTATCAAATACATTAATAACAAAGTTTTTAGACATTATAACAAGAGTTAATAAAATGATATATATCCATTAAAAAATAAAAAATTAATTAAAAAAATGAGATAAATCTCTTATTTTTAACTTAACTTATGAAATTAAAAAATTTTACTGAAGATATATCAAATATTATTTTTTCAGAATACCTTATTTAATTTAAGTGAGAATACAGAACAAAAAATTGGGGTGAAATTGAATCTGCATGGGATTAAAGGTATAAGATAATAACACACCTGGTAAGATTCAACGATATTGATTCAATTGATTAAGGTTCGTCTTTTTTTATGAAAAAATTTTGGATTCGAATCTTATCAGTAGTCATTTATTGGGATCATATTAAATGCACGATCTGCAACCACATATTTTAGGTTATTATATACGGTACATCTTATCTTGATATGAGAGATTGAGTAATTTATTTATCTCTGAATTTTTTTTTATCAAAAAAAAAAATAATATTCAAATAAGTGTTACATTTGAGTTGCATTTTCCTATGATTATATCATGATAATTCGAACAGAAGCAGCTGGCAGAATTGGGATTGAGAGCAAAACTAACGAAAATTTTTCCCTGTTCTGTATTGTTTGCAGATTGTCTGAGCATTTACTAGACATGTAGACGTGGGTATCCTCAGTGTTGTAATAAGAGGGGTTTCCATGTGCTTTCTGTTCCAATGAACTGTGCTCAGAATAAAAATATTTATGCCTAATGATATGTGGCATCCATCAATGTGATAATAATAATAATGTGATTTATATATAATAATGAAAGAAAGAAGATTATAAAGTTTTGCTTTATATGTTTCCAAAAGTCAAAACAACTTTTGAATTTAGGATTTTCTTGTTAAAAGTAAGAGGTAGCTGCTTTAATCAAGTCTGCAGGGCAAAATGATTGTTAGAAGAACTATAAGTTTTAATTTAATTGATTTATATAATAATTATTAAAAATAATATTTAATAGATTTAAATTTTAAATTTTAATATCTTTATTTTTTAAACTTTTTATTATCATGTTGCATACTCTTTTATTATATCTATATATATATATATATGAGAAAAAGCTTTAGTGGAAATTATATAAAGCTCCATTGCCAAACTTCAAAAGCTAATGATACATGGGATAAATTGGTAACAAGTGATCCCAATGATTACAAACAGAAACGGGTTAAATGTGTACGAAGCCTGAAACTGCCTTTCATTTGTCATCTATATTACAAAGCTACAACACAATCTTATCTTGAATTAAGAGAAAGAGGTAGCTTGACTTTTGTTTAGATAATAATATAATAAAAAATATAAAAGACCCATGATTTAAAATTTTGATAAAAATTATACATAAATTTTTAAAAATAAATTTTATATTTGACCTATAAAAACATACAAAATTTGAAATATAATTCTATCCAAAATCCATGGGAGGTGGGGCAAAAATTACTAGAAGTAAATGTCCATCTACCAACTGTTACTAATTTGCTACTGTCATGTCATACAAGTTACAAGCTAATGAGATAAAATAAAAATAAATTCTTAGTTTAAATAAGTGGTAGTGCCATTAAATAACTCGGCATTTACTTGTGTTTGCCACTTCCCAACGGCCATTACCACCTTGAGCCCCCAAGCTAATCCTTTCCTTTGAACTTTCCCATCTTCCGAAAGTGAATTTCTAACAGCAGAAAAGAGAGAATTTTTGGAAACAATGTCAAACAAGTCCCCAGTCTTTCCAATGCCTGAGCCTCAGCATTTCAGTGACTATGGCTTTGACCCCCAAATCGATTATTTTCAGGTTTTTGAGGCTTTCAAATGTATCCCTTTTGTTTCTATGTTTAGTACTTTGCTTACCCATTTCTTGTTTCTGCCTAAAAAACCAGGTTTTGGAAGAAGCAAAGAAGCACAGGAAGGAAACATCAAGATCCATAGACTTGTTACATTTCAAGCTTCAAAAACCCATCTCAAAGGACGAGCATTCCAAGAAAAACCACAATGCTAAAAAGAAGAAACGTTGGTGGAAAAATGCTCTCTTGCTCTTCAAGTGGAAAAAATGGACACGTGACACTCTTGATCTAGATCTTGAGCTTGAACCTGACGTCCATCGTACAAGGGCTACAGCTTTTAGGGCTTCAATTTCAGGACCTGTTTACATAACTGAGAGCAGAAGCGGTTCAAGCACCCCTTACAGAAGCACAAGTCGCCCATCTTCAGGTCCCTTGGCTGGTACTTTGACTCCTACAAGAAAAGGAGACGTGGAAATTCCTTATCTGAGTCTCAGGGAACTCAACATGGAGCAGCATCACAGGGTTTCTACCTCTGCCATGCCCATATATTTGGTCACTTAACCAAACCAATCTCTCTTTTTTTTCTTATTTTTTCAATCCATTTCGTTTTTCAGGTCAAGCTAGGGTTATGCAAACTGTAAAACTAAAGTGTTTGATAAGTACTTTTAATGGAGGACATGGCTTCATCCTCCATTGTTGGTTGTTGCTAGCTTGCTGCTTTACTGATTTCTGCAAACTAATGAACTCGTGCATTGACCAAGACTCTTCACCTCTTTTTTCCTTTCTTTTTTTTTTTTACCTTCGTATTGCATTGCTTTCGTGCACAGAAATCAATGACTTTTTTAGTTCAATCTTTCAAGATTTTACTTGTGATCCCAATCTACTGCAAACAACAAGTTTTTGGGTTGTTGAAATGTGAACAAAACGTGAAATCCGGTTCTAGATTATTATATATGCAGATATATTCGTATCTTTTTGGTAGTCTTTTGTTAAATTTTCTTCCCTTTATTTGTGGGCCATTGCCCATTGGACCAATTTTGAAATGATAACATTTTATTTGTTAATCAGTCACAACAAAAAATTATATAAAAATTTATAATTTATAATTTATTTATAAATTATATGCAATACTAAATTATTATTAATTAATTAATTACATTACAATGATAGTAAATAATATGTTCTTTTTAAAAATATGTGATTTGATCAATTTTAAATGTGTAAATGATACATCAATATCTTTAAATTATTCGAACTTGATTTAAATAAAATTTAAATTTGATTCGATTATTATCGAATTGAGATCGAGTTTGAATAGTTTAATTTATCAAATAAACTGAGTTTAAGCATTATAATACTCGATTTGAATTTTTATCTCAAATTAAATTTAAATTTAAAAATTAAAACTCAATTGAAATTAAGTCGAATTTCAAATAACAAATTTTAAATCAAATTCGAACTCAAATTTTTTATTGTATTGACTCGATTTAACTTAATTATATTTTTAATTAACATAAAATCATGATCAAAGAGATTTCACAATATCAAAAAAAGTTAATTAAGTTAATAAGATTTGAATATTTTATTTATAAAATTTATATTACAATTTCATTTTCAACAATCTTTTTTAACAAACTATCTATAAATTCAATATAAATCATTTTTAAAGCTTATGATTTAGCTTCACCTTAAATCGGAGAAGACTCTCCTCACCTTAAATTTTCTGTTCAAAACTTTGAAACCACAGCAGAAGACGCCAAAATTACGAGCGGCGGCAGCATGTGCAATTAGGTGTTCAGATCAGAGCCATTGTTTTTGGCTTGAGTGAACCTGATGGCATTGGCGACGACGTCCTTTTCCTATCCTTTTCCTTTAGGAAATCAATTCAAAGGTGCCCCTTGTCAGCTTTGGTCAATGGGAGGTGGTAGATGCTAAATGTAAGGATAACCAACTACCCTTTTTTTATTAATAAACAAGAGGCCCATTTTTTGTGTTCATATTCTTTCTGAGCAATTATTGTTTGTAAGACATCAACACTTTTTTTTTTATGTACGATGTTTTAATTTTTTTAAAGAGCTGACATGTGGAGATAAAAAAAAAATTAAAAGTTTTGAATTTTAAATTTTAAATATGTTAAATTTTATTTTTAAAAAATTATTATATAAATCAATTAAATTTAATTTTAAATTCAATTTGTTCTTGCTTTAATTAATGATAAAAAAATTAAAAAATCTAAAAATTGATTCAAAACAGTATTTGATTTAATGAATCAATTTTTTTAATTAGTTTGAATAAAATTTAGATATTAAATATATATTAGATTCGATTAGATTTCAAATCGAGAGATAAAAATTTTAAAAAAAATCAAATTAAATTAAATTATATTTTTTATTTATTTTTTATATATTTTAAATTTTTTAAAAATAAAAAAAATAATTTTATATCAAAATCTATTTAACTATATTAAAATTTTATATTAAAATGATATGTAAAATTTAAAAAATTAAAAAAATGATAAACCGAATCAAATTAAACCAAACTGATAAAAGAAAATTGATTCTGTTTGATTCATATTATGATCAAATTTTAAAATTTTATAATATTATGTAATATATGAAAAAATAAAATTGAATCCGATCCAACCTAAACCGTTATCACTCCTAACTTTAATATTAAGATAGAAGAGAAAATTGAAAACCCTTAACAAAATCTTTGCATGTTTACTTTGATGCTTTTAAAATAGGGAAGCATTTCGCTTATAATTTGTTTTATTATAATTTTATTATTAATTAATCATAATAAAAATTATGTAAAAATTCATCAGTTAAAAGTATAGGATCTAAATATTTTTATAAATTCTATATAATACTAAATTCTAATTTATTAATTGTATATGCTTCTTTAAAATATTGTGCATTTTATCCATAATTCTTTTTATTGTAATCCTACAATCATTCCATCACAATAAAAAATTATGTAAGTTCCACCATTTATAAATATAGATTCTATATAAAATTTTAATGAATCTTACATAATTTTTAATTATAATTGATTAATTATAGTGTAATAATTATAAGTGATTCACTTACAATTTTTTACTTCAATCTTATAATTTGTCCAATTATAATAAAAATATTTAACATACAATTGAAAAGTTTTATGTTTGCATACACCTAAGCTATAGCTTTATTAAATTTATTCATAATCAGTAGTTGATTCATGATTCCACTAAAGAATATGACTAGTATCCCTTTCTTCAAACAAAAACAAATTTTAATTCGCAAAGAAAAGTTGTGATTAAAAGATTTTTTTTTTAACCTTTGAACAATCTTTTTGGGAAATGAGTGAGTTTGGAGCTATAAAATTAGATGAATTTTAAATGCACCACAAAATTTTTTTTTACACATTTTAAATTTTTTTAAAAAATATTCTTATATTAAATATTAATTTTAACTTTTAGTATATAACAAAAATACCTCAGATGTTAAGCCCAATCGAGTCTGAATTTTTTATGTTTTTGAAAATTCGCTTCCGAGATTATAATATAAATCTCGAAAATTCATTTTCGAGAATTATATTATACACTTGAAAACGAATTTTGAAAATATATTATAATTCTTGAAAATAAATTTTTAAAATTTATATAGCATTTTTGAAAATAGATTTCTAAGATTTACATTGCATTCTTAAAAATGGATTTTCGAAAATCATAAATTTTAAGATCCTTCAAGAATAATATAAACATGGTAAAACATAAAACATCTTAAATCTATCAAATTAACCTCAACTCATTTATATTTTTTAGTTTTTCAGTAATTAAAGATAATATTCTTATCTTATTTTTGATCGATTTTGGTTTAATTGTGATTGAAATACATGTGAATATAGATTAAAATTTGTGATAATATTTAGGTGAAATCGAATTTTAAAAATGACTTAAATAAAAATATATGAATTTATGAACTCGTTTATTTGATCATATATACGAAGAAAAGAGACATATAATTCCTAAGCAGACATGAAAAAAAAATGTGTTCTTGTCTTAAGACTTAAGAAAATCGAAAACATCCTTTTTGCCCATCATGCATGCTAAAAGAACTTGTACCCATGAATGCACCTGTACATCCAGCTGCTGACAGGAAACGTTGTGGTGCTCTTCCTTTTGATCTTTTGGATACCCATTGAGAGAGTAGTTAGTCTTTACTATGAATAATGGTTTTGCAATAAAATTCTTTGATTTTTTTTTAATTTTTTGGTGAATAAATTCTTTGGCTTTTACTCTTTGTAAACTACAATAAAAACTAATAAAAAATTATCAACTGGAGGATATGATGAATGATTTTTCGTTTATAAAACAGATTTCAATCCCCTTCTTCTCCAAATAAAAAACTATATAACATCCCACCATTTTATGCGAAAAAAATGGTTAAAATATACCTCAAAACAAACAAGGAATAATAGTAGTTTTTCTCACAAGTTGTCACTCTGGATTGGGATATCAATTTTATTTTTCTCAAATTCGATTTTTTAATCGAATGATAATGGAAATATATATTATATCGTAAGATGAAGATAAAAATAAATATAATTTTAAATTTTTTGTTGAATACAAGAATAAAGACGAATAATATAACATCTTTTTCTACCCATATTTTATATACATATTTATATATATAGTAAATAAATTTTTATTAAATAAAATAAATTATTATTTTAAATTAATTAAAATTAATATTTTATTTAAAATATATATTAGTGTATATTTATAAAATAATTATATAAATAAAAAAGATAAAAATAAATTTTTGTTTCTATTTTTTAAAAAAATTACTCATACTTATTAAATATCTACAAAGATGAAAATAAAAATAAATTTAAAATACTTATAAAATATAAATACGAAAATGAATATAATATAAAAATTTGAAATAAAAAAAAAAATTGTACCTACTTATACCCTATCCATTCTCATCCCTAATTCCGTGAGGCCAAGCGGAAGACTCCTTCAATTGATGAACCAATGATATTTTGTTGAACTTCCATTTCAACTGGATTTGTTTTCCATTTTATTACTTTTGGCATCAAAATCCTATTCAAGAAGACCAGATAATTGATATCTTTATCCTGTTTTACTTGAAGGAGAATGTCTTTGCCCACATCCTGGGGAGCTTGTTGTCGAATCTATTGTGTAATTGTTGTGTTTGCATGTGCTGCTTCAAAATGGACAAACATTGACATTGCACAATTTTTTTTATTTATCTCTGAAATATTTCCCCCACAAATGAGGAGAAAAGTTTTGGATATGCTAAGTTATGCTGAAACTTAAACGATTCTTCTGGCCTGAAGCTGCACTTCAAGTGACTGTTATGAAATCTCACATGATTTTTATTTGACTGACATAATTTGTAATACAAAACTTTAAGCACAATCCATACAATTGAACAAGTTTCAAAAGCCAACAGGCATTAGTTTTGAGTTTAGTTCAGTATAACGCACTGAAAGTAACACTGCATGTTGATAATGAAGGTGACTCCATAAACACAACATTCACACTACTATTATTAATTGCCTACCCGTAAAGATCGAAGGGCTGTGTCTCTCACGCTTGGTTATATTTATGTTTGCTTTTAGTTTGTCAGGTGCTCGGTTAACTCCAATAGAAGAATGTGCCATTTATTCCCTGCTGCAGTCGAATAAAAAATTTAAAGGATGTGCTTCAACAGGCTCTGGTTGCAGCAGCATGGATGCGCTAAGCTCAACTGCTTCCTGGCTTTTGGCGTTTTCCAACATCAAAGTGAACATCCATGAGGCCTGTTATTCCAGCAGTTATCTTTTGTCCTACCTTCACAGGGCCAACACCTTGTGGAGTGCCTACGAAAATTAAATCAACAGGGCAACTAATTAAGACTTCAAATGAAGAATTTATCTTTTTTGTTAATGAAATATTAGACAATAACTAAGCTTTCTAATCAGAAGTTAAAAAGAAAATGGACCAAAACAAATGGGGTATGCTAGAATTTATAACGAAACTGCAGCACCCCAACCAGTCACACCATATCACGCTACATATGAATGGAGTAATAGACAAATTAAAGTTGACTGAGAGACATAAAAGCACAATTTAACAATGTAAATATGCAATAGAATCTGGCAAAGAGTCCTATTTGGATGTAAGGATTGTCAACATGAATCAGATACCACAAAAGCAAATACCCCCTGAAAGCGAATGTGGTGTTGTTGCCCATGGCTTTTGGTCTTGGATCAACATAGTAGTTATTCAAGGACAACCACCAGAGAAACATGTACAAAATCTAACATTAAATGTGAAAGAAGAAAAACTGGGAAAAAAAAGCGAATGCTATATAACCTGTTAATATGACATCTCCTTCAAAAAGTGTCATAATGGAACTTATGTGGCTAATAAGGTAAGGAATTTTAAAAATCATATCCTTGGTGGAACCCTTTTGGCGTATTTCTCCGTCCACCTGTGATGAAAAGAAATTCATCTAACCTTGATCAGTTGGAATGAACAACAATAAGTTGAAGAACCCAAACGTACCAAAAAAAAAAAGGTGAATAAAAGAGTACTAGTATATAAACCTTTAACCACAATTCCAAGTTGTCGGGATCAGGCACCTTAGACATCGAAAACTGCAAAAAAAAATTTTCTAGTCAGCAGACTGTGAATGATAATTAACCCAATAGAACGAGAGGAAGAATAGCAATTCTCCTCAGTCCCTATCAAAAAGAAGACACCTAGGCTAATGCTAAAGGTCAGTAAATGGTATGTTATCTGCTTCTGCACATGCCTGATTTGAGCTATTCATCAACTAAAAGCAAGAGAACACTCGAAATTTGGAGAAAAAGTTGTCTTGTTTACTCTTTCATAGGAATTTAATAGTGATTATTCCCAAGCAGAATGTGTAAAAGGTTAAAAGACACACTCATCATCTGGTCAACAGCTTCAAAATTAATTTAAGCATAATGTACTTCAGAGGAAAGAGAAAGATGAAACTATTTCAGTTTTATTTCTTACAACAGAACTGATAGGTGTGAAGGTGTCCTGCCCTTTAGCAACTGTCCAAGGAAGACCTGCAGACTGACAAATGTGACAAAAAGGATGATTAATTGAAAGATCATGTGACAAATAAAACTCTTGTTCTCAAGAAGTAAAAATGAACATATAGTTAAGGTCCATCATTAAAGTAGATGCTTCAGACTATGAGTTTTATTTCTTACAACAGGGCGCTGCAATTATTCAAAAGGATAATTGTTGTGTTTCCCAGGAAAAAAAAAAAAAATCACTTTAGATACTCTTTATCATAGAATGAATTTCAACTTTTCACGTTTCACCAAGGCTGAGTGATTTGGTCCAATAATTACATGCTTCATTTAATATGTTGATCCCATACTCATTTGTTAACACACAAATGAAAGGAGTAAAACGGCCACAAAAGATGAAATTGGAGAACATTCAAAGGCAACCAGGTTCTCATGTGAAGTAACAACGCTTTAAGAAATGTACAGGAGAGCTCATATGAATAAAATTTGTACCTTTGCAACAGATTGGATTTCCCTTGCAGTCATATCCAATGCTAAAGCATAGCCTGAAGCACAAAAGTGGTAATTTCAGCATCAAATTGACCATTTAATCACAGTCTATATAAATTGTCGATGTGCAAAAGGAAACAAAAAGGAATGGAAAATGTGGCAGCATCCAATGATTCACATCCAAGTCATAACAAAATCAATCAACAAAAAAACTACTGTAAAATGTTAAGATAAGTAATCTCATAAAAAAGGTGGGGTCTTGAGGAGGATGAAAAGTAAATTACTTTGCTCCTTTATCATACCTTTTGCAGACAAAGGGAGCTCTCAAGATTTTAAACCCACTCTCATCTTGAGCTTATCAGCCCCAAAGCTTTCCCTTTTACCCCAGAAAACAGCACTAAACAGAGTTCAGTCAAAACCCAAGTAATTAAAAGCAAATTACTTTGCTCCTTTATCATATTTTCTGCAGACAAAGGGAACTCTCAAGTTCTTAAACCCACTCATATCTTGAGCTTATCAGCCCCAAAACTTTACCTTTTACCCCAGAAAACAGTACCAAACAGAGTTAAGTGAAAACCCAAGTACCAGGAAAAACAAAATCTACAGTACTTGAATAGTCTAAACTAAAACCAGACATGTCAGCCTTGATCAGACAGAAATGATCCGATATTACCTCCAACATAACTCATGGCATGGTTTTCAGGCACATCCCGAGCCTTTTGTCCGATCACAACAGCAAGTTCAACTTCATGATCTAAAGAATTCAAAGGGTGTGGAACCTCAATTGTCCCTCCATTTTCCAAATACGATGATGTCGGCTTTAAAAACAACACTGGCTCCTGGTAACGCAATTTAAACGAATCAAAATCTGCTGTCTGTATACGATAATAAACGGGAATTAGATACCTTGGGGACAGCGTTGCCCAGTTCTTTGGCGTGCGCGGCATAGTTGCGGCCAACGGCGACAATTTTGGTCCCGAGGTTCAGGAGATTCTGTAAAGATGCTGCAGCCGCCATGGTTTCGTTTTTGGGTCAGAAATATGCTAAGAGAGAGTGAAGGAGTCCTCGATGAGCAGCTCTTACTTGGGGACTTGGCTACGCGGGCTGGTAACAACTAACGAGAGCTGGCGTTTTTGTTATTATTATTATTTTTGTTATGTTAAAAAATAAGTTAAAAACTATTTACTTTTTAAATTATGAGTTTAAGAGAAATGATGAGCTTTTAAATTTTACTGCAAGCAATAAAACACATCTCTTAATATATAATAAAAATAAAAAATAATTAATAAAATGTAACAATCGAATTAAAATTTTTATTGAATTCGATATTTTAATTATTTAATTTATTTATAAAACAAAATGTTTTTACAGATAGCAGTGTATATAATTTTACTGAAGATTACCGAACTTTACTATATTCATCATCTATCCTTTTAATCAATAAATATTGAATTATTGTTTATAATCATTTATTAAGTTTAATAAATAAACAAATCAAAAACGAAATTTGTTAATAAAATATTAGTAAAAAATTATGTTCATTTATATTTTCGAATGTAAACGAATTAAATATGAACAAATTATTATATTTATAATATATTTATTTAATTAATAAATATTATAATATTATTCATAATTATTTATTAAATTTAGTAAAAGAACATCAACAAATGAAAATAAAAATAAAAATTAAATCTATTTTCGAACTGTTTGACGTCCTGTTCTTTAATGAAAACTAGCTGTAGAATAGTTAAAATCCATTTTCTAGCCATTTAAAATGAGAGGTGGCAATAAAATAATAAGTGGGAATAAATTAACATATAAATTAAAAGGTAAAATGATGATAGAATTTTCAGATATTTTGTGCCTAATTAAAATATTTGTAACCCTAATTAAATTAACATAAAGAACATTACTGCTCATATCTGCCTTCAATCTATTTTATTGAAAGAAAAAAAAATTATGGGCTCTGAATTGAGGTTTCGCTAATCGCTACTACAACAAGGGCATTAATTTACCCTTAGAAACAACAGTTAAGGAAGAGAAGGCTGATACATTGTCAAAGCCTAGTAGTCATTTCATATGCAACATGAGGAGCTCTGGTTTTTCAATAAACTGTTTCCATTCGTTGCAAAATCTTGCAACTGTTGCTCCATCCAGAACTCTGTGATCTGCACCGATGTTAATCTGAGTAGGATAATATCATGTCAGATATCTTCAGATTGTTACATCTCACCAAAGATTAATCTTATGGTAGTTTTATACGAAAGATATACTAGCATAAACTGTTGGATAAATGAAAAGAAAATACGTAAATTGGAGCTTACAGTCATGATTGAGGCAGGATAAACATTTCCATCATCTGCCAATTGTGGAAGTTTCTGTATTCTACCCATTGCAATGATGGCTACTTCAGGCAAGTTGAGAATTGGGGCACCAAACTTTCCACCGATGGCTCCGATATTGCTTAGTGTTATTGTTCCACCAGATATGTCGGTTGGACTTAGCTTGTTGTCCAGTGCCAGTTGTTGTAACCGCGAAAGTTCCTTGGTTATCTAAATTTATAACAGAGTAAAGAAAAGCACAGTTGAGAAAAATCATCTATGAGGTATGGCAGAAGGAAATGCAGAAACAGTTAACTATCTTCAACTCAGAGCACCATAATTACGGAGAATACGGAAAGGGTTTGGCAGAGGGGGGTATTGAAGCAGCAGGAGAACAATAAATATTACACTTCAATTATTAAGGAAGAGGATTGGAGAGAGGGAAGTTAAAAGACTTACAATCCCTAAATAGATGAGAAGTCAAACATTACAAACCTCCAAGATAGAAAGAGACTGAACATTCTTTATGTTTGGCACCACTAAGCCGTATGGAGTGGCCATGGCAATTCCAATGTTATGGGAACCTAAAATAATCACAGAGAATAACAATGATTATTGTCAGGAGAATGGAGGGAGAGAAGCAACCAAGACTATGATATAATGGATAAAACCACTCAAAATGATAGCAGGCTGTCACTGATTAACACGTTTTCTTGGAAGCAATTGGTATTTGTCGACACCTGAAACGTAGAAACATATTCATAATGGAAACAGCAACGCATGTGTACATGCAACTTCTGGACATATTTGTGTGTATCCTCTGATCAAAATAGCACATGTTGGTAACATACCGTTTTGGTAATCAGAAGAAAACAAGGAGCCGAGTAAAAGCAAGAACAAGTATACAAACCTCTAAGGATTACTTCAAGTGACTCTTCGTTGAAGCAACTATTCACCATGGGATATTTGTTCAAGGCCATTGAAAGTGACTTTATCAATACTGGAAGGAATGTGAACTTTATACCAGGCTCAGTATTGTTTGTTTGAAAAGATGCTTTAAGTTCTACAAGTGTATCACAGTTAATCTCTTCTACATAATGAAAATGTGGAACTTTGGCAGCCACAGACATTGTTTTAACCATTGTTCGCTGGAATCCCCTGAAAAAAGAAGAAAAACAAAGCATCATTAGCATGCTTTTGACTCCAACTAAATTGATCAGCCTGCCAATAATTATCTTCCAGAAATAGGCAAGAACTTGCATTTAACCATTCTATACCACAGAAAGAACATAAGACTATCATCAGCAATTTCATAATAGCTTCAGGACAGCATAGAAAAGGGAGATAATTTCATCCGATTGATTGCAATTTTGTTTGCGCATTTTGCTAACATCTTATTGCCGCTTATAAATGCTACCTGCAGTGCCTCTCAAGTCAAACTGCAAGCTCAGCATTTTAAATTAAAGTTACAGCTCTACAGCTAATTGTGCACACATGATTGCAAGCAGTCATTGCATGATGTTCCTTTTAACTGATTATCATCATAGTGACTATAAATTAGGCTATTTATTAATCCTGATAATCATATTTAGGTGATATAAATCCCACTAAATCCCAGAATTTAAAATATATGTATATCCATATACAATACCTTAGGGGAACTATTGTATCTTCATAGTTCCCTGCCACTTGAGCTGACACTTGTGAAGAATTATTTTCTACATGTAACAGCTTTCCAAGATCAGCACTAGCAGTAACTGATGGTTCTTTGATGATGCCTTTCTGGATCGCAAATTTAAGCACATCTTCTTTCAATACCCTGCCATCTTTTCCACTTCCTTGGACATCATTTATGTTTATACCATGTTCTTTTGCAAGGTTCCGAACAGCGGGTGTGGATAGGGCTTCGACAGTACTTTCTTTGTTCAGTTTAGCATCAACTTGTTTTGCATTTTCCAAATTATGGATGATTATTAGTGGAACCTGAGTTTCCTCAACAGCCATCTTAAGAAGAGTTTCTCCAACCTGCAATTTTTATTAAACTTGGAAGCATTAATATCCATCCTTGTCTCATATGACTTGATAGTGGAAAGGGCATAAATAATAACTTACAAGGATGAAACTAGATAATCACAGACACAAACACATGAATTGGAGCTCTTCATTTCACAAATAAATTCAACTTCAAAACATTCCTATCTCACTATCACATCATTAGAAAATCAGAAATTCAAAGGAACCATATATTTTTCGAGTTCAGAAGTCAAATTTTATATGATAGAAGTGTGGTTTAAAGCTTATGATACACTTTCTAGCAACCTTACATATTGGACAAGGCTTTCAATTCTGCAGAGCCACAATAAACTCCCATCATAATCAACATGAGAATTAACTGACAAGCTCAAAACCAGCAGTCAATTCTTACCTTTACGATGCTACCAGGAACATGGAGAATGTAAGCAACTCTCCCTTTGTAACGACTTGTAATTTCAATCGTTGCTTTGTCGCTTTGAACTTCACAAAGTGGTTGAAACTCTTCAACTTCATCACCCTAACCAGAACAAAACTATCAAATTAAAGATTTCAATGGAATTTTCATTAGAATTTGAATTAAACCAAGAAAACAGAACATGAATCAAACCATTAAAGGTCAACATGACTCACCTCTTGAACAAACCACTTAAGAAGTTCGCATTCAGCAATACCTTCGCCGGTTTGTGCCAATGGCACATCAACCATTCCATTCATAGGAAGATCAGCCACAGCATTACTCGAAAACTGACATCTATTTACCAAATATGGAATATTGAACTACAATAAATAAAAACAAAAACAAAATTTTTTAATCAAATTATTTAACAATAAACCTAGCAATTTAAAATACAATATCATGACTCGAGATGAACACAATAAAAAAAAAGCACAAATATGACACGATTTAAAATTTTAATAATAATTATACATGAGTTTACCAAAACAAAAATACACATTTTATATATTATCATATATGGACACCAATATACGAATTTCAATATTTTACACATCATAAATACAAGAATCGTCAAGTTTATTTAACAATTAACACAAATAATAGAATTACAAATTTAACGAAACTACTATCAATTTAGCAACTAATTCATATGGAGTAAAAAAGAAATTTGAATTTGAACAGCAATTGAGTACATGAACAAGAACTCACACTGCGAGGCTTATTGCTTAATGAAAACGCCGTATTAACGCAGTTGGAGAAGTGACGTTTGCACTCCTCCGCCGGCTCTACCGCCGGCACCGGAGATGAAGGTGAAGACATGTGAGGACAAAGCCATCGCCGACCGTTGTTCCAGGTTCTCTTTTGTAAAATCCTCCTGCCGATCATAATTCTCCGGCGTTACTTTTTTTGCTTAAAATTTTCTTCGAAAAAAGTTTTTTTTTTTAAGTAAAGGATATATTTAGGCACTGTTTGCTTGAGAGTTCGGACAAAAGATTGCGTTTTCTTCTAATCTAAACTCAGCATAATATTGGAAGATGAGAGTGACTCAGAGCTGAGTTGTATTAAGTATCTCATTAATAATTTTCATGTAAAGCAAAAAAAAAAAAAAAAGGTTACAACCAGAATTAGACTTAAATTTCTTTGTTATAAATTTTTTTATCTATCTATAATATGTAATTTATTTATGACATTATTAAAAGACAACGGAGGCGGCGACGGGTAGATGTTTTGTGGGCTTGGGCAAGGAACCAAGGCTTTGGAAAAATGGCTATACTAACCAAAAAATGGGCTCGATCCAACACAAAATGAATAGACTAAGAACTTGCCCACCATTTCATCAACACCACGAAACTTATCCAAAACAAACCAATTTTCACACGTAGTTGAACAACTCCGTTTATGAATTCAAAGTTTGATTCAATTTATTTATATATTTATTTTAAAATTTTAATAAATTTGTGATTCCAATTTACTATCTACAATCATTTTTTATTTTTAAACTTATATTTTTATGTATAAAAAAATAAGTTCATCTCACTCCCATTTTATCTTATCAAAAATAATAATATTAATAATGCATCCGAATATTTAACTTAAATGATTGATACATGATTTTTTTTTTATCATCATCAAATTCGAATTTTCTTTTATACGAGTTCAAAAAAGCCAAAAAAATTGGTTTTTGTGAATAAAAACTTGATGTGGATTTACATATTGTGTGATATTTTAGTTATATTACTATGTTTTTTTTCTTTGATGGAAGAAAATATTAATAATATTAATAATGTATTTGAATATTTTTTTTTGGTTGCTGCAAGCAAAAATTTGAGAGTAAATAAATTGTTCAGTCTCTCAAGTTATGACAAGATGTATCATACTTGACAGTTTAAAATAAATAGCTACAAGTGATGCATTCGAGATGACCTTAATAAATAATCACTGATAAAATTCGAACCCAAAATTTCTTTATAAAAAAAAATAACTTTAACCGATTTAATCAATCACTTATTAATATAATGTATATGAACATTTAACTTAAGTGATTGATATACGATTTTTTGCATATCATAGTCAAGTTCGAATTTTCTTTTATACGATTTCAAAAAAGTCGAAATTTTGGTTTTTGTGAATAAAAACTTGATGTGGATTTACATATTGTGTGATATTTTAGTTCTATTACTATGTTTTTTTTCTTTGATGGAAGAAGATACAACAATAAAACATTGGGAATTCTTTTTAGGATAGGAATATCACTAAGGAATAATTAAAAAGAATTCAATAATTTTCATGAATCATTAAAGTTTGTTCTCTTTTCCTTCCTTTCTAGCTTTATATTCTTTATTGTTTCTCTCTCTTTCTTTTAGTTTATAAATATATGAAATTTAAAATATAATATAATGATACAATATAAATATAATACAAAAATAAAATATAAATATAATATAATTTAAAATTTTAACAATAATTATATATATATTTAATAAAATAAAAAAATAAATTTTATATTTTTGTTTCAATAATAATTATAACACGTAATTTTCATATAAAATATAATATAAATATATAAATTTTAATATTTTACATAATACAAATACATGAATTTATAAGCCTATCTACCCCTTGTTTTTCTTTATCTCTCCTCCTTCTTTCAAATAAAAAATTCTTTACTTTTTCTTTGTTGAAGATTAAATTAAAGTTATTCTGGAATCCTTGCATAACAATTTAAACTTAAAAAGTTAAGTAAATATTCAACAATCAACATTATATCAAATTAACATTAGCTTTTTATTGTTATATTTATGTGCCCATTTAGCACGAAAAAATGATATAAAATTATTTTTTAAAATTATATTATTAAATTTGAAATTTAAAATTTAAATTTTAATATTTATAATTTTTTTTTATATTATGAATTTTTTATATAAAAAAAAAAAAGCAAAAATTCCTCTTTCAATCAAAAAAGAGTTTATGGCAAAAAAAAAAAAGAAAAAAAGAGAAGATGACAAGAAGAAAGATAAGCATGATTTGAGTAACCTGATTAGAACTGATGTGATGCAAAGCATTAGCATAACCCCATACTTTTTTTCTAGTATGATAAAGTAGACTTGAAGCTAGAAATTAAAACCTTCAAAATCAAAGAAGAAAAGACAGTCTTTGGCATGAACTGCACAAAAGAAACAAGCTTGATGAGCTTATTTTCTTCTAAAACTAGGGTTTACATTTAGGAATATAATGAACCATACAGGATTTATTTTGATCTATATTAAAAATATATTTAATAAATGAGAAATTTTCACATACATTTTATGTGATTTGCAACTTTTTTACTTATAACTTTTTTGAATTATTTATTTATTTATCATCTTGAGATTCATTTTCTTTATAAAAAAAAAAAGGATAACAACATTAAAAATCAAGCATAATTTAATAAAATTATAAAATTATCTTCATTTTTAATTTTTAACTCACAGAATTATAAATAAAAAAATTTCACAAAAAATAAAAATAATAATTGCAAACCACAAAAGGTGAACGTAAAGTTTCCTTTTATTTATGCCACCCTATATTTGTTAAAGTAATTTGTTCACTAGCTAGGGTGGTCTAGTAATTAAAAAAAAATGTGTTTTTTTTTTTCGAGGGGGCGAAGCCTATTACAAAGAAAAGAGGGAAGAAAGTTTGATTCGAAATTAAATTTTAATATTTTTTTAAAAGATTTTTGTGATCATTAAATCACGAAGAAAGATGATAATATCAAAAAGCTGTTAATACATTATCTAAAATCTCAAAATTTTGGCAGAAATTAGATTAGTGATAGGCCATAGATTAACTATTTTATTTTCTATTTTTATATATTTTTAAAAAAATTTAATAATAATTAAATATATTCGAATATTTGATTCAATTATAATTTTATATATTATTTAAAAATTGTGCTAGTTGAATATTTCTCTTTTTAATAAAAAGTTGGTAGCTAATCAAAATTTTGGAATTATTTTCTAACATGTAAAGAGAGATCTAAGTTTTTTTTTAGTAAATAATTTTGATCACACTTGGTTTTGTTTAGTTGATTTTTTTTTTTTTTACTTTTTGTTATTTGTTTCATATTTTTAGTTTATAAAAGTATCAACTGAACAAATGATTTAAAAATTCATAAAAAATATTAACTCATGGTTAATGACTCTAATAGACCCATTAAAATCTTCAAAATAATATATATATATATATATATATATTGAAATATCTAATATGAAAGAGTAAAATCCTAAGCTTTAAAGACACTAGCACCTTTTTTAGGATTCATAAATCTCAATGGAATAGATTTCGTGAGGGGTTTGAATTTTATTATATTTTTAATATGATGCAGTTGAATTTATCATATTAGTAATTGAATTCAAATATCAATTATAATAAAATTTATTTAATATAATTTTTTTAATAAATTTTTTTAATTATAATTATAATAATTTTTATTACTATTTTTAATCTCATTATTCATTAGAATAAAACCTTCATCTTAGATGGTACTTTATTTATTGAAATCCTCTTTCCCTAAAAAACCTTTAATTTTTTTTTTATGTTTCTCTCAAAACATCTCCATCACCTTTTTTAAGTTTGTTCCCAAATCCCCATCTGTGTGTTCCTTTTTAGTTCGAATGCAAGTATCTTATTAGACAAACTCCTTGCCTAGTCCCCATCACCCTAGGACTTCTTTGTTTCTTTTCCTGTTTGCTTGCTTTGACACTATTTATAAAGGGTTATATGGGTTGGAAGAATTAAAGAAAATTAAAAGTTAATTAAAATTGCAATTAGAATGGAACTAATTAACCTATAATGAATAAATTTAATTGATACCTTATCTATAAATTTTTATTGATACTACTCGTGAATGCAAAAATTTTTAAGGAGATATGATGCAATTTTTTTTTATAAATAAAAATATAATTTAAAAATTAAAAAAATTATAAATAAGGTTGTTAATTTTATCAACACCTAATCGAAAATTCGATTTTTTATCTAAATAAAGTTAAGTATTATATTGTGAGGATGTGAATAGAGATAGATATGATTTTAAATTTTTTACCGAATATGACGATAAAGACAAGTAATATAAGAGCCATCCCAAACCCATACCCATATTTGTACCATACTTTAAATGTGTATATATATTTATATATTTTTAAAAATTATATAAATATGTAAGATAAAAAATTTTAAAAAGTTAAAAAATATATTTTTTTAGTTTTTTTTTTTTTTAGAAAGATATGGTTAAGGTAATTATCCATATCTATTAAATATTGACAAAGATGAATATGAAAATAAATTTAAAATATTCGTTGGATATACATATAGAGATAGATATAATATAAAAATCTAACAATAAAAATAAAGAATACTCTATTTATCTTATACTTTTTATTGACATCTGTAATTATAAATATTAAAATTAAAATTTTATATTTATTAAATAATATCTCTAAAATATAGTTATATGGATTTTTAAATGAGACATTTTATTTTGATTTATAAGATTATTATTATTATTATTTAAATGAAGTTAATCGGACAAAACTCATGTCCCAAACGAAGACATGTCGTGTCAACCTCAAATTGGGCCATGATTCTTTGATTTGTTTTGGCATGGGAGCCCCATTGTCCTATCATTCTCAAACAATCAAGAGTGGCCCAAAAGCTCCTCATGATTCATCCGCTCCAACAAATCAAATCAGGGATGGGACCCAAACTGACTTGTTAGTAGCAAGTAATTTTGGACCCACCTAAACAATACCAATGTTTCCTTTGTCTCATCTTTAAAGTACATGAATAAAAGGACGGTAAATAAATAAATAATTAATTAATTAATTATCTTTTTCTCACTTTAAAGTGCATGGATTGAAAAATAAAAAGTATATCATATTGTACTAAGATGAAATTTAAAAGTAAGAATGAAATATTCTTATATTTTATGAATAAATTGTTTTTTGAATAACCACTAGATTTATTGATAATTAATATCTATGAAGAAATTATGAAATTCTAATTTCAAGTATAAATGTAAGAATAGGATAAGGAAATGGGAAGTCCTATTTTTAATGAAATGAGATTTTAGATAGGGG